AAACCAAATATAAATAGACATTTTTTATTAAATAAATAAATAAATTACAACTCTCAGTCTAGCCACGCACGAAGTGGTGAATGATTCCCAGGGAGTCGAGGACTATATTTTCAGCCAACCTCGCTACGTCCTTAATGTCGACACCTAGTTCCTCGAGGAAGCTCCTTGTTCTTTTTGGAATTGTTTAAATTAAAATTGTAATAATGAGAACATAATACTTGCGTAATTACTTCTAAGCATTGGCTTAGCCATCTAGCCGACTTTTCATATTATCTTAATTAATTTTAGTTTAAATATTGCATTCATTCCTATAGATTAATTGTCATTGATTTTATTTTTTTCATCGAATTATTGGGAGAAAAAGGGGGGGTGAAACGATATTCCCGCCCCCTCTCTATTTTTATTGGAGGGAGAGAGGTACGATTTACCCCCACCTAAGTATTTTATATTTGAAGTTCAACAAATATATATATATTCCATTTTTAGGGAGTTTCTTCCTGAAAGTCTTCCCCACTACCCACCCCCGTTAATCCGCCTGGAATCTTTTATTATTCAAATCACAATCAAATTACGAATTTGTGCATGTGATTAAAAGAAAGTATAACAGATTAAAATGTTTTATTAAATTAAAAATATAATTTAATAAAACATTTTAATGTTTGAATTTGAATATATATATTCAATTTAAATTAAATATATATATATATGTGTGTGTTATACATATATATAAAGTGCGTCGAGAGGAATGGGCAAAACTCCAAGAGTGGAAATCCACATCGGAAATAACTAAAAAACTCATCGTTTCTTATCCGATTTTCATTTGTTTAGAGTTTAGAAGATTATTACTTATTAATAAACAATATTTCATGCTTTTATTATCATCTTGGTTATCGAAATCACATTTTTATAAATGTTTGAAATTACCACTTTCATAGACTTTAAAACATTTTCGGCTTCGTCTTCAAAGGGACACACAGTTGCCCTCCTGATTATTGTAATATATCCCTTTTCTATCATATCTTATACTTGGCTGCTTTTACTTAGTATCCTTGCTTACTACATTTTTAAAAACAAGTCGGAAGAAATAACTCCATAAATCAAACTAACATAATTAATGTTTACAGACGGTTATAAAAAAAAAAAAAAACAATCTGTGTGGCGTTATCTCCTTATCAACACTTGTCCTTTGATTTTATAATGCTTATCTAATTTCTGTTAATTATTATCTCTTATTTTAGATCTGCAAGGCTGAGAGGGCAACGTCCAACATCATAATAAAAGAACGATTGGACTATAACCAGACTGTAACAGAAAAACAATGACACATATTTTCAATAGAGCTAGGAATTTTTTAACTATTCGACCAAAAATATCGGATCAAGGTTCAATACAAAAATTGTCTGTATCATCACTGATATGTATTACTAGTTTAATAACACTACTTGTATTTCTTACTGACATCTTCAACTCTATCTTACGCACAACCTATTTTCCTCTCCATTGGAAAGTTTCCACAATTAAAATGATTCTTAAACTCTCAAAACCTACCACCATTACTTCATCCTATCGTCCTATTGCACTTCTTCAAATTATGGGAATAATATTTGAAAATCTTCTCTTGAACCGTCTAAAGCCTATCCTAGAAAGTAGTGAAATGATACCAAATCACCAGTTTTCTAAAATCACCACTCAATACTTCATAAAAACACGAAACAAAGTCGTCCATTGGGATCCTGACGATGAAACGTACAAAGCAATTTATTATCAAAGTTGATGTGTACTTTTTAATTGTGAGCAAATAAAAGTTATTTATAAATTATTTTAAAATTTTCTTCCCAACATTTTTCTTATTGAAATAATATTTTTATAAACACAGGAGGTTTTAATAGTAAGATTTTTTTTTTTTGTAGTATGTTCTTTTCATCTTTGTTTACAATATCTGTTAAAAAATAACCTCATTTTCTTCAATAAAAATTTCTTTTAGAGGCTCTTAAAATTTTCAGTTGTCATTATCACCACCTGTAACGAAATCAAATCCCGCTAAAACCTCTCTTCTAAAAACTCGGGATAATTTTTTTTTTATGCTAAATATTTTTTTAAATGAAAGACTGATACAATCCTTTTAAAATTAATTCATAATCATTTTAAAATAACTGGTAATGTCAACAGCTTATTCGAAACTTTCTTATTCAAAAATTTCTCGTTAGGAAGTTTGTATGAATATTTTCAATTTGTAAAGTTTGAAGAGGAAATTTCATACAACCTGTGAGATAACTTTGTTCGTACAACCCTCCCTAATTGCGGGAAATCATGTTTTGTCTCCCGACTGCTCAGTTCTCAAGGTGAAATATTGCTCTTCAAAAGAGCATGTTTATAACTCTTATTACTACTCCATAATTATGGATTTATCAATTTTTATTATTTTTTTTTTGTAATATCACAGATATAATAATAATAACGGTTTCGCCATTTTTGAATATGGATTATTTATTTATATATATTTAAACTGATCTAGATCAGGCAACATATAGTTTACCGAGGTAGAAACAGTCTTCTCTTAAGTCGACTCCAATATTCTTAAAAGTTTGTCTCTGCACTTAATTATAGTGCCTGCAAACTATATTAAAAGGAAAAACTATGCGTAATTGCCTATAGCAGTACTCGGCAAGTTAAATAAATTACAACGGCTTATATTTATTTTGAGAGTCGATGCTTTAAAAGTTAAAGTATATAGGTTACTTCTAAGCGAGCTTCCGATAATACCTTGTAAAATCTTATTGAACTATGAGATCCTTGAGGACGATAACTTTCTATCCATATTAGTCTTTTGTCGCTATTTCATCAATCTCCTTTCGTTCATCCTCCCAATATAGCAATACAATCTCAAAATTCTCAAAAATAAGATTTTTTTATTTGGTGTTTCGTTCACCACTTGTGTTGTTGCTGTTCATTTTTCGTTCTGTTTGTAGTGTCACCTCTCATAATGAAAATAACAGACCAGTTCTTTTAGGAATTCCAATAGATATATACAGTGCCGGTTTTAGACATTTGGCGCCCCGGAGAGAACGTAATCTCTCCCCCAATAAAAATTTAATTTATTTCTTAAGCTATTTCGTATTACAGGTAGACCCGTGCGAAAATTCGCACAGTATATTGTTCAGTGATCAAATAATAAATTAATAAGAAAATAAAACAATGCAACGCACTAGCGAATCCAGGGGGGATTTAATTTTTTTTGGAGGGGGAGGGAGACTTCAGCCCGAAGGATTTTGTTTTCATATATATAACAATAATTAATTTGAAAAAAACAAAGAAAGAAACTAACTACCCATATGACATGGTGTCTTAGTGATTCTTGAAGTCTTATTAAATGTAATTAAACGAACAATAATAGTATAAGGGATAGTTTTTAATATTTTTTTCTATAAAACATTGTTATATTTTACCATTTTAGAGGGAGGGGGGCTTCAGCCCGAAAGCCCTCCCTCCCGTAGAATTGTTACTTTCTCGCTAACTATAATCGACAAAGAAAACAAAAATTAACTTAAAACTTAATGTTTGGAATAGTAGATTTCGATGATTTTTCCCCCCCCTTTTGTAGGGAATAAAGTTTATTTTCTTTCATAACTTTTTCCCCTAAATTTTCGGGGTGATTGGACTATTTTGCCCGTCTGAAGAGAAGGAAACCTTTAATCTTGGGATTTAATGAAGAATTAACGATGATGTGGCTTACCGACAAAAAACACCTTCGATAGATAATATAAACTCCTCTTTTCTCGACCATAGAGGCCTCAAGCCGACGAAATGAGACATGTACTCAATGAAAGTACTACAATTAACGTAAGGTTGTGTGGGTGCGAATCCTTTGCTTGGCATTATCTCGAAAATAGTACGTTTTGTAGCTTAAGAACGCAATGGCCCGAAGGAACTACACGGATCTTGCTGTACGCATCAAAATCTTCAAAGCACAATTTGTCCTGTAGCGATTTACAGACTTATCACCGTTACAGTATCGAAGCCTAGCAAAATGTTCGTATCGATGTTATTCATTTTAGAAAAAAAAAAAAAGGCGGACAGTACGGTTCGCTAGATCCTTCTGAAATTCTGAATCCAACGGTACCCCATTCATGTTATTTGAGTATGAAAGGAGCTTATATTTGGTACAAAACCAATTTCGAGCCTTAATGTAATAATATATGTGGGGATCACATGCGGATCTACGGAGGGGGGGGGGGCTTTCGGGCTGGTACCAGGTTTTACAGAAAAAATATTAAATACTATCTCTTAAAGTATTCTTGTTCGTTTAATTATATTTAATAGGACTTCAAGAACCACTTAAACACCATTTCATATAGATAATTAATTTCTCTATTTTTTTTTTCAAATTAATTATCGTTATATGTATATAAAAAAAAAAATGCTTTCGGGCTGAAGCCCTCCCAAAATTAAATCCTGGATCCGCTAGTGGTGGGGATGTTATATTTAAATTATTTCATTCAACATTTCTCTAATACAATTGCTTTATTAATAAGCTAAAATTAATTAAATTAAAACGTTTTTATTTTTTAACAAATAGAGCGCTCTCAACGCGCCCCTCCAGCGGCACCGATTGTTCTGGATACATAACTATTTATATAAAGAAATTACAGGAATCATTATGAGTAGTTATTTTAAATTTTCATTATAAAATAATCATTTCACATAATTAATTTGAAATAATATTCGAAAAATAATTTACTCATAGGGGCACCAAAGAGCAATAGTTAGATGACCAGAGGTCTATATATAGTACCTATTTTATAGAAGCTTGAGGATTTTCTGACCACTGAGTCAATCAACCTCAAAGAAAGAATCTTTCAGCCAAAGCAGAACTCGAACCCAAGCTGATTTACAATCAAACATGATAATGAATTAAATATATAAACATATAATACTAATATATATTATATATAATATTATAGTTCATTAAAGTTAATAACAATAATTATTCAATCCAATAGGTATCACAAAAATGCTAACCAGAAGACTCTACCTGGAGTTTCGAAGATGTTACTCCAAGAATGTTATCGTATCCCCTTTTGGACAAATAGATCTCCCTACAGCTAGCTTAGATGAATACACGATGGAATGGTGGAGCAAATGGGAAAATAAAACTGCAGTCGTAAGTGGTTGGTTCGATAATATATACCCCCTATATTTATAATTTCAAATTGATGTGGCAAAAAAAAAAAAAAAAAAAAAAAAACAGAATAAAATACTTAATGAATTTTACTTATTACTAGCCAATCAAGTTTCAATAATTCTGGCATGATCAGAACAGAAACTACAAAATAAAATTGTATAATTTAATTATCGTAAACAGTTTTTTAACAATTCTTTCTTATTCAAAAAAAGCAGAGATTACCTTCAAAAAAACATAAAATTAGTCTTACTTTCTTTTCTGTTCGGAATCAGCCAATGCATCAAATGAACTTTTCTGTTGGAAATTTTGTGTAGAATCATTCCTCTCCCCCTCTCCTCCCAGAGTTTGGCCATTAAGAAGTGGGACACCCTGTATATGTAGTGCTATATAATTAATCAAATGATTTCATATTGAACAATATCTCTAGGAATGCGGATTGACCGGTAAAGCCATCACTTACAAGGAACTTAGACATAAGAGTAAATCTCTGGGCACCAGTCTCTCACAGCTGGGGTTAAAAAAGAAGACGGCTCTGTTTGTTCTTCCTAACTGCCCAGAGTTCCCTCTGGCATTACTTGGAGCTCTGCAAGCTGGTATGACAATATCTGCAGCCAATCCAATCTATACACCAGGTACCTTTCATTATTATTTTTTTTTTCTAAGTATTTACCGCTAAAGTTGAGAGTTTACTAAACATATTTTTTTATGAGCTCCTTCCATATTACTTGATCAAAGGACCAATCTTCTTATAGATCAAATCATATATTCCTCCATTTCTTTATACTAAGGCTTTCTTGGTATACCTCGACTTCTTTCTTCCAGTGTCCACCTATATAATTCCTCTGGCAATATTTTAAATGTTCCAACAATTCTTTTTTCTGAGAAATTATATGATATTCTTTGTTATTTGGCAATGATTACTTCCAATTAACAACAATTGAATTTATTCGTTGTATTATCAAAATTGCATGTTTACAAGTTTACGTTTCGGAATATTTACTCCCATCTTCAGAACCATAATTCCAATGATCTTGTGGATACATGTCCAAAAAAAATTTTTTTTTTGAGTTAAAATGTAGTGCATGTTACAATACATGTCACAATTGGGTTGATACAATAAATTTGTAATTATCTTAAATCTAATATGCTCCATCGTCAGTTTCTATTTCATGTTACAATAAATCTAGGTATATAACATCTAGAGCAACATCTTGCTTTTAGACTAATTATAGGGTGTCTGCCATACTGAATACAGTTGACTTTTGGATATGACTTTATTTGTATACTATTGTTGTTAATGTTTATTCAATTAAATTTTAATTTTGTTTAATATGTCCACATAATGTGTTCCTAAATGTTTAGTGTCTCTTTTATAATTTACTGTTGTTCTATTGTTTTTTGTGATGTGTATTGCTTCAAGTAATTCCTATTGGTGTTTTTTTGGTTCTGTGCCTATTATCTGTGGTTTATTGTAGTTAAATTTATCCTGTAATCTTATGTTGTGATGTGCTAAAGCTGTTGTGTTTATGTTTTTTGTATTTTCACAGTTAGTAATATGTTGTGAAATTCTGGTCCCTAATTGCTTGGATGTTTCACCAATGTAGATTTTGTGGCAGTTTTGACAATTTAATTTTTATATTACACTTTTCTAGTTTATTAAGTCTATTTTATGCTTTGTATTGGTGATGTACCTGCTCAGTTTTTTATTATTATATTGCCTGAGTTTAATTTCTGTTATGTCATAATTTTTGAACACGTCTTTAATTTTGTTAGTAAGTTCGGGTATGTATGTCATTTTGTAGTAGTAGTTAAAGTCCATTTTGTTTGTTTGTGACATGTTGTCCTGATTGTTCTCGTTTGTTGAATTTGTTTTTTCAAAAAATTGGATGATGCATTGTTGTGTAGGTTTCTTTATTATTTTATATTATCATATTATAATAAATAAAATAATAATATTTTAAATGTTTCAACAATTCTTTTTTTTTAATGAATAGAAAAGCGTGCTCATTATTCTGGGACGAAGTCCCCCTAAGACAAAAATAAATGATCATCACATAGTGGTCAAAATCGTGCGGTCGTACTATTTTTATATTAAATGTATATTCATATTTGAGGAATAGTTGGTTGGGGGTGCGATCAACAAACACACATTATTATGTAGTTACATTTATTAATATCCTATTTATTAACAAATATTGCATCATGATAGTGTGTAATTGTTGAACTCACCTCCCTCCCACCCAACTATTCCTTAAATCAGAAGAACTACCCTCAATAATTTCCATATCATCAAAAATGTAGATTCATGTACATTAATCTGAATAAAAATTAGGTTAAAATATTATATTTTCCAAATCAATCTTTCTTAAATCTGAATTAAAATTCAAATAAGATTTTGGTGTCATTTAAAAATATATTAATGTACAGGTGAATTGAGACACCAGGCCAATGATGCAGGAGCAAATTGCGTAGTGACAGATGCTGGATGCCTAGACCGAGTGCTGGAAGCAGTAGCTGGTCTGAACCTACCAGTAATCTCTACTGGAGGATCAACTAAAGAAGGAGTCATCTCCTTTGAAGAGGTTTTTATTTTACTTTTTCAATTTTTTTTCTGCTCAAAAAAATTATTTTTTGAATATTTAAGTTTGTTAGTTTCTGATTAATACATAGTTCTCATATTCATTATTTGTAGCTTATTAACAAAGAAACCGATAACAGCTTACTTCCAACAACAGATGAGAAAATTGGACAATTGGCTATGTTACCTTACTCCAGCGGCACCACAGGGTTACCTAAAGGGGTACGCCTGCAACATAGTAGTATCACGGCTAATATTGAACAAATTGCTCATCCTAAGGTCAATTGCATCATGGACACCACAGGTAACGGATCTCAATTATTTCATATTTAATAATGAATTAAGTAATGTGTTGTATTATTTTTTATTAGTTAATTAATACTTAGTCTATTGATATAAGTTTATACTTCCATAAACGAAAATCAAGTTCAATTAATGTCATAAACTTTTATTAATTTTTTTTTTATCTCAGAGAGCCATCAGGATGTAATACCTGCGGTACTACCATTCTTCCATATATATGGATCAACATGTGTGATGATGAGATGTCTGCGTTTGGGTGCCAAACTTGTTACCTTACCCAAGTTTGATCCCCTTCCCTTCCTTCAAATTCTAGCTAAGAATAGAGTGAGTGTTACTAAAATTTATTTTCTATTTTAAAAAAATACAAATGTATAATTAAAGAAGAACACTGAGTTAAACTTTCTTTCAAAGTTCAAATTAAAAAAAAAAATGTTTTATAGCATTTTCTATATTATTAGCATATTATTACAAGATTTCAAGACAGCTTTTACTAAATAATACATATACTCCGCATACAGAAAAATAAATATTTAATTAATATATTTTATTTTGTATTAATTAAGTATTTTTACGGATTAAAAAAGGATAATCACAGGTTTTTTTACACACTAATAATTATCATTTATTTTTATTTTTTTATATCATTGAAATTCAAATTTTGGTAATTGAAGTCATGACATGAATGTGGTTTATGCAGAACATAGTGCTCCACGCTGTTCCACCCATCATCAACTTTTTGGGTACCCATCCGCTAGTAAAGCCAGAAATGCTGCAGGGTATCAGGTTTACAATGACTGGAGCAGCACCCTGCAGTCCTTCTGACATAGCAAGGTTGAATGAGAAGAAACCTCATTACATTCTACAAGGTATCTGTTCTGTTTTTGGTGAAACAATTTACAAAATTACTGTTACATGCAACATTATATAATAATCTAAATCCATTAAATAAAGGCATAATTATTTGACTTGTTGCACTTAAGAATTCTTAAGGTTTAATGCAAATCATTCATTCTAACAATGTTCTTGTACATCAATCTTCTTTTATGGACATATGGGCGCAACGCATTTAGGTGTATGCTCAAGCTTGTTGAACATAAGAGATATCACGTCTTCCAAATCGGAATGGTATTGGGCTGGAAGATCTCTGATGGCGGAAGTCCATAAAGAGACGCATAGTTATAAAATTCAATATTCTTTTGGTAATGTTATTCAGAAACTTATAACCTCCTCTACTCTATTTCTCCTTCATTCATTCGGAATTCTCCGCAACCTGGAGATGCAACAGCTTCTCCGTAAATCCATCTCTAGCACCAATAATCTTTTGCTTTTGCTTATACCTTTGTTAATGTCCCGAACTGTGATCCATATAAAGTTGATCTTATAAGGAAGAAGTGGTTAACAATAAAATATTTTTTTTACTGTACCAAACTTTTATATCATCACCTTAAGAATGTTTAAAGCAGTGCTCTATAAACATTTCCAGTTCTCAAAGATCACTTTTTAAAATTTTTTTTGTTCTCCCCTTCCTCGCCTTTTAGCTTATACAAGGTTTTCCAGAGGGTGAGGGAGGGGAATCAATGCCAGAGTTAAATGACTCTATAACTTTGATTATCAGGTTGCAGGGCAACCCGTGGAGCTCTAAACACACGTTAGCCTGCTTGACCACTCTGTTCCTTTCTCAGAGATAACTGAAATAGTCAAGTTGAAAAGCATATGTTCCATTTTTTCAATAACTAACTCCAGGCCGTATTTCAAGGTGATTTCCCATCATTAATGCTATGACATACTTATCCAATGATATGACAACTTTGTTGTTTGCAAGCTGAATAAATGAGAGGTTTTTTCAATTTTATTCTAAGCAATAGTGTCAAATTCTTTTTAGTGCTCAACTTAAAACACTGAGCCTAGAAAAGAAATATAGAAGACCTCCGAAGATGTGAAGAAAGAGGATGTCAGGGAAGATAATAAGACAGCTAGAGATCTACCAAAGAATAGTTAATAGAGATAGTACAAATAGAGTTTATTTGAGGAATGGAGATCTAGGAGTACTGTGGATTGTAATCTGACACTGTCGTAAAATAATAATAAATTACAAAAAGTATTCAACATAGAATAAGAGTTATTTGCTTTGATAAAAATAACATTTAAATCAAGAAACAGTAGAGATTTTTGATACATTATTGCATGTATTTAGTTACAGCAAATTATCCAAACAATCTTAAGTTAAATAAAAATTGATGATTAATTAAAGATGTACATATTAAAATCAATCTGGTCCCCACAGCTTATGGTATGACTGAGGCTTCGCCAGTATTGACGTTCCCATTGGTGGGAAGCACAGACACAGCCACGATTGGTGCACCAATCCCAAATACTATGGCTAAAGTGGTTGACCCAAACACTGGAGAAAATCTGCCAGCTGGCCAAAATGGTGAACTTTGCTTTAAAGGACCTCAGGTATCATATCTTATTCAACTTTTTACAGTATTTACTTTACAAATTATTTGCTTATTGTAATAAATTTCAATATTATGTATGATAAAATATATTTACTTGATTTTTCTTTACAGAGAGTATAAATCACATCTTAGGCATATAATATCATAAGATTTGTTTATTCATAATTTATATTTATAACATATAATAATAAATTAAAATAAAACACTATATATTGTTATTACAAAAATTCACTAAGTGCATTTTCGATGTAGATTAATTTTCGATAACGTTGTTATGAATTTTGACAATATTTATCGAAACAAAAAAATTTTAAGGGCATGAAAAAGAAACAAACCCTTATATGCATCAAATATAATTACAACAAGCGCACAACTTTCTGATTTTATTAAGGAAAAATTGTTCAAAGTTCTTCATTAGTTATGGTTAAGAAATGTCACTTAATGACTTTTTGCAATAAACCGATGATATAATCTATAGATATTTCCACTATAGACTCCCAAACCATCCAATCAAAATTTCAAGCAATCTTCACATAAGTCAGAGATTTTTTTTTTCTTTTTTCCCATTTCTTCCACAAAATAAATTTCAACCTGCCTAAGCCAGTTTTGAACCAGGATCATTAAAATAGAGGTCGCTAAGGTGCTCTGTGAGTGGAAAAATATTTCTTAATTTATACCACAGTTTCCAGTAAATATCATATGTAGTCACTTCAAATAAAGCATTTACACAAACTATTAAGAATATTATAGTTGATTGAAGAAAAGAATGTTTTCCACAGACAAATGAATGTTGCCTTCATTAAATCAGAAATTAATGAAGATTACCTCTTTTTCAAAATCTGAATGTATATAATCTTAAAAATTAATGCATTTATTTTCAAGACTAAAGAAGCTAGTTTATATTAAGGTATACATTATATTTTCTAATCGGAAAAATTAGAACTACTGGATTCAAAAATTTACTTTCAAAAAGCTTCAACATTTCTAAAATATTTTTTAATTAAAAAAATGTGTAATCATTGAAAATAGACTGTTAGAATTTTTAATTATCCCCTTGATCTTAAAATAAATGCCTACAACCCTCTTAATCTAAAAACTGAAAGCTAATGCTCCCTCCCTCTTATATATATTAAAATTAATTATTAACAAACAAAACACATTAGTGTTAGTTTTCTTACTATCTCAAAACAACTCATTAATATTCATACGCAAACAATTTCTAACTGCACTACTGATAAATATAATGCACTGGAGAAAAGGAAGACAGTATAGAAATGGAACAAAATGACAATGTTGTGTTCAATAGTTTCTTGCAGAAAATTGGATAAAAACTAATTTACCACTATTAGAGATACTTGCACCACTGTCATAGAAAAGCAAAATATCATTGCTGAAATAATTTTCTTAATTTATTAATATTATGAGCATTGATCCTCAGTTAACTGATTAGTTGATCATTCTTCTGAAATGTTTAAACGTTAACTGCTTCATTTTAACCTTTCTTAGGTTATGGAAGGATACCACAACAATGCAAAAGCAACAGAAGAAACTCTGAAAGATGGCTGGCTGCATACAGGTGATATTGGATATGCAGATGAGGAAGGAAACTTCTTCATTGTCGATAGATTGAAGGAACTGATCAAAGTCAAAGGTTTTCAGGTGAATAAAGATTTGGTTCTTTGAATTAATTATTAACCTATCGATAATACTGAATTGTAGGTTTTTTAACTGGTTAGGAATATGTAAACATTAGAAGTGTCACTACACCATCGCTGGGCTAAGATCACATTAATCACACTATATATGGAATTCATAAGAAGTTAAGTGTGTTTAAAAGAAAACGGAGATGATTATTTTACAAGATAAACAGTTGTGATCTGACTAAAACAGTAATCATTTTAATAAACACCAATAATCTCAGTTAACCTTTCATTTTGTATTAGTGAGAATCAATCCAGGAATACTCACATACTTTTGGAATTCCAGCTACAATGTGATCGGTGTGATCTCAGCCCTGATGCCACTTTACACTATCACTGTAAAGTGTGGGAACATCACACCTAGAGGGTAACATTATTCTAAAACTAGAACAATTATTTTTTCATGATGTAGCCAAAAACCTATGGAGTGACAGAATTGGAAATGGGTTCTCTATGAAACTTAAAGTTATATCTCTATGAAACAGAAATCTGTTTTTTAGAGTTGGGAAGAAATGATTTTAATTTTGGAGTAATGTTCCTACCTCTAAGGTGGAAAGTTCACATTTTTTAGCAATTTTGTTTAAAAAATACAGCTCAATAAAGAAAAAGAAAAACTTAAATTTAAGTTATTCGTAATATATTCACTTGCATCAGTAGGTATCAGACAGTTTAAAATTTAAAAGTAGTTATTATCATTTATTCTAAACAATTTTGAGAAAAAAAAAGTTAGTTCACCATCAATTAATTTATTAAAATCAAACAATAATTCTTATTCAGAATTTAAGGTCCTATTTTAAATTGTAGGTGGCTCCAGCTGAACTAGAAGCTTTACTCCGCCAACATCCAAAGGTAGCTGAAGCTGGAGTTACTTCTGCAGTATGTCCTCGTTCAGGAGAAGTCCCTGTTGGTTTCTTGGTACCTGTTCCAGGTTGTTCCATTGATGCAGAACAGGTGAGTTCCTGGATGAGCGACCAAGTCGCTCCCTATAAACGACTAGCCAAACTTCTAATAGTCAATGAAATTCCCAAGTCTGCCTCGGGCAAGATCCTACGAAAGGAGCTAAAGGAGATTGCCAAAGCAGAAGTACACCTTTAATAAAGAAACAAGATAGAACCAATAAAAGAAAGTCAAAGTGTTATCACTTGTATAAATAATGACTGAAAAAAAATTGAACAAATTAATTCAGCTCATTATAAATAGGAAAATTTCAACCACTAACAGATATCTGTGAAAGATTTAAAATTCCTAAAATTTCTATTTATCAAAGGGTTTTCAGAAGTAATGTGTTTGATTTTTCAGTCAACAGCAAAACATCTGCACAAATTTAAACTAGATGAAAAGGAATAATTTATTTTTCCTATAAAGAAAGAAGTTCTCAAAAAATAAGATATAATTTAAACATAGAAGAAATAGCACTTTCTTTACGATAAGAAACAAATTACAGCACAAATGTGGATTATCGATGCGCACATTAATAATACATGATATTAATGGCAGAGCAGAACATACATTTTTTTTTCCTGAGATTGGCAAGCACTGAAATTTAAAACAAATATGTTGAATTCTAGTTCATTAATCTTAATGGAGTAGTTGAGAACCAGAAAATGGACATGGAGAAACAGAACATGGAACACATAATAGTGGTAATGTTTACAAATTGTTATAAACATATTATTACACTAACATTAATGGTTCAAATAATTATGAATAGAATCTGGATTTTCTTTTAAAATAAACAGCTAAATATGTACATATATGTGTAATTATACTTTCATAAATATGTTAAAAATATATGAGAATGTAAAGCGGGATGCTTCTTATCTTAACACATATTCGTCTGCATGACAAAAATTTTTGTATGTGATTTGTATATTACAAAAAATCTTTTCTTTTTTTTTTCAATCAACACCAGTTAATTACATTTATTAACAATCAGTAGATGTGCTGGCTAAATAACGATAGCAGAAGATAATTTATTCTTGTTATTTTAATTCTAAATAAATTAAATTCTCATCTTTACCAGAGATTCATTTTGTGAACGATAGTGTAAAAAATTAGCAGATGAACATGTGTTAAAATTCACTGAATTTCTTGTTTAGAATATTTTCCTTCTATTTGTACTGATTTATTTTTTTATTTAAAATTTTTTGTTTGCTAAATATGTACGATAATGTGTAGATATAATCCAAATATGTTAAATGTTATATCCTTCAAATTTGTACAAATATGTAAAATAAAAAATATTTTATTTGCTTTTAAAATCGTATGAAACAAAACATAAACTATCGAAGAAGAATGTAAGAGGCTCAGAAAAAAATTATGACCATATATTTTTATATTATTTTAAATATTTATTTTTAAATAGAAAATTTTATATTCAACTAGTTTGATCATTCGATTCCCTTCATCATCATTCTAAGCTATATTAAGAACCAGTTTTATTAGATTTTTTAATTTCAATAATTTTAGAAATACAAAACCCCTCCTAAGAAACTGAAAGAAATCTTATTTTGAACTATTGATATACTTTAATTAATCATGTTCTTTTAAATCACAGTTTACTACATCACTCTTTTGCTGATGCATTTAAAGTTTTAAATACTTTATAAATATTTGTGATAGTAGATATAACATTAAAAAAAAATTCATAATCGCTTCGAAAGTTCAGCCATACCTTCATCAAAATCTTGATTTAGGTTTGCAACACCTAACAACTATTTCTTTTTAATATAAAATAGTTGCTTAATTTAATTCACAGATATCTGAGTATTCTTGATCCTCTTAAAAGATTTTGTAGATAGTAAGTTGATATAGATAAAAATGAAAACTCAAGGTTAATTAATAACTATAAATGAAGTTATATATACATTGCTTTAATTATTAAAACTATATTTACAAATAATGTACAAGTATAATACAAATAAAAAGAAACAGTATAACTAATAATATTATATAAAAAACAAAAATTAGTAATCAGCAGCGTTGCTCGCCAAGTAATCTCTGCGTCCAATATTTGAAGCCTGCTTGCTCTGTATCGCTTCAAGTTTCGGGCAGTCGGTAATCCTATGTCCCAAACCACCACAATAGCTACACCCTCGTTCATCTGTTGGCATATTAAAGCATAACTTTTAGATTATCCGAAATATAAAGAAAAAAATATATAATCCTTAATGACAATCCACTAGCTTCAACTGATTATAATAGGCTCATTTTTCTTTCTGGTAGAATAAACAGTGGACAAATTCTTTTTAAATTAATTATTCCTTATACTTAATTTTATGTTTTGTGATAATTCTTGGACATCAACACAAGTTCAAACTTTAAGTCAATGTTTTTAAATATAGTTTCACTTCACTCGCATTTAAAAAGTATAAAAATGAAAACTTGGCATAAATGTAGTGCAGGTAGGCTTTAGAAATGTTTTTTTAAGATCAGTATTACTCAAGATATGAATTAAATACATATGGTGTGCTTATAATAATACTAGCATTTTCTTTGATTGATTTATTATTAATGGTTTAAAAAGACGACGATAAGGCCCACTTGCCAGACTATTTCCTCCCCCAGGTATCAGTAGCAGTTTATATATACCAGTATTAATGGTTTCCTTTTTGTTCAATTAATTGTTCATTAATTTAAATTTTACAAGAAAGCAATAAAATGATTATGTTTTGCAAATTTTCAATGACAAATTCACATTTTTTTTTTTAATGAATAGCATTAAGTAAGAACTAATGTACTGCCAGAACAGGGGAACTAAAAGTTTTGACACTGATGTACAAAAGTACTTATGGAGGGACCTTTCAATGAGGACGCGACTGTGTATGTTCAATCATTAAATTACTAAATAATTATTTTGTTTAATAGAAAAATATTAAAACTTTTCAAATAAACACATTAATTGAAAAAATATATTGATAATGAACACCCATAAATACACTAAAACAATCATTTAATATAATTTAACAGATTCCCAGAGACAGAATGGCTCCATGTATATACTGATAGTTCTGCACTGGAAGCAAACAAACATGCTGGAGCTGGAGTTTATTCAAACGAGTTTCAACTTGCCCCCCCGGTCAGAAAGGTAGCAACAAACTTTGAAGGGGAAGTGAAAGCCATTCTCTTAGGCCTTGAGAGATTAATTGAACGGAAAGACATACAAGAAAAGAAAGTTGCTTTCTTTGTTGACTCACAGGCAGCCATTTTGTCTCTCCAAAATGGGTATAATATAAACCCAAATGTTCCTAAATGCCATCTATATTTGAACCGATTAAAGAAAAATGGGACAGAAGTCGCTTTCCAGTGGATACCAGGCCATTGCGGGCTCCACGGAAATGATGAAGCTGACAAACTGGCCAGAATAAGTTCTGGAATGATCCAACCAGATATTCCTCTGGGCATGGATTCAACAAAAAGAATGATACAACAGACCCTCCAAAGTTCACTGAAAGAGAAATATGTGGAAACAATTGAAGGGAAACGATGGAGTGGATTGCTCGAAGAAAGTGGCAGGATCCCTAGCGACCTCCCTAGAGGGCAAGCCGTGGCATGCTTTAGAATGCTCACAGGCTATGATTTCCTTCAGAAGCAAGTCCACTGCATCGGTGTAAAAGATAGCCCGACATACCCTCTATGTTCCTAAGACATGATGACAGGAGAACATCTTGATACATGTCTTGCATTACAGGACATAAGATGTTCCTTTAATGAAATGGACAGCCCTTATGCTAGAAGAGCATGGCTGATGAGGCAGTACAATAGCTAAAAAACTTACAATAGCTATGTAAAAACTGTGTTATATCATAACTCTACTTTCTCTTGAAATGAACTAATTTTTAAACAGTGAATAAATTACAAATTTTAAATTTCTATCATCAGAATGTAAACAAAGTTTTCATTACTACACTTTGAATTTATTCATAAGTAACATTGACTGCATTAATCATTTCTTTCATATACATCTACTAAATGTAATAAAATCACATTAAAAAAATATGTAGTTATTAATATTAAGGAAAATAAGATAAATTAAAATATTTAAAAAATCACCTCCAAGATCCAAATATTTCTCATTCTCTGATTGCAAATCAGCAAGGAATTGAGGAACGGCCTGTTTCGCTTCAATGAGTAGATGCTTCAGGTCAAGAAGAACACTCTCGTCATTTGATTTGTTGATAAACGTTGTCGCCAGCCCCCTCTTTCCTGATCTTCCAGTACGCCCGATACGATGGACTAGAACACACAACAGTTTATATTACTTATTATTTTAGAAAAATTACAATTAATTAATCAGAGAAATGAACATTTTTAATGGAATTTCTACTATCTTCATACTAAAACTGGTATATTCATGGTGATACAAAGACTCATAAGCAATAAGAAATGGTATGGAGTAAAACAAATATGCTAAAAATTCATCCAATTCCAATACATGGGAGCGAATTCGTGGGTAAATGTTTAATTCATATATTATTTTTAAGCAGATTCGTTTGTCAATTTTCAGTTGTAGATCAGTTAAAAAAATTCTGAATAATTAATTTTTATCTTATATTCAGACAGTTTTACATTTGCCATATACAGCAAAAGACGGAGAAAATAGCATCCCAATGGGACATTTTGATATTTTAAAACATTATCCTGAATTTGAAAAAAAATAATCCAAAACTTCTTTTTTTATAACTAAAACTCAAAAATGTGGTAAAGTAAATAAATAATTGCCAAGCTAAATATTGTATGCCTATAAAATAATTTCTCAGTAATCCCAATTTACAGTACTCCAATAATAGTTTTCTTAAATGTATTAAAACTTTTTTTTTTGTTTATTTAATGAAATTTACAACTGTATACAAATACAACTAGTAAATATGCACAAATTATAAATAATGACATGAACAGACTTGAAGAGATACTACCCAATGGTAGCACTTTCTAAATAATTCTAGGTAAAAAGATCACGAGTCCAACTCCTTTTCAGAGGCCATGGACGATTATCAGGAATTGTGGAAGAAGCAAGGCTGGAAACAAGGAGATTTGGATGGGACTGGAGTTTATCATGAAAGGATAGATATCTGGCTTGGGCTAAATCAGTGACATATGGTACATTAAGGTCTTTATGAATGGTTTTATTTGTGACAAAGTATGGAGCATTAAAGATTTTACAGAGGATTTTGGATTGTAAGGATTGGATACGATAGGAATTCGATGGTTTGATGGAGCCCCAAAGCTTAACTCCATATGTTCATATAGGTCTTATCATAGTTATGTAGATAAGTCTTTTGTAATTAATTGAAAGTTTAGAGCGTTTGTCTAGTAAGTGTTGTGGAGCAGTCAGGAACGTCGAGCAGTTTCTTGTCGTTTCAATCTAGTATGAGGATTCCAAGTAAGACGTTTATCCAAGTGGAGTCCTAAGTAGCGGATTTGCTCAACAGGAATAAGTGGAGTATTATTGAAGGATACTGTAGGAAAAGAAGTCATACGTTATGACAATTGTTTTCTTTAATTTTGATATTCTGTTTAACATTAAATAATTCAAAGTTATGTTAAACTTATCATAAAACAATATTATTTAATTGCTGTATAAATTTGAATAAACTTTGTCAAATATATTTATTATTGTTTCTTATTGTATTGGAAGCAGAGTAATTGATTATAATCAATATATTTAAATAAATAAAAGTATAAATAAAACATCAATTACCATAGTTTTCAACGTCATCAGGCATATCATAGTTGATGACATGTTGGATGTCCTGGAAATCCAAACCCTTGGAGGCGACATCAGTAGCCACCAGTACATCTTTCTTTCCAGCTCGGAATGCTTCAACAGACCTACATCGCTCCTCCTGGTCTAAAACAAAATGAACCAATAACTATCAATCTAAAACAAGATAATAAAAAAAAATATTACATAAGTAAATTAAAAGCTCAACTTATAAAATGAAGATTAAAAAATGTATATATCCACAAAATGACATAATATTACAGACATCAGAACTAAACTTGGAACTACTTTTATTTTTAAATACAGTCAAATTAAATCTCTCTTGTAGTAAAATTAAAAAAATTTCAAAAGTAAAATTTATAAGTTACAAATTAAAAGTTACAAACACAAAACTAAAAGTTTTGGGCCAATTATATATTGAAACTGAAATATAAATAAATTTGTAAAAAGTATAATGAATAAAAATAATAAAGATAAAGAATACAACTTTAAAACATATGCGTGAATGTAATGTTGAGCTTAAATATTAATCAGAATATGATTGTATTTCTTCACTATTACATCAAGGTTTTAACAAAGCTTTTTTTGGAACATTTTCAAATAGCCTCAATAACTTTATATTAAAAAACAACAGTACCTTTCCCTCCGTGAATAGCAACAGCTTCAATCCCTTTTAAAAGCAGGTATTCATGTATGGCATCGACATCCTGTTTCTTTTCAGCAAAGATCAACACCGGTGGGCTAGTCTTTTGTAAGCATTCAAGTAAGTAAACTATCTTCGCTTCTTGCTTCACATATTCCACCTCCTAAAAAATATAAAAAATAAGGATTATACAAACATGTATCAAATAGTATCTAAAACAAAAAACTCCTTTTATATTGCGTTGCTAGTGTATAGAAAAGTCTGTAAATAACCAAATAAAGTTAATTGTTTAAGACCTTTTTTGGCGGGAATAAGCGAATAGCCTTCCGTTTTTATATCGGGGAACTAGGTTATTTACACTCTTGAATATTAAAACAAAATCCTGGCACTGGATATCGACTTTTTGAGAGTGTTTAACTGTTGTTGTGAATTCGGGAATCTAATACCTTTTGTGACATTGAGTGAGAAACAATAAGAATATATGTATATGAAATGTGGGACTTATTAAATACACTTTAAATGAATTGACTCACCTGGTTTATTCTTCAATTGCGAGGCCTATAGGACAACTAAATAAAAGGACTATTCACTCCTTTCTAACAAAACAATTTATTTTAACAACTGATATAAGTGAATATATTAAAGTCCAATAACTGTAGGCTTCACGTTCTTAGTCTTCAATGTAGTAGGCCTCTCTTTCCAGATGATGTCTTCTCGTGTTCGTGTCCAGGCCTCAAGTGCCCCTTCTCTCCCTGGCGTCTTCCTCCAGCTGCTGCTACCTAGTCTGACCTTTTTCCTTCTTCATCGATTGTTTATCGATATGAGACTTTTCAAAGAACAATTTGTCCACTGCACAATTGAGTACAATTCACAGTGCAACCTCACATTCCTATATATTATATATTCCTTCTCATTACCTCACACAATGTCATCTAAAGGAGTAAATACAGGGGGATGTCTACTACAATTCACTATTGGAAAAAAATAAACCGAAGATCCTTAAAAAATTACAGCAATTAAAACATTCGGATAGCTAAAGAAGCATCTTAAACAACAGACTATTTCTTTGGAAAAATTATAATACCCATAAATTCAATGAAGAGTTGAAAAAGATATTAATATTTACCAATATTGATACAAAATAACGTAGGTTAAATTTTTTGGATTTTGGAGAACTCATCATTGAGTAATAGAATCATATTAATCAATGCAAGAACTTAATAAATGAATGTACAATATCTTGAGTGGCATTTACAAGACTCTGAGAGTTAAACCATTTTAAAATACCTTTTAGTACCCAAAATATCATAAAGTGAAATCAGCAAACCATGCTTTTTTATTATTATTTAATTTTGTTTTCAATGTTTAAATCTACTTTGGGTAAGAGAAAATAAAATAAAGATATAATACTCAATTCTCTAATGGATAACTATTCATATTTGACGATATATTTACAGAAATTAAAAAAATGAACTATTTATAAGAAATAATAATAGCAACCACCAGTTTCCCCCTTAGCTGTTAAAAATAAGTGAAGACAATTGCATTATTATTAATTCAGACATTTAATTTTCAAAACTAGTTTGTGATTATACAAAACTAATGTTAAAATAAACTTAGAAAATTAAATTAGAAAAAAGATTAAACTAATTTAATAATCATTAAATGTAATATACCATAACTCACCTGTATAACATTTATTGAAGCAGCACCCGCTCGCCCGACATTGATCGTAATAGGCTTCACAAGAGCTGAGCGAGCAAAGTTTTGTATTTTCTTCGGCATAGTAGCTGAGAAAAGGAGAGTCTGCCTCTGGCCCTGTTGAAGGTTAGGAAAATTATAAGTCAATTTTTAGTTTTAACATTAACCATCATCCAATGAATAAACAATACTTTTTTTTTATTAAAATACTGACTTCATTAATTTTAAACTAAGAAACACAATACTAAAATATCAGATGATACAGACGATAACAGAACTTTATAACCTGATTAGGTATTAACAATTTGTTCTATTGTTTTTAACTGCAAAAGTTGCAAATTATTGCAAAATGATTAAATATTCTCTAATAGAGGTAGGTAGAGTGGGGGTTTTAGGGCGATATCTCTAATAGATAAACCCTAACACACAATAAAAAGTGTAAAGCTAAGAAAGAATTATTCAGTCATTTGTATCTAAGACTTTGTTATAATTATTCCAAACACTTTGTCTTTTTTTTGTCAGAGAGAGAAATCTCTAACATCTTCTACCACGTTAAAGCAAAATGATGCAGCGAAATGATGTCGAGTTCCTTTTCTAGGATCTTTGTAGGGTGACATGTGACTTCATTACCAAATCTCTAGAAAATCGACACTGTAGTTTCCGAGATAAACCGTGTAAGGTATTTGAATGGATTTTTTTTTTTTTGTTACTAAACTAAAAAGATTTATTATTGTGAACAATAAATCAAAACATAAATTGGGAAGACAAGTGATCCAAAATGATTATTGTCAGAAACTGGAGACTATGCTTACATAATAAATATATTAGGAATAAGTAAATACACATGCATTTAACACCCCGAAGTTTGGTACCATAAGAGAGGCAAATTTTTTATGGGAAAGGGATACAATGGTAACTGACATATATAGGAGGTGGCGTGGCCGAATGGGCCGTGTGTGTTAACGCAAAGTTGCTTGGCAACCAGATAACCAAACCCGGTGGCGAAGGGGATTTTAAATTCACCGCCTATTTATTCTTGATCCTTGACTGATAAGAATTCAACATTGCTTGATTTTAAAGAAGTAGATCAATTAAAATAATAGATTTTTTCTTCCAGGACTGATTTCAGTCATTAGACAAATTAAGTCCTCAATTGATAAACAAGTCAAGGCCCGTCGCAATTATTGTATAAAAATCAGTGTGATAAGGGTCTGATGATCAAAAGTGGTCATGGAAGAAAATTATCTATTCAGAAAGACAATTCCTTTTTATTTTAATTTTCTTATATGTCACAATAAAAAATAAATTGTTATCATTTCAATTTTCTATAGATAAACAAATTTTACACCATACCTTAAAGAATGAAAAAATTGTCCTCACATCCTCTTCAAAGCCCATGTCTATCATTCTGTCGGCTTCATCCATACAGAGGTACCTGAACAATTTAACATAAATAGTTAATAATTATAAAACCAATCGATAAAATAAAATAAAAATCAACAAAAAAACTGGTAAACAGCATTAGGTTCATTTATAAGAAAGCATTGCTTCTTTGATGAAGTTTATAGGAAGTATGCTTCAGGATCATGGAGCCAATCCATATAACAAAAAATATAGTTGAAGCACAGGCGGATCTACGGAGGGGGGGGGAAGCGTTCGGGCTGAAGCCCCCCCCCCCCCAAAATGGTAAAATATAACCATGTTTTTTGGAGGAAAATATTTAAAAAATACCTCTTAAAGTGTGGGCGGGGTGGCAGAATGGGCTAACGCGTGTGCACTGCACCGCCGTTGCCCGGCAACCTGATACATAACACTGCCAGAGGTGCCCAGAGTTGTTTTTAAATCCCCGCCCACACTCCCTGGCCCGGGAAAACCCCCGTATAGCTTTACAGGCGAGGAAGGGAAGGATAAAAAAAAACCTCTTAAAGTATTATTGTTCATGTACTTACGTTTAAAAGGATTTAACGAATTACTTAAACACCATTTCATACAGGTAGTAAGTTTCATTCTGTTTTTCCAAAGTAATTATCGTTATTTTTATAAAAAAAAAAAGGTTTCGGGCTGAAGCACCCCCTAAAATTAAATCCTGGATCCGCTAGTGAGTTGAATTAAAAATAGTTCGAGATATCGTTGACGGTAAATGTAACCATGAAGTGAATAAAGTTAGTTAGTTAGTTCAAATAGCACCAAGTTACTTCAAACCAATTTAGGACATGAACCGACACAATGCACTAGTAATGTTTTACGTAGTCTATGTAACTAATGATAATTAATTGGTCTCTTTTTAGTTAAAAGATAATACAGAATAAAACCTCATAAAAAAAATGAATGTTGAATACAAAACATTCTCATATAATGTACCTGCAAATATCTAACCGCACCATCTTCTTATCAAGCATATCCATCAGGCGACCAGGAGTAGCTACCATGATGTGAACACCACTGAAATGACAGAAAAGAATGATTACTGAGATATAATTTTGACATGGAAACAAGATACGCACATAACACTAATCATAAAGGAGTAGCCTAAGTTTCAAGGCAAAGTTCTTTTAACAAATTCAACTTCAGGCCAAGTGTTTCCTTCATTTATGTGAAAAAAAATCTGCTTCATCTGAATCTCCTCTCCTGTTAATTAAATAAAAGCATTTGTTGGCTATTTACTTATAACAACTCAATTTCCAAAGGTTTTCTGTTTTTTTTTTTTAAAGATAGTTCTTTAGGTCCAATCAAGTTCTTTTGGTCTCATTCATAGAAGATATTGAAAAATGAAATGAAATAAAGAAAAAAATAAATTTAGTTAAATTAATAATCAATAAGTTATCATAAATAATAATTTATTCTTTTTAATTATCAAAATCATCTGAAAAACATTATGATACTCGTGATAAATAAGGCAAATAAATTTGTTAAATGTTATAAGACGATCCATACCGTGAAATCACTTCAAGTGACTCACTCACTGGAACACCTCCGATGGCTAGAACTGATCGAATTTGTGGTGAACCATGCTTCTGCAAAACACCAGTATAGTGTTGAATGATGTCAAATGTCTGTTTTGCCAATTCACGAGAAGGGCAAATAATCAAACCTAAAACATTATCACATGAGAATATTATACACATTCCAAAATATAAAAAAATAAACATTTTATATAATCATATATATTATTTCTAAAAGGTGTTTTTTTGTCGGTAAGCCATAACTTCATCAATTTTTCATCAAATCCAATGATTGATCACCCATTTTGAAGATTAGTAAAAATAGTTCTATTCTACCGAAATTTCTGGAAAAAACTTATGAAGGAAAAGAAACTTAATTTGCGAATAACTCAAAAAAGTATGCATTTTTCCTGAATTGTATCCATGGTAATTAGAAAGATTACTAAATTACCTACAAAACAAATAAAAAATCGTAAATTCGGACAATTATTAACAAAGATACAGTCCATTAGTTTTGATATATTTAATAATTTCTTCCTCTTTAAAGATATTGCATTTAGTATTCTACTAAACTTTTTTTCCTGGCTGATATATTAACTTTATTATTTCTTAAAGCTATTTGTTTGTTCTTACATTTTCTTAAATAATTTTTAAAATTCCATGATCGGGAATTATTTTATTTTTATTACTTTTATTATCTTTCCAATCAGTGTTTAAATATAAGTCCTAGCAAAAGAATTTGTATAAATATTTTTGTCTATTATGTTAAAAGGAATATTGTAATCGACCAAGGAAAAAATATTAATTCCTTCCTTACATAATTCATCGGATCTAGTTATTTCCATATTGTTTTGCTATTTCTTCACTAAACAAAATTTTCTGCGAATTATTCGCATGGGCCAACTAGTAAATAAATATTAAAATTAGAAAATTCTAGTGGTAAAGACTATAATCAGATAATTATTTATTTTAATTCCTGTTATTGTTTAAAAAGTACAAAAGTGGTGCCCGATAGATGAGTATAGCATAATTTTTATTGTAATGATAAGTGATTCAGGCGAAGATATGAAAGTGAGAAACAATTTTGTCCACTAAATCATCTAAAGGGATATCAGTCCCAGATTGAATAAAATTTATTAATACTAATGAAATTCCAACTTGAATGACTTCTTTGAAGAAAATTATTAAGAGAATAAGTTAAAGGAAAGGGCAAAGAAAATAAAAATAAATTCTTTTACAGGACTATGTTGTACTTGTTAAAAAGCTGGTTGTACTTGTTTCAAGGTCACACATTTTTGTTAGATCATGCTAAGAGATCATTGTTAAGCTTTTGGTATTTCAATGACAAGCATTGAAAAAAAGGATTAATATACACCAAAATTTAAAATTTATTCTTAATATTTTTTTTGTAAAAATATTAATGATATAAGTACCGTAAGGGCCTTCATTTTTTATGAACGGCATCCTGGTCTCCTGTTCAAGGCAGAACATGATCAGTGGAAGTACAAAGACCAACGTTTTTCCAGAGCCAGTAAATGCTATGCCAATCATGTCTCGACCTGACAACCTGTAAAAAATCACTGACTTATTCAAAGATAATAAAAAATAAACAAATTATTAATTAATCAAGGAGAAAAAAAATGGTCAGAATCATGGAAAAATTTAAACATTATTAGGTAGACATATAAAAATAAGGAATAAACAAAAATGATAGTAACAAATAAGACAGGGGCACTTGATTAAATGTAGATAAAAATTAAAGATTATCAATTATCGTTTTAAAAAATAAATAAATAAACAATTAAAAAAGACAAAATATATAAAAAATATTTTGATAAATATAATATATTTTTATGAATATAAACAAATGAGAAACTAAGATGGGGGGAGCCTTGCAACTATAACTTATTGATCTTTCATTTTATTAAATTCATTCTGTTTGCTTTATTTTTAGTCAAATTTTTTCCCGAAAATAATAGACATTTCTTTTGCAATGAATCGAAGATCAATGAGATGGGGTGAAGGAGCATAATATATTCCTTTGAGAACCTCTAGAATATATTTATGAATATTTTGAGGATCACTGGTGAGTATAATTTTTTTTTCCTCATACATTTTGAAATAAACAGATTCCCCATAGGGTCAAAAGAGTGTAATTGTCTTCTGTAGAGTAGCTTTCTAGACAGACCAATGGACTGGATAAATTTTCAATATTTCCAAGCAGTTTTTCACATCATTTCTAAGTTTTTGAAAGTTTTACACATCTCTACATTTCTTCCTAGTAATGTTAGAGGATTGAAATTTTATATTTAAATTGAGTTGGTATTAAGTAACTACCTTCTGGGAGACTGAAATTTTTGTGTCCTACCTCTGCCATTTCGATAACTTGAATACAGAAAAAAATGATGAAAAATGAAAAAGAGTAAGAAAGTCAGCAATTTGATGATTTAAACATTCTATTCAATTTTCTCAGGTAAACATTAATGAAGTACTTTAATTGATTCTTATCTGTTCGCCGGACAAAAATACAGGAAAAATATGACATCAGTGATGGAGATCTACTGCCCATGCTTACTTTTAATCTTGTTTATCTCTTTACAGTTAAGGTACATTTTATTTCTTTCTGTTTTATATAGTTTTATTTATTTCTCCTCCCCCTACATCTTGTGACTTTATTTTCAATAATTAGTTCTGTCTAATCAGATGAATTTTTTTTTTCCTTTATATTAATCTCACTTCTTTGTTTTTATTTTTCCTTTTATACATTTTTAGTAGACTCAGATATTAACAATCAGTAAAATCTAGGAAAGATATCCCAGTTTTCTTATCATATTAAATAAACAAAATGTCAGAAAAATGTGCCCCTAGTAATATTAATATTATTATGAATTATGGATGGAAGTTAGTAGACTGTTCTACATATCACAGGTGATAAATATTCAGGAGGCATTCATTATAAAGATTTTATTAGTGCCGGCGTTTCAACCCAAACATGTCGGTCCAACATCAAGGCCGAAAATTTGTTTAATGCAATCAAAGATATAATATTATATGACAGATAATGGTTAATAATAAAAAGTAGTGAGTGATGATAAGTTATTACTACTACTACTGATTCCTGACTACTTTCAGAAGCTATATTCATTAATTTGGAAAAAAATAATACAGTAAACCACAAATTAGACAAAGAAGAGATCTGCAATATATATTAAAACATTTTCCACCTACTAAAACAATAGTTTATAATAATTAAAAATTGTTTTTCATTTGCCTCATTTCCCAGTCAATGTACAGAGGTAACTACTCCTACATTTATTATATATACATACATATATCGTCTATTCTCAATATAAATATATACTATAAACAGGCACAGATATGTTTATACTTATACTATTAGTCATGCTTAGTAATACTATTGTCATGCTTAAAATATTGTATAATATATTGTACTACTTATCTTTTTAATCCATTACAATTGTCTGTAATATAAACATTATTTGGCTAACCATTGTATACCTTCAATCAAACTATGTTATATTTATATTGATTGGCACGTCTTACTTATGTTCGTTTCATTACTAGCCAATAGTCACAATTTTGTTCACTATAAGAAACAATGCAATCTTGTATACATCTTGAATAATTTAGTCAGCAAATTATTTGCATCCTACAAACAGAAATGTTACTCGCCTTCCTCCTCTGACTATGTTTACCTACCTTTTTCTATCTTAAAAAGTACATCTGGGAAATTCTGCACTGACCTACCAAAATGACAGTACTTGAATACCTTCAATGCTCGAAATATGGTTAGTAAGAGAGAATATTACATTTTTTATAAATTGATCATACACATTATTTTTATATAACTTTTTGCATATTTTATTTATCATAAATCACTATTTTGTTATTATTGACCATTATAATATTATATCTCAGATTGCATTAAAAAAATTTTCAGCCCTGATGATGACCCACATGTTTGGATTGAAATGTCAGCACCAATAAAATCTTTAAAAAGACTGCGTCCTGAATATTTATCTCCATAATATTATTATGGTTATTATGAATGCCTATAAAGTTTAAAGTAAGCTGGAAACAAAATGGATCCAGCAGATGCTATTGGATAATAATAACTTACACAGTCGGCAGTCCCTGTACTTGAATAGGTGTTGGTTTAGAGATGCCTTTAGTCTTCAGCCCGGATAATATTCCTCGAGGGAATTTCATATCTTCAAATGATAATAGTGGTGGCGGTGGATCTTCACCTTCGACTAATATTCGATACTTCCTCCTCACGGTTTCATGGCGAATCTCACCAAGTTTAAGAACACAGCCAGGTGGCTTCCAACTAAACAGGAGGAGAAAAATATATTAATAGCTTAGACATTGTTAATATAAAAATTGAATCGTTTATTTCTAAAGTGGACCCTAATCATCATCAGCAAATTTTTATGAAAAGCATAAACCATATTTTCTATTCCAATTGTTACTTCAAAATCAATATTTTAAAAAAAAAATTAAATTAAGAAATAATTTATTTGTACTAAATATTATCGAAAACCATTGTTACTTTAATAGTAATGAAATAATAATAAAACACTGAATCAGATAAATATTTAAAAAATCTGGTGCGGTGATGCGCGCATCACACAACTTTCTCTACTTAACAAAAATAAGTATTTTCAGATAAAGGGAAAGTGAAAGTAAAAATTATAAACGCTATATTGTTTTATATTTCATTGTGGATATTTCTATTTGTGCTTTGTGGATATTTCTATTTGTATACATAAGTACCTTATATATACAAATTTCAATATTTATCTGGCTGTAATACAGTTAAATATTAAATAATACCAACAATAGCATTTATGAAAACCGCATATGTATATTTACATAATGTTCTCGGAGCCATTATGTTAAGCTCACGTTATGTAATGAAGCATGTTCTAATCTTTCAGAGGAACTCGGGTGTGTTCGTATTCCTTTGATTCCTCTATTACAACTATTCTCCGTTATGATCTATTATTTCTGCTTTAGTTAATTATAAAATTCTTTCATATTTTATATTTAATTATCTTTTATATTAAAGATTAATGTGAAATGGTCAATTGTTTCAAATTAAAAAAATTAAAGGTACTTTAGGGGAAGCTAATATTGAAAATTAACCATTTAAGCCCTGTTAGAGAATATCAATCAGAATAAAACCTACATTTTATTTAAAACTGCTTAATTTTACACTTATATAATGAATTTAATCAAAATCGTTAAAAGCCGTTTTGTGGAAAATCATAAAAATGTGTTAAGTCCATGATATAACGTGCCACTTCCGGTAGGCCTATTTTGACGAAAAAGTTGCTGTAACATCTCAAGAATATAAAAACTTAAATATGTAATTCCACATTCGTATGAATTTTCGTTTTTGAACTAGACTGTTAACACACACACACACTATTTTGCGGGACTTGGTTATTTCGAATCAGGGGACCTCAAAACATGTATTTCCATTGAAAACTCAGATTCGAAAATTTCCATGATCACAATATTTCCCTTACTATATATTTCATATATACGTAAGTGAAAGTAAAAAAGGTAGGCTAGGGTTCAGTTATTAAAGTTGTACCAACAATTCTTTTTATAAATTAAAATTTTTGTTATGAAATAATGGTACGATAAAACTAATTTATTTTTAATTTAAAATTAAGTCAAATAAAAAGGTTGAAAAAGCTTGTGATGATTTTTTGTTAAAAATAATTAAGAAAAGTGAGTATCATCACATCCCTTTAGAAAAAAAGGCATTTTTAGAAATTAACTTATCTTCATTAATTTCTACTTCCAAAAAAAAAGATGAAAGTTTATCAAAATCTTTCCAAAGAAAAAAGTGGCTCAATTCATTTCTTCGTAATTTTAAGATAGATAAAAATTATTTGTACATAACAGTAATTAGTGTATTTGAACAAAAAAATATTAATACTCAATATAACACAAATAAATAAATATCATTACATTAATAAAAAGATATAATCCAAATGTTGTATTTAATAGCTTAAGATTTCTGAATAAGATTCATAGTAAGCTTACAATATTAAAAAAAAATTAAATTCCAAATATTTAATTAGATTTAATCATCTTCTTACATCAGTTACTAATCAATATTGAAACATAAAGATTGTTTTCTTATTCATAAAATAAAAGAAGACAAGCTCACCTCGTTTTCAATGGATCTTCATATTGAATACCCTTAGCCAATTCCGCAACTCCCATCAGCGCCTTCTTCTCAGCTACACTCTCAAGAATCTTTTCCTCCTCTTTTAATTGTCTCTCCATGGCGCTTTCCTTCTTAGCTAAAATTTTCAAATGTTATTAGTCAGTTATCATCTTTAAAATTAACATGTTTGAACCGCCCTTAAAATAAAATAATAGCCAGTGAGAGACTTAATTTTAGCCGAATGATAACTAAGCAATCCAGCTTTAAATTAAAAAAAAAAGTTTAGGAATGAGTAACCTAACTAAAAAATAATACTAATAGATGTATATGTATACCTTCAGCCATTTTTTTAAGTTCAGTATGCTGATCAAGCAAGCTGATGTTAGATTTTCGACCCCAATTCTCTTCATCTTCATCTTTTTCACTATTTGTGGTCTTTGAAGCTTCATCTCTGACCTGTAAAACAACCGTTATAAAATTTTTAAACTAAAACAATATATATATATATATATATATATATATATATATATGACAATCATGTATTTCAAATAGGACACAAATAGAATAGTAGCTTTTCCATTAAAAGTTTCCACTAATTTTAAATTTAAAAAATTACAAATAATTATAATGCCAGAAATAGTTTCAAAACGAATGGTAACGATTTTTATATAAATAATATAAATGTATCATCTATTTTATTTAGGAATTATAGTATTTAATACAGGACTCGTAACTATAGGATCCGGATTTTGGATCTGGCTGTGGTAGATAATTTATCAATCAGCAGTAGAACTTTTCAAAGTGCGAAAATACTTAAAATATGAAAATATTTCTACTCAAGGTACGGTAGTAAGTGAAAGTTGTGTGATGCACACATTGCATCGCATTAGACGTTTATATTTCGATTAGGATTTATACCAGCCGACATTTTGTTCAATTATGGTAATTTTTGTATAGTGGTCAACTTTGGTAACTTAAACTCTATTAAAATTCATCGAAATCACTTTTAACTAGTGTTTTTATACACTCGATCAATAGATGTAGAAGAAAGGTTTCGATTAAAATTAAATGAATGTCAGAGCTTCATCCCGGAAGTTACAAAACCTCAGTCTTCATTTCCACGAAATTATTTCTTCAATCCTTTGAAAATCGAGTGGTGTAATTTAATTTTATATAAAAATGGTACATTCCGATTCGTAATGACAAATCACCGGTTTTTTTTTTTTTTTGTTTTTGTTTTTAACATTAATTTTTTTAACAATCTTGTAATATAATACAGTTTTTAGCCGTAACGATCCCTTTTCCGGCTCTCAGGAGCGATGTATTTTGATGAAGGAGGTATCAAACGAAAGGATATTAAGTGGAGCAGTGACGAATTATAGTAACATCCATCCGAAATTTCAGGAGAAAAAGTTATGAATGAAAAGAAAATTTATTTGGGAATTACTTAAAAAGTATACATTTTTTCTCGATTAGACCCATTATTATTTGAAAATTTACTAGATTTCCTACAAAACGAAAAAAAAAAAAGGACAATCGGACCATTATTTACAAAGATATAATCATTTGTAATTTATGTATTATTGTTTTCAAATAAGTGTTATAAAATATTAATTATCATTTTTACATGTACGGTTTTCGAAAACTACTTTAATAATTTCTGATATTTATGTATTAAAAGATAACTCTGACAAATTTTAAGATTAACTTATTGCCTTTTAAAGCCCTAAAATGTACAGTTTTCCAGTTACCGTTTGAGCCCAACCTTATACCTGCGATAGGAAATCTTGAAGCCAATGTTATCATGGATTTCGATTCATTTAAAAATTACTATTTCTAGCTCTATATAGTAACAAATCGAGTGAACCTCCAGTTGAAAAGAATAAAAGAGATCAGCCTAGCATGGGCTACGAATCGGACACCCAAGGCTAACACATTAACACCTATTGACAAAGGTGGCATCACCTGAGTTTCTTTCCTGCGTGGTAAATATCGCGGCGATTCACACCTAGATTCAGCGTTATGCCTATAAAGAACATCGGAATGAAGTGGAGTTGAAAATTAATATTGCTGAAATTTTGAAAAATAACACGAAGATGGTTATTTGCTTTTTTTTAAAACACACAACTATGTAACAATTTCTTCATGACAGGAAAATTGTGAAATTTATGGTGGATTAAATCCATGAATAATTTAAAGGTTATCAAATTTCAAGCAAAATGAAAAAAAATACCTGAATGGGACCATGTAACAATTTGAGACCAGCCTATCAATCATGTAACAATCCATTATGAGCAAAGATAGAGACTACAGTAAACTGTACAAAACTTTTGGTTTATTGTTATGAATTAACTATTTTATTTTATTCAACCAAGAAACGGAATTTTATTTTATATTCCTCCACATAATAATAGATTTCATTAACATATTTCAGTACTATTTTATCAATTGTTTACTGACCAATATTTTATACGAATTATTCGCACGAGCCAGCTAGTTTAAACTTTATAATGGTAAAGTTATCAACGAATTTATTTTAAAAAATAACATAAACTTGTTATGGAACAAATGAACAACAGTTAATATTGATCTTGATAGGATCTTAAACTAGACAGTGAACAAGATGATCAATGACTTCTAACCTCTATGGTCGTTGCTCTTTGTAATCGCTTGTCAAGACAAATTAAATGTTTGTGTGCTAGTTAAGGGTTACAGTTAACTTCAAGGTGTTAAGTTAGCTAAGTGATTGTTCAAACAGGTTTCATCATTGACTTCGTTCACAGCAAAATGGACTCATCATTTTTTGAAGGGACATCGACTATAGAAGAGGAGCCATTAGATTACAAATGTTATGAAACCAAACTGAGACGAAAACTCATATTTTTTTTTATGAATCCGATAGAAAAATGGCATGCCAGAAGGCAATTCCCATTTAAATTTTTGGTTCAAATAATTAAAATTATGTTAGTTACAATACAACTATGCCTGTTCGCACACAGTAGATACAATCATGTCAACTATGCATCTGACAACAAGGTAACATTTTCACACTTGTTTCTGAAGGGCTGGGACCCAGTAAGGGAAGTAAATGTTTATCCTCCAGCAGTAGGACCATTAGCCATTTACAAGAAGAATGAGTTTTATGGCACAATTGATTATGCCGTTACAGGATACCAAGACATCGCAAATACTATTGGACCATATTCTTATGCAAATGAGGATAACAATATTATTTTACCAGTGTTGCAGTTAGTTCAATATAAGAAGGGCCTAATATTTGGATTCAATGAAAGTTACATCTTTGATAATGAATTAGTTACTAAGTATTGCAATATTTCCTTGTATGAAAAATCTGTAGAGTCAATAAAAAGGTGTCTGAATGGTGAAGAAATCAATTTTTCAGCATTAGTGAGAGGAAAGTTAAGTTTTTCTCTGAAATCAGTTAACTTTAATGCAAAAGGTCTATTGTCTCAGCCGGACTGCTACAAATTTAATATAGAGATATCATTTAACAATGAAGACATGGATGGACAGATGTCTTTAGCACTAGATGCAGAACCTATCCGCCTCATGTGTAAGGGAGATATCAAGTATATTACAGATAGTAACCTTGATTATGTTTTAAGGAGCATACTTAACTTCTTTGTCATCTTGATCTGTCTAATATCTTTTATATTATGCATGAGGGCCATTATTAGAGCCCAACAGCTCAAATATGAGACAATTCATTTTTTTCAAAAATTCTATAAGAAAGACCTGAGCCTAGAAGGAAGATGGGAATTCTGGAATTTATGGTATATTATGATCTTAGTCAATGATGTGCTCATCATCATAGGGTCGTGTATTAAAGAAGAAATAGAGAGAAAACAGTTTGTAGGCGATCAATGGAATACCTGTAGTGTTTGTTTGGGAATAGGAAATCTTTTGGTTTGGTTTGGTGTTCTTAGATATCTCGGATTCTTCAAGACTTACAACGTTGTGATATTAACACTGAAGAAAGCTTTTCCTAAAGTCATTAGATTTTTATTCTGTGCATTACTAATCTATGCTGGATTTACATTCTGTGGCTGGCTTATATTAGGACCTTACCATACAAAATTTAGAACACTAGCAAGTACATCAGAATGCCTCTTTGCTTTGATTAATGGAGATGACATGTATGCCACATTTTCTATCATGGTGGTCAAATCACCAATGCTTTGGTGGTTCAGCAGAATATATCTTTATGTCTTCATTAGCTTGTATATTTATGTAGTTCTTAGCTTATTCATTTCCATCATTATGGATGCTTATGAAACTATAAAATTGTATTATACAGATGGTTTTCCTAAAAATGATCTACAGTTGTTTGTACTAGAAATTGATGAAGAATTTAGTGACCTTAATGAAGCTATACAAATATCTAATGGTAGTGGAGTATCAAGATTTAAAGAACGCCTCGGTGTGAAAACGTAGGTTTTGTATGGATACTTATAAAGGTGTGGGCTTTTATCTTGTACCTGCCCTAGTTATTTTCCTTTATATTGTGTAAATTAAAAATGTATATTGTTTATTTAATATGTTTTATGTGATGTTAGCTGTGCATATAAATAACATAAATAGCCTATTTATTATATTTTATGTGATGTTAGTTATGACTGTCGGTCACTAAGTTCCTATATAAATAATTTTACTATTATGTTTCAGAGCATTCTATTATTGTTAATTTTTCATATTAGTACAATTCACTTGACAATTATATTGTGAAAATTTCATTACATCTGATAACTAATTATGCCTAGCAAAGGTACTTATGCCTCTTTTACAGAACAGACTGTTAATTAATGTCTAGTCATATTACATAATTATGCTTGGAGCTGCTTTGTCTGTTAGTTTTACTAAAGGAGTGAAAATAGCTTTTATTCCTCTAAATGTTGCTGTTAAATTGATGTCATAATGTCAATGTGAAAAATCCTTGATGTTTGTGAACAGTAGTAATAATGATTTATTAATACTGAAAGTATTTACTTATTTTTATTTAGGAAAGAAAGAGATTCTACTGAGAGAAGTACCAACGCAACGATCTACCAGTCGATAAGCTTTACCTTTTAATTTAAATGTAATAATTTTAACAACCACTAAAACAATCGTGGTTATAGCAAAATGTATTTAAGAAAACATATCAAAAGATTATATAATATAATAACTTATTACAAGATTAATGATATTATTTTAGTATTTAATGCAACGGAAGTCTTGAAATAGGATTTCTCTCTTTTAATGTTATATAATTTTATTTAAGTATTATTTTATGTAATAGATGGCCAAATAATTTGTATAGTTTATACAAATAAACTATAATTGTTTTCTCATATACTTTTTTCCTTATTGTTATTGTACCAAGTCTAGTTATACAAAATTTAGTTCCTATTGGCCAGTAAATACATTTAAAGTTGAATTAAATGTTAAATGTATTATTTGAAAATAAATAAATAAACCATTAATATGATGTAAAATATTATAAAAAACCAACATTTTGAATATAGTAAATTTTATTATTTAAATGATGCAAAACCACAAAAAATTTTATTCACTTGAATTCTTAATCTTGTATATACATATAGTTATTATGTATTCATCATTTATTTACTCTTTTATCTAACATTAAAGTAAAAAACACTAATACCGCCAAACTCAATCCTCCCAGCTATAAAAGAAAGTTTTATAAATTTTGTATTTCCATCGCTAATGATCAAAAATTGTAAAGCATATTTCAATGTGAAAATACCTTGGGAACATAGATTTGAAATATGCACAATTACCAATCGAAAGGATGTTAAAAAATGAATCCAATACGCTACCTAACCTAATTCATTTTCACCAAAAATTGAATTAGACATTAGAACTTAAACAAAACAATTTTGCAATTTATTTTGAATAATCAATTAAAGTTTTTTTTTTTTTTTATAGCCTGTTCTCTTATAATTATTACACCTGTAGGCCTCCCCAATTAAGAGGTTTATGGTCTAACTTCCCGCGGGGACCAGCCGTATTGGGAAGTAGAGCCACGATTCGATCTTATGATCTTTGCTTTACTAGTATAGCGCACTAACCACTTTGCTATACCGGCCCCAATTAAAGTATAATTATAGGTAAATATAATTATTCTTAAATTAGGAATTAATCTTAAAACGGTTAGGTTTTGAAGTCAGAACCCTTTAACCACTCTGCCTGGATTTTTTAGGTAGCATTTCTTCCTTTCCCAAAACTAATCTATTGGACCCCACTACAAGGACAATACACTTAAAAACTCTACTGGTTATTTCTAGAACTTTTTTCTTATTCTCAAATTTTTGATGAGGTATAACTTTTTTATATTTTTCCTATGGTTCACTAGGAGAGAACTTCCTACCTGTGCTGTATGATAATTTTCCTGTCGGTCCCTTTTCTAAATTTTCACTTTTTTGTTATAATCAGTTTTAAGTTCACTCGCAAACTTAAGTTCTATTTAAATATATTTAAAAAAGATTTTAAACCTACCCGTACGAGAAAAATCCCCCCCCCACCCAAGATAGAAATATGCATCTTTTTCATTGGTCCATATTTTTTATTTCTGTGATTGGTCAGAGGAATAAGGGAAATTGGGTGTTCAAGTGGGCTAATCCATATGCACAGCACCGAGTTGCCCGGCAACCTGATGGAAGATAATTTGTGATGAAATACATAAGAGTTAACGTCCTGGTACTAGGGAGACTTTAACTATGGTAATAACCTCCAGCCCCCATCCCCTAGCCCAGGAAAACCTACAGCCAACAAGGGGAAAACAAAACAAAAAGTATGAACAATAACAAAATGCACGCTTTCTAAATTATAATATACATATAACTATTAAATCTAAGCACACATGCCAAGAAAAATATGAGGGTGGGGTGGCCGAGCAGACTTACGCATGTGTACAGCACCTTGCGTTGCCCGGCAACCAGATGGAAGATTATTTGTGATGAAATACGTACGAGTTAGCATCCTGGTGCTGGGGAGACTTTAACTCTGGTAATAACCTCCAGCCCCATCCCCTAGCCCGCGAAAACCCCCTATAGTGGACAAGAGGAAAACAAAAAAAAAGTCTGGGTAATAACAAAATGTACGCTTTCTAAATTATAATGTATATATAAAAACTAAATCTAAGCCCACGTGTCAAGAAAAATATGTGGGGTGACCGAGCGGGCTAATCTGTGTGCACAGCACAGTGTGGTTGCCCAACCTGATAACCAAAGTGTAAAAAATAAACATAATCCCGGTGAGACTTTTAACATGGCATAATTCCCTGCTCCAGAAAAAACCCAGTATAACCTAAAAGGCTAGGAAGGAGAGACCAAAAAAAAAAACAGTCAAGAAAAATATATAAAAAAATTATCACTAAAAGCATTATTATTCTTATAATTAATGTATTTTAATTTTCTTTTTTTATACAACCAAATGCTTTGTTAAATTAGGTTTTAAAATCATATTTTACTCATCTTGATTTTTCCTCTCATATAATTATAAGTAATCTTAAACCTTTTAGCGATCATGAGTGGGAAAGACAGAGCGGCCTTGAGGATGGTACAAGCCATCACTTCTCCATGCCCCTATAACAGAATACTTTTCATCACCTCTATTCACCAGTTTAGCGGTTTTATTTAGGATATCATTGCAAACGTCATTATTTATTTTCTACCTACCTAATTACCTACTGTCTCATAGAAAGGCCATTGGATGGTCTGAGAGTAGAATTTATCACTGAGCTCTCCTTTGTTAAACAAAAAAGAACCCAACTGACTCCCAATTCATATGTGAGTCACAGTCACCAGAGCACGGTCCCCTACTGTAATAATCTTTAGTCTAATAGCCCCGGTTAAAATCTGGCCTCAGCAAATTTAAATTTATTTTGTAGACAGAATGAATCTTGACCTTCCTACTTAGGTTAGAATAGATTTAATTGTACCTCTAAAATAATCCCTCCCTCACCATATACCAGGAATAACGAGGCAGAGGGTTAGCAAAAAAAAATATGCCATGGTGAGAGAGTTTGTTAGTGTGTTCCATAGCAAGTTCCAGTCAGAAGTGGGTCCCCATTCAAATCCAGCCTGGAATGGTTAAAATTTATTTCCTCCCAAACATAGGAATGAACCTTTTCCTTATAATTGTGGCTAGAATTTATTAGTTATCAGGATTGTCAATCCTCCCTGCCTTAGTTGAAGTACATAAAGATGTTAAACCCAAATAATCATATAAATCTAGAAAGCTAGCATTCATGAATAATAATCTGGTTGGGTACCAAATTTTATAATGTGATAAATCTCAATAAATAAACATTTGTGCCCAGATAATTTATTATTTTCTTCTTACCTGGGTTAATTTACCAATTTTGAGCAACTGTTCTTTTCTCCTCTCCTTAATAGGTACATAGGGGACATAGTTATCATCTGAATCACTAGATGATTCTCTTTCCAATTCTGCTCTGCGATAACGCTGGAATATCAGAATGTCATATAAGAAAATGAAAAAAGATTAACATGTCAACAGTGTTGTATATTAAAAGTGAAGCACTAATTACCTTGACAGCGGGTTGTTCTCTAGACATTATCAAGATTTTGAAAAGTTATACAGTGAATGACTTTAATAATGTAAATATCGTATTTGATGAAATTCAACTGTTTGTAATCAAAAGTGGCCTATTAGATAGTTCTTGAAGTGAGCGTTCAATATAAACAAAGATGTTATTAAAAGGTTATAAGTTTAATACCTACAACTTAACAATATTAGTTCGGTTTACGAACACCTTTTTTTATCAAATTATTAACATCCATCTTAAACAAGTAAATGGCTTCCTCTTACGTAACCTGCAACATTTTTATTTACGATGATTCTCGGAAATGAGGCGTTTTCAATCTGTAAATCGGTAAAATATGTATATTTAATGAGGTACTTAAAACTCATAAACACCCATTAGTCTCCGTCTGAATCATACATTAATTTTATTACGAAAACGAAAAAAAAAGTAGCCCACAAATATATTAAGATGTGACCTCTACTCCAAACATGGCAAAATAACGAGATTATACTAATGAGTTTTTTACCCGATTTTTGAGCTTTTTGCTCATGACTTTTTTTTAACATCACTAAATTAATTAATTTAATGAGAAAAGGCCCTATTTCTAAGAATTTTCTTAGACAAAATGGCTGTAGGTTACGATAAGGTGAAGCCATTCACGAAATTTTAGATGGATGTTAATAATCTGGTAAAAAGGGGTCTGTACGGCGGACTATATCATATACTTATTTGACAAATATATCATAGAAAGGAATGTTGTTCTGTATCTTAAAATACGCATGCACTCCCCTAATGGAATCTGATATTCACAAACCAATAGATTTGTCATGGTCTCTATTCAAAGGATGAACTGCTGCAGTGCACATATGACAGTGCTTCATGATGCAATGCAGATCTTCTTAGGGGGAGATACCTCTCCTGGGAGAGGAGAACCTCCGAATTGAGGAACAACTCAATTGAAGGCAATATTGAGAAATGGCACTGTTCAAGCCTGAAACTTGAAACTAATGGTGGGCTAATACCATCAAGGAGGTTATCCTAAGGAAGTATTTCTTCATTATTCATTATCAATTGTCTATATGTCTGATGAGTTTAATCTGTTGGTTCTCTGAATTCCTCATCGGGTATGGGAGCTTTTGAGTCAAGTTGCAGGAATCTTGAAAAGGGTATCGATCCTCTGTGTTCCAGTTATGTGGTCCAGAAATATAGGAACATGTTCCTACTAGCAAAAATCATTATTTCATCCTGATGGTGAGTGCTGGTTAGGATCCAGGCCCCACAGCCATTTTATCATAGCATTGTACTCAGAGTGCTGAAGATTTCTTAGGATTTCAGTACTTTGGGAAGAAAGAAGTTCTGTACTTGTTATATGCTGTTCTATTTTTGAATTTTATTCGTTTATTAATGTTATTGAATCTTAGGGAGTCATTCAATGCCCAATTGATTGGATTCTATAGCATGTGCATACCAAGAATTTTATAATTTATTTCGAAGTGCACCCTTCCATATTCATGCGATGTTATAATCACCTTCTCTACTACTAAAGTTAACAGAATCAGTGAGAGCCAATCTCTCTGTCACAATTCATTTCGAACTTTGAAGGCTTCAGATACTTTTTGTACCAGTTTACATTTAGGATCATTTGCAGATGTCTACATCAATCTCACTAGGAACTCCCAGCTCAGTCATGATCTTCCAAAGACAGTTTTTGACCATAGAATCATAGCATAGGGTGCTTTGAATTTAACAAATAAGACATGCACACTTCCTAACATTTTTCAAGCACTTATTATAGGATGAAAATCTGTTGTACTCCTTCCTCTAATGAATTCATCTTGGTGGTCACTTATTTTATTTTCATAATAGGAATATAGCCAATTTATCAGAATATTGTTCATTACCTTGTAGACAACATGAACAAGTGATGTACTCTATAATTACTATACTCATACATAAAACCATTCTTTAGGATGATGGATAGGCCAATGTGCCAAGCCTCTGGAATCCTTTCCTCCTCTCACATTATCTGGATTAATTGTAGTAGCTTGTCTCTTAGGTCTTTTCCCGCATCTTTAACCAACTCTGATGGTAGATTGTTCATCCCTGAAGGCTTACAACAGCTACTTATATATTTGATAGAGCGCTCATTCCACACATAGGAAACAAATCTTAATTCTATACTTAATTAAATAATCAGTTATTGTAATTAATATGGTAGAGGAGAAAAAATACGGAAGATGCATATTAAAATAAATAATTATTTATATTTTATAACACACATATTTCATATATACCAAAAATTAATAATAAATAATTCAAAGGGAGAGCCAGATGGTGAGAAGATCAAAGAAAGTTTGGTTTAGATAAAAATAAAAATAAAAGAGGACAAATAATTTATAATTATTTTATATTATAGGCAGACGAGTAATCATGCCTTATAAATGTTGTTTGCATTTTGGAAATTTATAATTTATACATATTTAATAAATCATTTTTCATTCATTCAATTTTATAGTTAAATAAAAACGACATTGGTTCAGTTTTTTTAAACATTATTACATAAAATTAGTTTTGAGGTTACATAACTGGTCTTTTACTCCCTCCCCTTTTTTTATGGATTCTACTTCATATTGTATCATTTTATTGCTCCAATTAATCTAAATAGGAAATCCATATAAATATCACCAGACGGCATATAATTGCACGAATCCAAGGAACCTCATAAAAAAAATTGCATTATTTTTATTTATTTTTTACTATACAATACTGACATAAAAATACACAAATATAATATCAGACTTCAAACATCATTTATCTCCTTATTATCTAAAAGTATACACAAATAAAAATATATTATAATTATAACTAGATTTTAATAATATTAACAGCTAACCATAGTCTTTAGCTTGCACTAAACTAATATCTTTATTGATTCACCAAACTCCAGGTCAACCTTTATAAATATATTTTTCAAACTTGCACCAAACGTTGATCAGCCTAAATGTTTTTCTAAAATACTATTCATAAACAAATACAAAATAATATTCAACAAAGCTGATACGTAAAGATTTCATTCCATATAATACATTATTGGTCAGATTAGTCTCCTTTTATTACATTTTAACTATCTAATTAATATTTTTAATTATTTATTTTTTTGCAATATTATGATCAAAATCACAAGAACTTTAGGATGAACAATTCTGATTGATGTCCTATCAAGTATCTTGGCTAGAACAATCAGCATCTGTGATACTGATATATCCATCTGAAGAGTCAGTGATACTTGACCAAGCTGTAACTTCCGAGTTTGCCTTTAGTTCTGGTAGCAGCAGTGCTTCTGAGACCTCTGTTTGCTTTTTCATCTGAGCGAAAAGTTCACGTAACTCGTTCTTCAAATGCTTTATTGATTCCAATGGCGGCGTTTCACCCTTCTGGATTATTTTTGCATTCTCACCTTAAAGAAACATCATTACAATTAATATTCTTAGTAATGAAAAGAATTTAAATCATAATGAATAGTTCATAAATTTACAGAAAATGGTACAATAACCCACCAAATTAAGGAGTCTATTGGGTGAGCAGATTATAATAAAGGTGTATGACAAAATGATCCGTACTCTACACTACAGACAGCTTTCATGTCAAACAGCCACCATTTTGAATTTTTCTTTAAACATTTTGATTTGTTTTAAATTATTTCGTACATGAAAAGTATTGGACTAAATCATAATACAAGCATAAAACAACAAAACTGTCACTAGAAATTATTTTAAAAAAAATAAGATAAAACTGAAAAATATCAGACTACATCAGATCACTAACTAAAAACAAAACAATTGTCACAAGAAATTATTTTTAAAAATAAATAATACTTGAATGTACAACTTTTTTAGAATTTAAAATTTAATGAACAGTATTAGTTTTTAAAGAAAATCAGACTAACCTTTCTGTATTAAAGGATCAGTTAAAGCATTTGCAATGATCTCACCCCGCGTATTGGTAGGAGCGATTGAGGACATAGCCTTCCATGACTTGGAAGGTGATGTCATGGATCCATCTGGAGAAGAGAAGGCGATCTCTTGATTTTTTGTATCAGAGAGGTTTAAGTCTAAGAGTCCAATAGTCGAGCTAAGTGCGCTATACTGAAAGTTGTCGCCTCTCATTGCATGATCATTCATCTTAGCTGAGACCAGTCCACCGATGCTCCTGAAAAAGGGTTCGTAATTAATTTTAATTATCTTAACACCACGGTCAATCCTAAATTTGAGATTAACTTCATTGTCACTTAATCTGGATTAGCAAAAAAATTAAACATTTAAAAGAGATAGTGTAACCAATACCTATTCCTGGTATACCCACACTCAGACTTTAGATTTAAATACAAGACCGACTGAACTTGTGATGGCCAGGGGGTGAGGGCGGGAGATTAATGCCAGGGTTAAAATATCCCTCAGCAACGGGACAAGGACTCATAATTATTTTGTTGCCTGTAACTTCACTGTGCACCTGTGTTAGCCCGCTCAGACATCCCACCCTTAAGTTGTAAATAGGTGTTTCTATAAATAGGTAAATAAATTATTAAGTTGTTGTTAATTATTATTATTTCATGTTTTTTTATTGTATTAAAATTAAAAGTTTACTCATAATTTATTAATATTTCTAATTGATTATTCGTTTTTATTTAGTTATGAGGCTCTAAAGCTCATAATTTTAACACTGTATTTTAATCTAAAGGGCCTTTCCTATAAAAACTATTATTATTACACAATATCTTAAAAAAAAAAAAAGTCCTGACTGATGATCCAGACAACATAACATTTAAGGTTTTTTTTTTTTTTTTAATTGAGACATCAATCAGTTAGATCAGACCTGAATGAAAGATACTTTTAAAGAAGGCAAATACACCTTCAATAGTTGTTTTAAAAACTTAGTTCAATACAAAATTAAAAAATATACATATTAATAAAAAGTATCACATTCAATAACATTAACAAATTAAAAGCAAGATGTTTAGCAACAACTGAAATTGATAATACATACCACAGGCATCCATCTTTGAGTCAAATAATATTATTAGAAACTATAGATACAACTTTGAACTTACACAATTTGTTTTCTTAGTTTATCCATTTCTTTCTCCTTGATATCCAGAAGAACTTTGTTCTTTTCTTGTTCCAGTGTCAGTAGTTGTAATTCTGCATTAAGTTTATCATTTTCTCTGGAAGCATCCATCAGCTGTGCATGGAGCTGTACCTTCTCCTCTTCAGCTTTCTCTAATTCCTACACAATGACTAGATAAAAAAAAAAAGTAACAATTTAACAGAAAAATATTCAACAACTATTATTTTTTCCCAATCTTCATTGAAATTAATATTTTATCAAAGAATAATCAATCATCAACTGATACCTTAATAATTTTACTATCTGTAAATATTTTATGGCTGTTCGTTAAAAAAAAATATATAGATATATGAAACTCAAATTTAATTAACACAATGTGATACAATGCTTTATTGGGTTAACTTCATCAACAGCAGAAGAGTAAAAACATAAGATTCTCAACAACTAATTGAAAAAATAAAATAATAAGAACACTCCCATGCTCTTTTCTCAAACATTAAAAAATAATTTTAGTGATAGTTGCCATGAATTAGATTAAGAAATTATTAAAAATTTTTATGCAGTTAAACATAAAACTTAACTTTGTAGTTTATGTGGTTCATTTACCTATTGGTCAGAAATAAGCAAATAAATTTCTGACCAATAGGCAAATGGACCGCTATAAAAAGAACAAAGGTCAAACAAGCATAATGAAAAACAAAACTTAATAGTAACTTAGTTGTCTTTTGACAAAAATCAGTCCATCTTGATATCGAAACATACAGAAAGAGCACTATATGAATTACTGTTTTTTCATACGTCCGACGTTTGTTATAACTCACTGCTGCATTCAAACTGATAACTAATTTTTCCCCATCAGTGCACGCACTTTTCTGGTTTTCATCTGACCTTTTCCACCCTTTCTGGATGCAGGTCCATCTCTTCTACCGAATGAGAAGTGGGTTGAACCAACGAATTAATTCCTCCCATACATGAAGGTATTGTAGTAAGGATAGTTCTTCTTGGTCATTAGTTGAAAGAGATCACTTTCTGTCAAAACTCAGAGCCCTGACTTCCTCAGCAACTTGGCACACAGTGCCTCAGAAGCTGTGTTTAAGACAAGAGCAATGTTTGGCAGTCTTCGGTGTCCCTCAACTTGGGCATAGGGGATCAACGCTCCACAAATCCAACTCATCAAATTAAGTGATTAGAAACACTAATAAAATCCAATATGTTAAAGAAAATAAAGAATAAGTGCTTATAAGAGAATATACTATTACCCTGTTCTCCTCTTGCAACTTCCGTACATGGAAGGTGAGCTCCTCCACTGATTTCGAGTACTGGTCAATCTGGAGCGTCATTGAGCTAGCTTCCTGTGAAACTTGTGACAGCTTTGCCTGGTATTCAAGCTCTCTTTTAAGACAATTCTCAACCTCCCTACTCTTCTCAAAAAACTTCCTAAAAAAAAGTTATCAGCTGTAAAAGATTAGATAAATAAAAGGAGAATAGATAATTGGAAACATACACCAATTTGAAAAAAAAGTTCACCTCAATATTTCAAGCCTAAAATATTTGACCCATTTCACGAGGAAATATGCTATGTTCTCTTTCATCAGGCTTGACCCGAAAACTATGCTTAGATCCGTAGATTCAGTGTAAAAAGGTTCTTAAAGAAAATGTTCATTTATTTAAATTGTTAATTATGATTCTAATCAATAAAGTTCACAAGACATAATGATTGTTTAGAGCTCAGGACAAAAAAAAAAAAAAAAAAAAAAACTGAGGAGTGTCATCTTAGAAACATTTTAAAATCCTCTAGTGGAATATATATACCTTATAAAGAATATTTTAATAAGAAATGAATACCCTTGCAGTGCAGTTGGTTTAAACTTGGTCGCGCTTTAAGTTAAGTAATTAGAAAGAATACTTTATCAACAGACCCAAACAATTTGTACAAGATCTAGTTTAATTTTAAAAAATACAGATAAGATAATTTTTTTTTAATTATCACATATTACAATATTTATTAATTTATAAGGTTTCACAAATCTAGGGATTCACCCTATTCTGTGATCAAGTACCAAATAGGCTGTTTCTGGAGCTATATTAATAATATAATAATAATAATAATAATAATAACAATAATACTTTATTTATTCTGGGACGAGTCCCTTTAGAATAATACAGGAAGACAGAAATGAGGGCTAAGGAGCCTCAGAGATAAATAAATAAATAAATAAAAATACAGAGTAATTGAACAGTCTTGGTTAAAAAAAATAATATATATATATATATATATATAAATATACACATATACATATAAGTTGCTTTCCAATTTCGATCAGTTGATAATAAAACAAAAAAAAAAAAAATAGATAAACAAAAATTGGGGAACAAATAATGAAGAACGAACTAATAACTTATGTACATATTTTCAGTAGTATCTATTTACGATTTTATGGGGACTGGATGGATAAGAAATGATTGAACAGGCGGGATTTAAAGGTAGGAAGGGTATTAGATTGACGGATATGGGAAGGGATGGAGTTCCATAGAGATGAGGATCGGATAATGAACGATTTGTCGAAAGCAGCGGTTCGGTGGGCCCTTATGTATAAATCAGAAGACCGGGAACGAGTATTGCGGGAACGAACAGAGGATTTGAATTGAAGGAGCTCGGAGATGTATGAGGGACGGTGGGATTGGATGACTTGAAAGAGGAAGGATGCCAGGAAATACTTACGACGGTAGGAAGGATAAAGCCAATTTAACTCCGCGTAAAGATGGGAAACAGAGGCGTCCCTTGGGATCCCGAAGATGAATCGTACAAAGCAATTTATCAAACGTTTTAGTTTCGCCTCGAGATCCCCAGAGAGGCTCCCATATACCGTATAGCAATAGTCAAAGTGGGGAAAAATTAAGGAAGTGACTAGGAGCCTACGGGTTTCAAAAGGAAATAGGTGACGGGAGTAGTTAAGACGTTTTAGGATGGAAATGGTACGGCGGGAAATATTGGATATATGATTTTTCCAAGAAAGCGTTTGATCAATGGTTATTCCAAGATTTTTTATGGTGGGGTGAAATTTGATGGGGTTATTATGTAGGAACAGAGTTGGAATAGTAGGGACAGTTTTAAGGAGATGAATGGAGCCTATTAAGATTGCCTTTGTCTTATCCGCATTCAACTTCAGCTTGTTTGTTCTTGCCCAGTCACAAATTCCATCTAAGTCTTCTTGAAGTTTTTCTGTGGCAGATAATAGGTCGGAGGGCGGAAAGGAAAGGTATATTTGGAAATCATCTGCATAGATGTGGTATCGGGAGTGACGGATCTGGAGGGGAAGATCATTGATGTAAATAGCAAACAGAGTAGGAGAGAGAGAGGAACCCTGAGGGACACCACAGGAGAGGGGAAGTGTGTTTGAAGGAGGTTGATCAGGGACTACTACATACTGGGATCGATTGGAAAGGAAGGATTTGAACCAATGCAGGACACTGTTGGATAGAGGAAGGTTTTGCAATTTGGTAAGAAGGATGTTATGGTCAACTGTATCAAACGCTTTGGAAAAATCTAGAAGGATGAGGAAAGTAAGGTTTTGGTGTTCTATGGAGTTTTGTAGGTCATGGGTTATTTTAAGGAGAGCAGATGGCGTTGAATAGCCGGGTCGGAAGCCAGATTGGCATGGGTTGATAAAGGAACGTTCCTCTAGGAAGTTTGAGAGCTGATTTTGGACAAGGCGTTCTAGCGGCTTTGAGAGGTTGGATAGGAGAGAAATAGGATGGAAGTCGTGCAGTGAGGTAGGATTGGCAATTTTATTCAAAGGTCGGACTAGGGCGGTTTTCCAGGAGGATGGGAATATTAAGTTGTTTTGTCTCTAGAAAAACAATTAAAAGACATTCCATTGTACCATTCTGCCATGTATTAGTTCAACAAATCATAATATGATTGATTAGTGTTGTGTCTGTTGTTTTGAGTAACAAGATAGCTAATATAGTTAGGTAATACAGTTCTCCTATATATTTTGTCATATATATTTTATATATATATATTTTATCATAATTGCAATTACCACAGATTATAGCAGTACAATAAACCCCAAAAACAACAAATTATGCACCATAGTCAGATAAGATATTGATATTCTCATTTTTTTTATTAATACAAGAATATATGTTCATTTGTTTAAGGTGAAGTATTTATAATAATATAAAATAAGGCTGTGTTTATTTATAACTTCACTACATTTTTTCAATTACGTTACTACATTACGTTTCAGCTAGTCAGCCATTTTCAAGCAATTATATTTAAGCATGCTTATTACATACAGTCCATAATCAGATTAAAGTCAAGTATAAGTGAAGTTCTACTTGACTTTAATTTGATTATGGACTGTATGTAACAAGCATGATTAAATAAAATGGCTGTCTAGCCGAAACATAGACGATGCAGATTGAAATAAATGTGGTTAAATAATAAATAAACACAGCCTTATTTTATATTAATACAAGCATATTAAGTAATAAGTAATATAAGAAATCTCTCATGGTACCTACTCAGTGACATGATCTTTCTCAAAACGCAGTTTTTCACATGTTTCTTCAAGTAGCTGGCAGGCACTTTTAAGCTGTGTACATGTATCTTCAAGGCTTTTATACCACTTTTCATTCTTTTGTGACTTCGCCGAATTAACCTGAGAAAAAATAATTATTTATTCCATAGTAGATAAATAGCAAAACGTCATTATTTAATTAATGTATACATATACTTTATAACAAAAATTAAAATATTATTATTAGAGCAAAAAATAATAATTTTCTGAAAATAACATAAACCAAACATATACAAATCCACTTAAAAATCAAAACAAAACAAGATCCAAAACTATTCTACTCTGGATTAAAACTTCATACAAAATAAATTAGATGTAAGTAGTCATTAAAATTACAAAAGTTGCCTAGTTAATGATGTTGCTTTAATTAGCATTATCATTATTATTTAATACTTTTTATTTGTATCGCCATTATTATATAAACATTTTTTTAATCAGTGATCAGTCAAGAAGATAAGTAAAACAACCAAATTAAAATCTGTATTCTTCTTGAACAAACAATACAGAACACTGTGGCTAAGGAAGTAGTAAATAACAATCGTATTTAACACTTAAAACTATTAATACCTATGGAAACTGTGAAAATGTAAAGTTTGGTAAGAAAGTCACATCCTTGCTTTTTCTCAACTCTCCCCATTTTAGGGAAATATAAATATTTACCAAGAGTTAAAAAGATATTACATCCAACTTATTAAATGAAAGAATTTAATACTAGGAATATGATAACATTTTATTTTTCAACTGACACCAAAAAAAAGAGTTTTAAAAGTTCAAAGAATTTAATTAAAAGAATCTGTGAAAATGGATACCATAAATAATTAAAGGAAATTCTTAAAAGGAAAGATAATCTTAATAAGGAAAAAATATCAAGAGAGCATAAAACATACTAAAAATAAAAAAAAATAAAGATAGTAATACATAATTCTTACATTTGATTCCATAGACTGGTATTCAGAGTTTTTGTTAGATTTGTGGTAAGCAGACGAAGGCTTGCTTTGTTTGTTAAGCACATTCAAAGCAATTTCCATTTCAGAAATGATACAACAGATAACATTATAGTCTAAAAACAGACAACAAACTATATAAAAACAGAAAGCAATTTAAAATTTCCTAGGTAAGGAATAACTAACTACCTTTCTGATTCAACACTCTTCTTTTAAAATCCTTAAGCTCTTTGATAAGAGCCTGGAGTGAGATGAGGGGATTAGAAATGGAATCTGTTGGTAAGCGAGGTAAGCAGACAGGAATCAAATCTCCTTTTGTAATTTCATCTAATGACTGCGTTCCTTTATCCCTAAATATAACTTTTGAAGGATTTTTATAGCTAGAAACTGGAGAAGAAGTTCTACTAGATGCATGATACTTATGACATTCTGTAGACTTAGGTGAATAGCGATTGTTGTCTTGGATTCCCAAATGATGTGTACATGTAGAGGACTGTGGTGCTTTGGTCCTTGATCTATCACTAAGTATATCACTCCATGACTGTTTTGTAGATACTTTGGGCTCTACAATTGTGATAGGATCAGTACCTTTATCAATAAATTTTACAACTTGCTTACTACCATCAGTCTTTACCTTGTCATCAATTATTCTTTCTTTTAGCGGCCTTTTAACGGAAACTTCAACACGCGCCTTGTTCATATTAAATACATTAATTCTCTCATTGCACTTTCGACGAGGGTGAACTATATCAGTTTTCTGAACAGTAGCATTTAGGGTGTGTTTCTTCATTGTAATACACTGTTTGTGATATAAACTATTAGTTACTTTATGGTTGCCTTTTTTCCTGCAGTAGCAATCTGACCCACAATGTACATCTGTTAAGGTTTTGTAGTTGTTTTGGAAATCTACTATATCCTTATTCAGGTTCCTTATTTCACTGGGAAGGGCAGAATGCTTTCTCATAACAAGAAAACCTTCCAAAGTATCAGGTAACGATACTGAAGGGAAGATTTACGATAAATAAGATTATCTTCAAAGAAAACCATATTTAAACAGTGTTAAAAATATCATTTCTAGTAAATTGGTAAGAGCTGGCTGGGTTCGGAGCTACAAGACCAATATTATTATTTTTTTTAACAATGATGATTAAATTGCAACATACCTAACGGAAATATATTTAAAATGTAATAACTTTTATTTTTAAATTAGTCTACATTCCGCCGTTGCTAACAAAGGTTATAACATGGGAAGGTTATAGGTAAGATCCAAAAACGTTACTTGTTTCATGTTGGAACAAACATTCAATCTCTTTTGACAAATTTTGTGATTATACTTTTTCTTACTTTTAGGCAACACTTTTGAAACTGAATGCCATGCATGTTGATGATGTTAATTCACATTTAAGTAATCTATTCTATTCAATATACTCGTATCCAAGGTTTATTTAGATACTTCTAATCCACTCTTCTAAGTTTCTACAAAGAATTTTTTTCGTATATATCAATAAGAAGTTCACAACAGCGTCCATAATCTTTAATATACTTTCTTATACTTGTGTACCAAAGGCAATGTGAGTAAAATTAAATAACTGTTATGAAGCTTTAATCCTAAGTTTATTGTCTGAATTACATGTGAATATGAAATTGCTTTATAGTTAAAGTACTGTTCGGAAAAATTTAAAGCAATTTTTAGTGTAGGTGTTACTCATTTCCTCATTTTAAAGGAATCACTTAATCACGCCCAGTCTAAATGAGTTTTTTTTTATGTTACAATTGAGAGCTCCAACCACTAGCGGATCCAGGATTTAATTTTAGGGGCTTCAACCCGAAAGCTTTTTTTTTCATAAAAATAACTATAATTACTTTGGAAAAACAGAAAGAAACAAACTACTTATATGAAATGGTGTTTAAGTGATTCCTAAAGTCCTTTTAAATGTAATTACACGAACAATAATACTTTAAAAGGTATTTTTAAAAGTTTTTTTTCCATAAAACATGGTTATATTTTACCATTTTGGGGGGAGGGGGCTTCAGCCCGAAAGCCCCTCCCCCCGTAGATCCGCCCGTGGCTCCAACAACTTAAGTTAAGAAAAATATTCATGTCACAAAAATTTGGCTTCAATTGTTTCTTCTAAACTAATAGAAATTAATCCAGCTTTCAGATTTCTGAAGTGGTTTGGTCACATTTGTCGGATGGTGGTTAAAAGAGAACTTCGGAAAGTGATGGAAGCTCGGCTCACTGAGAGGAGACCACAAGGTCCTCCCAGAATTTTCTACCATCAGTATATAACGCCGATAGGAGGGCAAAGAGGAAAAATTTCTAGAAATGAGGCCGCTTAGCCGATCCCGAGTGGCTCGACTTCGTTGGATCGAGGCTCCCATGTTTGGAAGGGTATCGGAGGTAGTCAAAGAAGAAGAAATAATTTTACGACATTGCACTGTTACAAACTATGCCATTTCAACTGTCATTTGTTTACTAAAGTGACAAACGAAATATATATTTATCTTCAGGATGACTTGATTTTTATCAAATAGTAAAAAAATTTAAGTAAGTACTGTTAATTTTCTTTATTTTTAAAACAAATATCCATATCCAGAAACACCGAACGTTTACTTATGCATGCAAATGAGTTGTCTGTTATTGGCAATTATTTTAAGATTATTCCTAAGAAGCATTGTTGTGGGAATATGATAATATATCAAAATTAAAAAGGGGCTAGTTCCGATTCGCTACTCCATGATAGCGACTGGTTCTAGAGCACCCCGAACACACAGTACCACGACAGGTCCGTTTGCCTTGCCCATTTGACCAGTACCATCCTGAAAGGTACTGAACGTGAGGGTAACTTAAGCTGACATGTCCTAAAAACAATGTGAACATTCTGCTACGAACGGTTGGAAATCGATCATCTACACTCGGGTTATTTTGGGATTCCATCTATAACGTGCTAATAGTGATCATGAAATCAGCCGCCATCTTGGAGAAGCAATTCAGAACTAGGGCCTAAAAAAAAAGAATTAATACTTTTCTTGCGATACGTTTTAATTTATGCGTTTTAAACTACCCTTATTTCTGAAACGGTTATGGTGGAAAATGGCTTCAGTCTCCATCCGAATTTTTTTTATTTACTTTAAAAATTAATACTGGTGCATGAAATATAAATGAATTGCAAAATAATAAAAGAGGTTCCGTTTGAATCTTTTTTTTTAAATTTATGGTACTCCCTTTTTACACCTTTTAGGCTATATGGGTTTTCCCGGGCCAGGGAGCAAGGGTAGATTATTATCAGAGTTAAAGGTGTTATGATACCATAAAATACACAATAATCTTCAATATCACCTATATTATTTCAAACATTAAATAATTTTAGGCGTTTTTCATTAACTACCTTTTTATGTCAAATTCCACACTGTTATATAATAAATAAGGATTCATATACATTTTGACTTGTAATGTGATCTAATAATAATAATAAAGAATTCATATAGCTCTACAACCCATCAAGGGTCTTGGATTCAGTACTTTGTAAAAAAACACCGATTCTAGCCCCGGGTACCTTGCGCAATCATTTTTAACAATTTTTTATATCCGATTTGCCGATAGGCGGGGTGACCAAGCGAGCTAACGCGTGTGCAAAACACTCGTTGCCCGGCAATCAGATGATTTGATATACTGAAGTTTAAGGTAAAAAATAATTCCCAGTCCACGTCTCGGTATCGCTGGGGCTTTTAACTCTTGCAATAATCCCCTGCCCTTACCCCAGCCATTGGAAAATCTCCGTATAGCCTAAAAGGCGAGCTAGGGATGGGGGGAAAAAATGACCCGGGTTGCCGGGTAACGAGCAGTGCTGTGCACACGCATTAGCCCGCTCGACCACCCCACCTCTGTTCCTGTTGAATCATCATCGAATTGGCTGATTTTCAAAATCAAAACGGTAGTAAAAATTATTAGGGGAGCCTCCTCATTAATAACATCCAGTCTGCTCCCAATTCCAAAAAATGTATCTAGTATTATCTTAGTGCTAAGTGCCTTTCTTTTGAGTATACTACAAAACAATTTATACTTTAGTGGTTTGTTTGGCGTTTATTTTAGCAGTAGTTCAGAGCCCTGAAGAACATATATATTGCGGAGAACAATTTTATACAGAGAATTATAAGCAGTTAAAATTAAAACGCTTTTATGTCTCAAAATCAACTTTAATTAATTAAAATCGAACTTAAGCTAATTTCGCATTTGAATTTGCTCTCATGAGTAAATAATAATTTTTCGTAGTTTCCTATCGAGATTATTTAAAAAAACAGCAATATTCTGATTTTGTCCGTAATGTATATTATATCAGAGCTTCCTTCAATGAACTAGCTACTCGGCCACAGACATACAGATACTTATATCTGGAAATACATTAATTTTCATATCAAAGAAGGAAATTTGTAATTTTTAAAAAGATGAGAAAAAGTCAATTTTTGTTACATACATAGCTTCAATTTAAACCAATTCCAACGTTTGTTTTTGTTTTTCCAAAAAAACTAGAACATTTTTAAACATAATCATCAGAAATCGTTTCAATTTAATCTATAAAACAAAAATTGGCATTTTTCCACTTTCTGAAAATGACAGTTGTCCGTCTTTGACTCAATGTTTTCAGTCAAAACACATGTTTCCACTAGAAAAATTTTTCTATATATACATATGTTTGCGCGTCCCGATCTAACTCAATTCTGAATTAAAAATAGATGAAACATTTACTGCTGTCTTCTTTATAATATAATAGTTGTGTATGCTGAAAAAAAAAAACCCAAATGAAAGATAGTTAGGGATAGACTTTCTAACCCTAACAAGCGAAGGTGATAACTTGATGGAACTAAGAAGCTATATAAAATAATGTTTAAGAAGTTCTTGAAGGCCTGTCAAAAAAGTAAATAAATAAATCAAAACTGTGTTGACAGAAACAATAATGGTTTTAAGGATTTTTAAAAAAATATGTCTATCTTAATTACTGCATATTTTATTTTTTTTTTTTATCCTTTTTTTTTATTTTTATTTTTGTTTTTCGTACCAACTATATGAACAGTATAAAAGCAGTGTTATTTAGTCGATCGGGGGCTGATGGTGTGGATGTTTTGCGCCTAGAAATCAAAACAAACAAGATGCATACAAAACTACTGCTTAGGTTTAGTAGCTGAATGGGCGTTATAATTAAGAAAGAGAATATATTGTGATTGTTTTAGTATTTACCTCACATCGTTCACAGAAACTAATATGGACCAATGAAATATATATATATATATATATATATATATATATATATATATATATATATATATATATATATAACCTACTATGTTTTCCATTAGTCACTAATTTTGATCAGAAAAATGAGGCCATCTAGATGTGTCAGTTTTTAATTTTTTTCAATAATCTATGAATGATGTGAATACATTTTTTTGTAGCAACTATATATAACACTTAGATTTCGATCCAAAAGGATAACATAATTATTTTGTAATAATTAACCCCATTAGGAATAATAAACTATCAATAATTTAAATGTTAAAACCACAACGAATGGGCATACGAATGTTCCCTCTGGCAATGTATAAACAATTTAAAATATCAACAAATATAAACAAAAGATTTCTGAAAACTTTATTGACAGCGATACGTTGGTTCGGGTATTTTAAAAATTTAAAGAAATGGATGAAAAAAAAGGACATCCTCCATATTCAGAAAATTTACCCACAGCCGGGTCTTACTGCTTCAACGCAAACTTCCGCTGTATTATGGCCAATCAAGTTATCAAGGTAAACGTTCTTAACCAATTTAATGACAGTTTTAAACAAAATTCTTTATAAGCTTTTTAATTATCTTTTTATGTTACTATGACTCGAGATCAGATGTTTGTAACTAAGGATTGGAAAAAACAAACAAAACACTGAATTTTTTTATAATAATGCAGCTGTTAACAAAAGAAGATCTTTTTTTGTAAATTGTCTCACATTGCTTATTATATTCCCAAACATATGTTATGAGGAATAATGAACGGTAGAAATAAACTATTTTTTTAAATATTGTTACGTTGAAGTCGTTGTTGGTACAGGTTCTTACATTGCTTTGTAAATAAACAAGCCATTGTTTAAACAAAACCTTATGCCAGGATATAAATATACATTTAATCGATTCTATGGACATACTTATCACTTAAAAAAACGAGTTAAAAGCGACTTATGTTTTTTACATCCTACATCAGATTCGTCTATTACAGAGGGATTCCTTATCCTACTGGTCAACGATCAATAAAATACCCTTCGGGTCTGTTATCTCTGGCTTTATGTCATGGAGCAGTCAGGTAAGAACTTTATCACATCTTTCTATTTATTAACTGTAATAAACAATTAATTAAATGAATAAATGTCTATAAAAAGCTTTGAATGATTGGTTTGAAAGAACGAATTCTTTTAAGTATTTATTTTTAAATGAATCTAGTTTTGACAATAAATTTATAAAAATATTAAAAAAACGTATTATAGAATCAATATCAATAATATAAAATTTTTAGCTATGGTGTTATCCAAATAATTTTTGAGTTATTAAATAAAAAATTATTAAAATTTAATTTCAATTGTTTTTGTTTTCATTGAAGTTATTAATCCCTAACATCCTATAAGCAATGTATCAGAATACTTGAAAACACATTAATTCATCATTTAACATTAAAAATAACTTTGTATTTAATTAAAATTTAACAAAACCATCTTATATTCACATAATTTTCTGAAGCTTAATAATCCCCAAGATTATTTTGTACCAAAAAACATATTTAATAAATTAAACAATACAACAAAATACTTAAATTCAGTGATGTTTTCATGTGTTTGTCTAGGATACTACCTGAAGTAATGATAGTTTATTTGTTGTACCTAAAACATTTGTTTTCTAATTCCTTTTACTCTACAATTGCATTAATTTATTTTCATAAGTAAATTTCAGAATAAAAGTTTACTTCCATATACTTTATTTATAATACCGCCATTCGAAAACACATGAGTTACAAAGAGGTGCTAGCAGAGATGCTCACTATTCATCTAGTATTATATTGCAAGGTACAAATATGTTTAAGAAATATTTTCTGGCGCCTAAAAATCTTGCTACACATCAGAATAGTTTTCCTTTTTAAAAAAAATGAGAAGTTCAGTTTAAAACAATGCCTGGATTTTTCAGTTTCATGTTTTTGATCAAAATAATTTTTGAGCCTCTCACAGATTTCTTAATTAGGAAGGAAAAAAAGTGTTAGTTTTACTTCAAATAGTTATTATTTATTATAAATGATTATCATTTATTTAACTATTCATTCTGTTAAAATAAAAATAGCAAAAAGAAAAAAGAATAATGTATGAAGAAACCTAAATATATTAAAAAATAGGACATAAAATAGAAAAAATAAAATGAAAAAAAAGATGTAATACAAAACCATGATAAAATAGATTAATAAAATATTTATTCGATAACAAATTAGTGAATAGATCTTAAGAAAAAAAAAAAAAAAAATTGAACCTAGTGACTGTTGTTTACAATGTTTGATAGTAAATAGAATTCAAGTATAACTAAAAGAATTTATATGGAATGGAAATGGTATTGATTTCTGAAAGTAATTGTACAAAAATACCAGTCAGTTGGATTTGTAGAACCTACCCAAACATGTGAAAAAAAAAACTATAAAGATTTTATTATGACACTCAGATTTGTTGATTGAGGTATGCTCAATTCAAGCAGCTGAATGTTTATGTTAGCAATTGAAATTGGTCAACAATTCAGAATTATATTGAAGCAGTTCAAACTTTTCTTAGTGAAAATAATTACAAAATCAAAATAGAATTCCATTGTAGAGTACACATAATATTTATGTGATTTAAGAGCAATGCAATAAACTTTATAGTAAGTAATGCTATAACTGAAAAATCAAGTCATATAGTGTTTGTATTAGGTCTTACAGGAACTATGGAAGAACTTCAAAAAGAAAAATGTGAGAAACGTTTGTAATACATTAAAAAAAATTGTTTTTCTGATTTAGTTTCTTTCTCTGCCTATTCATTTCCCAACTCTATTGGCAATTTTCTAAACATAAATTCTCAAATAATTGGCTACTTTGAGAGACAGAATCGGGTCACATAAAGTGATGCAGGAGCTTCAAGCCTGGATGAACCGATGTTTTCTCAAGTCATTGAAAGTGACATCTCGGCTTTTAGCGTCAGGAATAGGAACAATTTTTTTTTTTATTATGTAAAGGACTGTTTTTAGATGCGCCAAATATTTTTTTTATTTCAATAACATAAATCAAACTCTTTATAAATCTTTTTTTTTCTTTAATTAGTAAAGATGTATGCGATATTAGTGAAAGGAAGACAGAATTGGATTAGTATCCATAACAACCTTCAAACCGCTGAAAAACATTTTTTAACAAGCTTTCAATTCAATTATACATCGTATGCAAACAAAGTAGATCCGGAACTAGTATTTTTCTTTAAACTCTTCTCTCCTCCAAAAAATAAGCAACAGTATCTAAATAAATATGTATTAAAATATATTACCATTTTATGATATGAAATCATTTTATTAACTGAATTAAAGTCGAAACTATCAAAAATTTTAAACAAATGTTTTTTAATAACCTAAAAATATAATTGTCTTCAGTTACCGGCTGTTGCTAGTGTTCCCAGTCGAGTCAATTAGAACATTGTTTACTATCGCTTTCAAGTCTTTTTTGCCGAAATAAAAGCTTAAAATGAAAAAAAAAAATGTTTAAAAATCATGTCAGATAACTGGAAAATCAGATCAAACAATTTTCTATAGGAAAAGCATCCTTTTTTCCGAGACCGAGGACAATTTTAGAAATAGCAAGGATATCTTGATAAACGGGAGCATTATAACCAAGTTTTATTGTAAATTTACTTTTACATGAGTATGTAATTGTTATCAATATTTATTTTCATTAGAAAGTTGTTATTTTTAGAACTGAGAAGTAGAATTGACATGGAACAGAGATCACTGCCAAAATGTTTTACGAATACAATAATGACTTTTTGCAGAGGTGCCGAGAAGGGGGTTTCATGGTGCAAGTTGCGTCATCAAACTTTTTGAGGGGTGAACATTTTGATTGAGTTTTAAATTTTTGAGGAGGCCACATTTCAACGTGGTTGTGAATTTTCGGTGTGAAAATTTTCAAAACAGAGAGCTAGGAGGAAAACATATGACAGACTAAGGTATAGCGAGTGTAATTGTATGTGATCTACGATTTGTCTAATAATATTTTCGCTTGCACTGTTTTTAAGAAGAGAAAAATAATATATTTTTGGAGAGAGGTTCACCATCGACCTTGGGGAAATAGGCACCCCAGCCTTTTTGAAAATTTACTGTTCACGAACTGAGATATTTCCAATCTCAAATTTTTATAATACATTTTAAACATTAAATCGAAATGAGATATAAAAACGATTTGAGTTTTAATCGCTATCAAAGATAAAAACAACGCTGAATTACATATAAATCCAATAAAGCTATTTATTTATCCTCGAATCGCTGAATGTTATGTTCATGTCTCTATTGCATCTTCTCTGTTTGGTGCATTGCATAGTTAAATGAAGGAAAGTTTATTGATTTGAAGAATTAAGTTTATTCCATTTGAATTCCTATAATTTTAACCAGTGCCTTAACTAGCAATTAAAACAAACTACACAGAATCTAGTTTTCGGTTGTTTGAATAATGCATCTAGCGAACTGAATCAGTGTTGCCAGGTGACTGCCTAAAAAAATATATATAATATATAGAAATAACAGATGTGATGGATTAATTCAATATTTGGAGTAATTTTTTTTTTCTATTCCTTCTGTTAGCTTTACAGACCTTATAGATCTTTGCCTATCTTAGGCTATTTATTTCCCATTATCTGCATGCAGCTCTATTGCATCTTTGTTGCTTCGGTCTATCTATCGTGTTATTGGCCTTCCACATGATGTCTTGTCTACTACTGAGGCATTCATTTTAGTGTAGAGGCTTTCTGATGGATTGTTTTGAATCTTTCTTAACCTCTTTACGTCGATAACGTAAGGTATTGATTAACCAGTTTCTGTAAACAGTTATTTATTGGTCCTCTTCCATGCATTAGTTATCTGATCCCAAATCTCTTCCTGGTATACTTGGAGTAGAATTTATCTAATTCGAACTGTGACCAATCCACTAATCGCAGCGTTTCTAGGAAGGCAGAAAAACGTTCAGATTTCATGTAAAATTAAATTACAATTAATAAATCGGAGATCATGACGTCCGTAATGATTACACGGTGTTTGGTGCGTACAAGTTTGAAAGATTATAATACTGAACCTATACTAATAATAACTCACAAGATGTTAGTCGGAGGTAAGCAGTGGAAAATGGACGCCATACTGGGTCAAACTTTTTAAAAGTCAGTACATTACCAATTACAACAAACTGAATTAAAAAAAAAAATGATAATGAATCCAGTCCTAACTTACGGATCTAATATTTGGGCATGGCCTAAGGCTGATGCAAAAAGATAGCATACTTTTGAGAGAAAAAATATTGTGAAGAATCGTAAGCCCCATCAGAGAAGATAATATTTGACGAATAAGAAAAAAATAAATCGGAAAATATATTATTTCTCTCAAGGATACGAAGAAAAGGAGAGGGAAATGAATTATTCATTAGCAATGCAGTGCAAATACATTAAGCTACTTTGACAAACAGCATAAATATTAATCCTTATAATACCTTATAGTACCTGTTTATCCAAATACAGAAATATTTTCGTTACTGAGGAAAGGAACACTTTTCATAAAAGAGTGCTGCCCAATTATATTATGTTGTAATGATGTAGAGATGGTTGACCGTTGATATGATATGAGAAGGAATTAGTCGAGGGTGCGGTCAAAAAAATAAAAAAAATTAAAATATATAAATAATTTTAATTTTTGCCGACGTTTCGACCCACTTTGCAGGTCGTCTTCAGGGCGTTGGATGTGGCACTGCGGGAGGCGGTTGAAACACTCATCACGCAGTGTTTCAACCGCCTCCCGCAGTGCCACATCCAACGCCCTGAAGACGACCTGCAAAGTGGGTCGGCAAAAATTAAAATTATTTATATATTTTAATTTTTTAATTTTTTTGACCGCACCCTCGACTAATTCCTTCTCATATATTATGTTGTATAAATTATTTCTGTTTTTTTTATCTTTGCTTATTCTAGTCGTTTCGTCACTCTTATCCATTTTATTGATATATTTTTCAGAGACACTTCATAATAAATCAAAATAAAATAATATGTATATATATATATATATATAAATTCTATAGTAAAATAAAAACAATCAAATTAAAAAAAGAAATGATGAAGAATAAAACAATGAAAAATTAATACGTATCCACCCCGTTAATTATCATACAGGTAATAGTGGATAATCCTCAAGTACAGAATAATATTCTGGACCATCTGGGAAATATCCTGATCAATCCTTGGTCTTCTTGAAAGCTCATCGCACTTTTTAAATTTTTTCGGTGAGCCCCAAACCATAGCTCTCTCAAGGTAAACGGATATCTTCTGAGATCGAAAGGGATACACTTTTCATATGTTTTCTAATTCTTTTCCTTTATATACCTGCTGCCCTCCTAGTTATAGAGAATGCAACAATACTCGCATATTCCGTGGATCCATACATGTCCATAGAAAGTATGGAACCAAACCAGGTGAAGACAATTTTTCTAAGGAACATCAAATATGCCAGAACCTATGTTGCTGGTGTGTCATAAAGCTGTTGTTGAGGCATTTTTCCTGCAAGTGAGCTAGTGTTTCAAATATTCTTCCGCATTTGCGACAAAAAATTCAACTCAAAATATTAGTAAACAGACAGAATAATCATGGTATAAATGAATCCCCCAGGGCCCATCCACGGGCAATGAAACAGAATAAATAATTTGTCAGCTATCGGCCGGATTCGAACCCGAGACCTTGTGCACGGAAAGTCAGTATCCAACCCACTGATTAACTTTCCAACAAAACTATAAGTCTAGATTAACTGAATCAATTTTTACAAATGAGTTAACGAATTATTATTTTAAGATTTTTTTTTTCCTATTTTCTTTGCAGACCTTGTAGATCTTTTGTCGCATTAACCAGCTTTCTCCATCCCCGCCAATATTGGGTTATTTACTTCAAATTATCTGCATGCAGCTCTACAAATCGTTGTTAATTCAATCTATCCATCTAGTTTTTGGCGTCTCATACAATCTTTCGCAACTTATTGAGGCATCCATTGCTAATATAGGGCTTCGTGATCCGTTATTCTGAGCTATATCTTAACCTCCTTGCCTTCAATCTTGACCAGTTTCTGTAAGTAGTTTGTAATAATATTTCTACTACATTCGTTAGTTCCCTGGTCTCAGTTCGCTCCGGTTATGGTGTGAAGGATTTTCCTCTCAAATCTTTTAATAGTTTTTTCTAGTGTGTAGATATTATTTTCAGAATGTATCTTATTGATTTTAATTTTCTGTATTATTTTAAATGCACATCTTTTGTTCAAAATTAATTTTATCTCAATACGCCTGAATATCAGATAACTATAATTGATTATTTTTTGTGATTTCAGTTGACACAAACATATTGTTAAATGAATGTTCGGAATTGAATCATATAAAACAAGAGATCTTGGAAGACCTGAGCGAAGGTATAATACTTACTGAATTATGAGTGCTATATATATATATTCACATATAAGTTATATCACTTATTATTTATGATGACTAGAGGGTTGAATGATATGAAAATAGTTAAAATCGTTTTATATTAAAAAGAATTGGGACATGTTTGAAATAAATTGTTTACTTTTTTTTTAATCTCAAATAAGTGTTGCTCTAATATTATTATTATTATTTGAAGTATAATTCAATATTTTAATATTAAATCTAACTCAATAATTAAATTTGAAGCAATCATTACTGTTATAGAATATAATTTATTATTATTTCTGTTTCCCGTAGGTAAAGGAAACCATATCCATTTTTTTTATTAAATGATTTGGTAACTACGCAAAAAACTTTAATAGCTAAAAGTTATGAAAAATTTTCTCTTCCGAACAAATACAAAAATGTTACATAGAGTCCTTTGCCTCCGGGGTACAGATTTAGTAACTAAGAAACAAATTTCAATAACTCTAATTATAGCCAATTTCATATATTTATTAAGAATTTTCCTCGTAATTCCTTTCTCTTTACAGTTATTTCAAATATTTTTCCAAAGTGAGAAAACATCTCTTTTTATTCAATTTAAAAAAAAACTCAAATTGAAGAGGAGATTAAAGTTAGGTTAAAGACGGGAAATGTTCATTTTTTTCTGTTGCAAAACTCACTAGCTCACACCTTCTGCCCCAAATCTAAAAATTAGAACTTCCAAAACCATTATTCTTCTTACGGATCTTTATTGATGCAAAACGTGACCGCTTACATTAAGGTATTAACGTCTTAAGAATTTTGAAAATAAGGTATTATGAAGGGTGGGGAGGTGTGTAGACAGCGATTGGTGGAATCGGTATTGAACCTTCGGGTTCGCAAATCCTTTTATTACTAACATATTAACATTTTTTTTTTTTTTATCGTCAAATATTGAACTCTTCAACTTCTATTTTGCAGGTGATAGCAGTAACGAAGACTACCTAGACGGGAGGGAGGTATTACAAGATTCTGTGATCGGTGAGTATATCAAATATAATCATAATGATCGTTTCAATTCGGAATATTGAAGCTATTATTGTTTCAGATGTCTTGGGCCTCATCAAGGAGGAACCAGAGCTTATAATAAAAGAAGAGCTAGATGCAAAAAAAGGTACTTTACCTAATTATCAAAAACAAAACTAACTGAAAAATCGTTTAATACTTTCATATTAGTTTTTAAAAATTATTATTGCTGCTTTTAAATATATATATTACCTGAAAGACTTGACTACCTCTGGGTTACAATCATGACCAATAAAAGATTATTCATTTCATGCATTTACTAGCAAAGTTCATTATATCGTCCATATTGGTTTATCCAATTACGTTTCTCTGTTAATTTATCAATATTACTTTTCGTTTTTCCTCATTAAGTTGTCAAACATAACATTAACATTGCTGCAAGAAAAGCTTTGTTCCATGATTGAAAAAAAAAACTGAATTAGGTCATCACATGAATTTTCAGTTTTTATTATTCGATGAAGCTTAGTTCGTAACAATAAAACGCAAAAAGTACCTATTTTTTTATGTATGTTTATATTACAGATAATTAGTGTTAAAAAAAAAAAGTGGTGAGGACGGAGCAACGTCACAGCTACGGTATTGCCAATCATCTTTTGATTGATTATCTTATATTAGTATTTTCAGCTTCGAAACTTCCATCCAAAATATATCTTACCGTTTTTTCTCTCAACCTGTCTTTACTAAAAAAAGTATTTAGTTCGCGTTTTATTAGATTTTATAAATAGATTTTTTTTTTAAATAGAGTTGAGATACTTTGTGTTTGGTAGTCGTATACGTCAAGCTACCATGGGCTCACACCACGACCCCAGTCCCTACCACAGCTCCGAAACGAGTTTGTATTTCAAACTAAATATGAAACTTTTCTTTTTTAGGCTTCAACAAGTGTAATCTTAATTTTATATACGTTCTTTATCATTTGAATTCTATTGAAGCTCATATTTACTCTCCTTTTTTTCATTTAATGTTCCAGTTATAAAATAATTTCAGTATGAGGTAGAATGAAAAAATAAAACAAAAATTCCATAATTAGAATAAAAATATCTTAACTGGCTTTCTTTTCATTAATTATTATTGTAATGTAATAAATAAAATATGTAATAAATGTTACCTACTTATATTACAAATATAATTTTGCTATTAATGTTTCAGGCTCTGAATGCAGTATTGTACATTCGTGTTATTATTGTGGAGAAGAGTTTACTTCTATTAAGGCCATCAAGAGTCACATTAAACTGAGCCACATTCCACAGTTGTTGAAACCTGGCTCCAACAATCACAAAAGCAATATTTACCAGTGCAACAAATGCGACTATGTGTCCAGTCAATCAGATGCTCTAAAAAAACATTTAAGTTGGCATAACAAAAAAGTCAAGCCTTATAAATGTCCCCAATGCGACCACCGCAGCGCGTGGCCTTACAATCTCAAGAACCATCTTCTCGCAAAGCACACCGATTTGAAACCATTCAAATGTAATTCTTGCAGGTACAGGACAGCACATTCTGGCAACCTCAAGACCCATGTGATGGTACACCACACTCATGAAAAGCCACATCAATGTGCGTTCTGCAATTACAAAACAGCTCACGGAGGAAACTTGAAAACGCATATTATGACTAATCATACCAACGAAAAGCCACACCAGTGCTTTAAGTGCAGTTATAAATCCACCTGGGCAACGGACCTGAGACGTCACATCATGTCTCATCACAGCAATGATAAACCTCACCAATGTACCAAGTGCAATTACAAAACAGTTAAATCGACAGACCTTAAAAAACATTTACTCACTCACGGTGCCGATAACAAGCCATTTCAGTGTGAGATGTGTGACTACAGCTGTATTCAGCTCAGCAACCTCAAGTCCCACATCATGGTACACCATACTCATGAAAAGCCTTACGAGTGTTCCCATTGCGAATACAAAGCTAACCAATACTTCGCACTCAAGGTACATGTGATGACCTACCACACGAAGGAGAAGCCTTACCAGTGTGATATGTGTGATTACAGAACAGCCAATCCCAGCAACTTGAGCGCTCACAAGGTAGCACGACATGTCGACGAGAACCCGCACAAATGTGACAAATGCAGCTACCAGACGAAACGACACTCATCGCTCAGGCGCCATATTCTCTCCCAGCACACCAATAGCAAGCCCCACAAGTGTGCCCAATGCGATTACAAAACTGCCCATCCTAGTAACCTTAAGAGCCATGTGAGGCTAATTCACTCAGAGGTGAAGCGATTCAAGTGTTGTTTCTGCGATTTCAAAACATCTATCGCTGTCAATCTAAAAACACATAAGATGGCACACCACAAGGATGAGAAGCCATTCAATTGCACCGATTGTCCTTACAAAAGTGCCTACTTGAGGGACCTGCAGAGACATATTCAAGCTCGCCATACCGACGAGAAACCTCATCAGTGCCAGTTTTGTGATTACAAGACCGCTTGGGTGCGATCTCTAAGAAATCATATGAAGAGGAAGCACAAACGATAAATATGAAAAAAAGAAAGATTTTGTTTTGTTTTCTTTAAGATACAATATTATTTTTGTTACATATAAATATATTTTGTTAATATAAAAGTGTATTCACTAATATTTATTTTTGACTTAACTAACGCCTTTACATGAGAAAATTATATAGTCTGTTATAGTCTTTCGTTTTTTCTTTTGTAGTCAATGATGGTATACAAAATTCGGGCAAATAGTAATTTGTTAGAACAATTAATTATTTGGAAACAGCAGGTTTTACAAATTTAAACAGAGCTTTTTCATTGCTGCATGAATTGGTTTGATAAGTAGTTACTATTTTAGAAAACATTTTATCAAAAAACATTTTTATTCTTCTTCTACTTTATTATCCAGTTTATTGAACTATACGATGGTATAATCGTATGCAAACTCAATTATGTAAAAGATAATTTCAGTAATGACATGCCACCTAATTTAATTATACAACGATAAATGATATAAGGAGATTACATCCAGTGGACAGATCAGCCCAAAACGTCGATGGTACGGCTGAGTAATTGGTGATTCCATCGCTCAATAAAGGAATGGATTCCATGTAGGAACTTTTTATCGATGCCATCGATAAAATCAGTGTAAAGTATATGATTTTTCCACTCCAAAATAAACCAACATACGGCTCGGCTAAGTAGGGATGCGACATGAAACATTCCTTATAGTCCCTGGTACAGACTCCTTTTTATCAAATTATTAACATCTGGCTGAAACTTCGTAAATACCTTTATCTCATCATAAAATAAAATATTTTATTTACGAAAATTCAAAGAATTGGGGCGTTTTCAATGTGAAGGTCGGAAAACTTAGTCTATTTAATTAGGTACTAAAAACTCGTAAATACCCATTGCTTTCCACTTGAATCGTATTTACGAGTTTTTAGTATCTAATTAAATAGATAAAGTTTGTCGACCTTCAGATTGAAAATGCCCCAATCCCAAGTATTTTCGTAAATAAAATATTTGTAGGTTACGATGAGATGAAACTATTAACGAAGTTTCAGCCGGATGTTAATAATTTGATAATAAGGGGTCTTTCCCACGGACTATTAGATTTGTTTTCTAATATTGTATAAAGCCGATTTTGGCGGAAGCTCATTGAGGAAGCCAGAACTCACTCAGGATTTGTCATCATTCGCCTCTCAAGTGCACACCTCCGTTTGCACGCGATTTTCATATAACATTTTATGCGAAAAAGTTGAAAAAAATAAATTTAACGAGTAAAAATATATTTTCTAGAATATTTTTATAGACATTGTTACATAACTAGTCAGACTGTGAACATTGTGTTTTTATTTTGAGATTCTATAAACTAAGAAATCTGAAATGTTACAGCATTTAACATTATTCAAAAATGTACCTAGTAAAACTACTTCTTTCAGCAAATCCTTCGTCATTCGTGCTACCTCCTTTTGGAACTCCCTTCCTACTTCCATACGTCAACCTTCGTTCACAAATTCCTTCAAACAACTCCTGTTCCACTACCTAGTTTGTATTTTTTATTATTTTAAGCCAGACTAAGACCTATAAATTTGTAACTCTGTTATTATTCTTAGGGGATTGTAGTACCAGAATAAAATAATTTTTTTCATTTTCATATCTTATGTAGGCTGTCTCCCTTTCCATATTTAATGTACACAAATAGAATATGCAACTTTTGTTTAGATATTTTCAAGTATTCACATAAACATAACAAAAACTTACAATTATACAAACAAGTATATGTAGATATATTTTTTAAATATTCAATATTATATTTGTTCCTTTTACAATAATTATGTTGGATTTTAACGTATTGTATGAACTCCCACCATTTTTTTTTAAATAGAAAATCTGCGCCTATGTCAAACAATACTTTGAAATAGTAAAAAATGAAAGGGAATAGTAATTTAGACAATATTATCTTAATTAAGTCGAATTTATTACATATCATACATAAAACGGACAACGCTCGAGTTTGCTATCTACAACCTATCATTAGAATCTATAATTGAAACTAGATTCCATATATTTTGATTTGAACGTCTGTGATGTTCATCAGGAGCAAAGATCCATTTAATGGTCTTTACTTGAGGGAGAGGAATTCTGAATAGGTGATGTATCCATCCATGTCCCTGTCTACGTCTTTCAGCACAACATCCACTAACTTCTCCAACTCTTCATCTTGGTGGATCTCGGGTGATTCCTGACCTATTTTAATAACAAAGTTAGTAATATAATAAAAAAAAAAAAATCTTTGTGTAATAACAAACAAAAATACTGTTTTGTATTTATCAATGAATAAATTTCTATCAAACTAAACAATGATCAGGAACACACATTTCCGATCGAAAATAATACATATTTCTAACTTATCAAAATTAAAGCTATTCTTAACAAATGGATAGGTGACTAACCTCCACAGATAAACTTTTTGTGAATCTTTAACGATTCGTTTTTAGATTTTAGTGGACTAAAAACGTTTTACTATTATAATACTATACAAGTCTCCGTTTTAAATATTTGATCACATCGAGTCCTAATACAACCAAAAAACCTGCTTACCTTCTTTATTTCTTTACTCCTTGTTCCTCTGTTCATTCGTTCAACACGAGATTCCAATCTTCAAATTTATTTATTCCTTCTCATAGAACAGGTTTCCTTTAAAAAAATCCTTCGTCATACGTGCCACCTCATTTTGGAATTCCCTAGCAACCTCTATACGGAAATCCTCATCCTTGACCTCATTTAAAAACAATTTATTTTTCGATCTCTTCAGTAATCAGTGTTCCGAATATATATATATAAAAATAAAATTATTTTTTACTTTAGAGACGTCAGCTACATTATACCAATATCTTGCAGATATCTATGTATGTGTCATATTGCTTATTTGTACAAATAGGTGGCCTCACCCGTATGTGCTTATCTTTAAATTCATATGTCTACTTCAAGATCACATATTTACTACAGTGCCTTTTCTTTTTTTTTTAATATTTAAGTTAGACAACTTTGTAAATTAATGTATTTTTAATTGTCATTTAATTATTCATAATCGACAGACAATTGTTTGTTCATTATAATTATTCTGAGGGGACTAAATGTCTCAGAATAAAATTTATTTTCTTTCTTTCTCTCTAATATGCAGTTAGTTTGATAAAATACTTCAGAAAACTTCCTATAACTTAACAAACATGGCAGACGTAACCTTTGACCAAATCGGTAATTCGATCTATGAGCAACTAGTTTTCTTACGATAAGACATAAATAAAATTCTTGCATAATTTATCCTCTTTAACAATATGCTGCAGTTGGATTATATGAAAATTTAAATTAGACTAAGTTCAATAAGTATGAAGCTGTGTAACTAACATGGAGAACAGAAGGGGGTGACAAAAAAAAAATTATGTTTTGTTCTAAAGAGAAATTGCAGTATTTTGATGAGTATAAAAATCCAATTATGGACTCAAATTCAATAATCTCTGGACTCAGTTGGACTGGAAATGGACTCAGTACAAGTGATTGAAGTGAATACTGTTAGGATTATTGACTTCAGTGCTAAGGAAATGGATTACATGCTCAGATAAATGAAGTAAAGCTTCGTTTCTACCACAGGCGGATCTACAAGGGGGGGGAGGCTTTCGGGCTGAAGGCCCTTCCCCCCCAAATGGTAAAATATAACTATGTTTTACAGAATAAAATATTAAAAACTATCTCTTAAAGTATTCTTGTTCGTTTAATAACATTTAATAGGACTTCAAGAACCACTTAAACACCATTTCATAGAGGTAGTTAATTTCTTTCTTTTTTTTTCAAATTAATTATCGTTATATGTATATGAAAAAAAAATCTTTCGGGCTGAAGCCCCCCCCAAATTAAATCCTGGATCCGCTAGTGGTTTCTACGATGACAGTTACCAAGAGTTTTAGCATCTTACATCATGTAAACAGTTCGACAGTAAACTAGTGGATACACGATGAAGAAAGAAACTAATAAAATGATATTCAAGTAGATCTACATTAAAGGCCTATTAGAAAAAAAGAAAAAGAAAAACGAAACGGAATGTAGGGTTAGAGTAAATAGCGACAGATCCGAGGAATGTCGTACAAGACTTCGACAAGGGGATGTGCTAGCCTGTATGCAGTTTAATCTAGCACTCTAGAAGGCTGTAAGAGATGTTGGCTAAAACGAAAAAAAGATAATATATTTACCAGGCATGTCCAACTGTTCGCCTACACTGATGATATACACATTGTGGGGCGCTCTCTGCAGGCCGTGACTGATGCTTTTCTAGCAATGGCTGGTCCTGCCAGCAGACTTGGAATGGAAGCTAATGAGTACAAAACAAAATATATGATAATAGACTTAATTCCCATACCAGGCGATACACTCACTATCGGGCTTCATAAATTTGAGAAGATGTCGGAGTTTACTTATTTGGGATCTATGGTCACTCAAGATAATAACCCCGATATAGAGATAAGAAGAAGGATAATAGCAGCAAACAAATGCTACTTTTGGCTAAGCAGGCGGATACTTTCCAGAGAGACCAAACTCCACCTCTATAAAACATTAGTGCGTACCGCACTTCTTTATGGATCGGAGTGATGGACAACATCGAAGGCTACTGAACAGGAACTCCTTATTTTTGAAATAAAGTATAGTAACCGGGTTGTAGCGCCATGAGAAAAAAACAAAAATAAAAATTACAGGAACAATAAACTTTTGGGGATCATTTTAATACATTTTTTTCCTTGATATGTACTTACATTTAATAGCTTATTATTTATTTATTGCAATGACACTACGATCCTCCGAGAACCCAGGCCTCCTCCGCTACAGCCAAACAATATTCTCGGTCCTGTACTACCTCCCTCCATCTTCGAACGCGGCCTCAGGTCGTCCTCTACATTCTGCAGTCATCTGATCAGAGGGCGTTCCCTACTTCTTTTGCCATCCGGCTTCTAATAGAGCATCCTCTTTGACATGGCCTATCCATCTTATCCGTGCTCTTTTTATCAACTTAGTAGCTTATATGCGTTATAATTTAAGAAGAGGACATAATGTGATTGTGTAAGTATTTATTTATTTACATCCCTACCTAACATATATGGTAATACGAGATTCGGCAGCAGTAGAACTTGGCTGAATTCAGCTCAGATCACTCAAAAAAGCAAATGACAAAGAAATTTTTTTTTTTTCAATTTGGAGGAGCTTCTACACGAAAGCAATTAAATATACAGAAAAATAATATATATATACAATAAATAAGAATAAAATCATCTAAAAATAAATAAAAAAGGACACATACATACCTATTTACAATCAGGTGAGAGAACTCCGAGCCAGACTTGTTCCTCCAACTGTGGAGGGAAAAGCATGACTCCAGGAGATCCCTGCACTTCTCTCTCGACCGCGTCACTGGATCTAAACCCAGTGGTGGTTGAGAGAGAGTGCTTTAGCCACATACACTCATGTCGTGAGTGGAGAATCTGGCCATTGCCAGAACTCCAATATTTACAAACTATAAAAGGTCGTGGGGCCACTGCCGTTTTAACCTTCTTGGAGGATTATAGGGATTGGTGGTGCTTGATAGGGATTTGGATGATAGGGAAGGTTCTGGTGAAATTTGGACAACTGGGATATTAAGGTCATGGTGTAGGATTTTGTTAGTTACATTGAAAGAAGCATATCGACTATTGTTCAAAGGACTTTGGATTGGATGCGTTTGATGTTGGAAAATTTTGCTGTTCCCCACAGTTCAAGTCCGTAAGTCCAAGTAGGTTTCAATATTGTCGTGTAGATAAGTATTTTATTTTCAATAGAAAGTTTAAATTTTCTATTTAGTAGTCTGTATAGTTGGCAGTATCGTCGGTTAAGTTCTTGTCTTTTAATGAGGGCTCCACATTATTCATCTGTCTAAGAGAAAGCCAAGATACCGGACTTTGTCTGAGGAAGGAAGCTGGATGGAATTCAAGTGTACTGGTGGACAGAAGCTGTGTCGGAGTGTGATGGTAATGTGTTGGTATTTGGATTCATTTACTTTAATATGCCATTTATTACAACAGTGTTCAATCGGGGAGAGGTGTTTTTGAAGGTTTAAGGATACTCTATCATGATCTGAGAGTTTAAATTTAATTATAATTGTAAGTAAAATTTAATAATGTATTTTGTACAGTAAAATTAAATTTAAAATGTTATATTGTGTAAAAGAAAAAAAAAAAGGTATTCCAATTATTTCAATTTTTTCCACCCCATTAAGGAAATGGATCTTTGAAGCTCGTTAAAAAATATGATTTTTTTTTTGTGTTCATTGGTCATCATTCCCACTTCAATTTTCAAGGTTCGAGGATTTAATTTTGGGAAGCTTCTTTTTTTTTTTTTTAATATATATTATGGTAATTACTTTGGAAGAAAAAGAAAGAAACTAACTACCTATATGAAATAGTATTAAATTGATTGGGGGCGGGGTGGGCGAATGGGCTAAAGCGTGTGCACAGCACCACCAGTTGCCTGGCAACCGGATTACAGAATTGAGAAGATTTAAAAAGTACGAGTTCGCGTCCCGGTGCCGGAGGGGATTTTAAATTCCCCGCCCTCACCCCCCGGCCCAGGAAAATCCCGTATAGCCTAAAAGGCGAGGTAGGGAGGAACAAAAAAAAAAAGAGTATTAAATTGATTTTCGAGGTTCAATTAAATAATTTTTTGAATATTTTTACTTAAAATATACTTATATTTTACTATTTCATTTATTCTTTTTACCGTCGATCGGCCTGTGATTGGTTCACATATTTGTTTCTATACATGATCTAAGACAAATATTTTATAGAACCAAGTGATCTCTTTTTAAATAACACCAGATATACATCAGTTAATGAATATGAATATATATCAAGAAAAAATATTAAACTTTTTATCCCTAAAAATTTTAATATTTTTCCCTAATATTAATCCCTATTTCTGTAATTACCATTATAAATATATTTTAAAAATGTTAACCCACCTCCAAAACTAAACCCTAAATCCGTTCCGTTACTGTATTTTTAACTGTTAAAATCAGCTATCACACAATTAAAATTTACTTTAATTAAGTTAAGAACTTATAACAAATTTTTCGAAATTTCCTGTGAATTCCTGACAATACAAAATCCCTGATATATTTCTGGCTGGTAAAAACTCTGTCACAGCACCTTGTTTAGAACTATAGGGGCACAAATTCAAACTTTTGATGTGGTATCTAATTGAAGCAATTAACCATAATCATTGAATTTAATAATTACAATTAGATGACAGAGAAAGTAGTAGAGCTTATCTTAGATTTATGTAATCGTTGTATGTATGTAATGCATGTAATCGAATATTGGAAAATCTTGGAAGTGTTATCAGCACTCATAAACATTTAGAATGAATTGGCCAAATTAGTTTAAAAAACAAAAACAAATGTTTTTGACTTGATAAATGAGTTGTTAATGAAAGTTTAATAAATTAATTTTTTAAAAATAAACAACTTTAAAAGATCTCTGTAAAGAAAATAAGTGTTTTTAATAATTAAATTTGTTCTATATAGTTTCTCTTAAGTATGAGATAACGGACACTTATTTTATACTAAGCAAGGAATGCTTAGAAAATAATTATATAAATATTTATTAATTCATCTTAAATAAAATAATTCCTGAGGTAATAACAAATAATAAATCCTCCCTCCCCAAAAAAAACTGTACTACTACAACCCATGAAGGATCTGGGGTTCAGTACTAATTAGGGAAAGCACTGTTTCTTGGGCTACGGTTGTGCAAGGAGGTGAATTAACCGAGATCACGCTCAACCGTCAGCTTTTCTCCTCAATTAATTATTTTAATTAAGGGTACCCACTGAGGCTAGGTGGGCCTTTCGAGGGTCTATCTACCAGAGTCGCCCCACGGCCAATGAAACAGAATAAATGATTTTTCTGCCATGAGCCGGGATTCGAACCTGGGACCTTTAGCAATGGAAGCTCAGTGCCCTACCACTGAGCTTATCCCACACCACAAAAAAAAAAAAAAAAAAAAAGGGAAAACCAAATAAATGCAGGTTCACCAAATATAAACAGTTAAAATTATGGATTAAATATGATGCAAACTTATCTAAACAAAGAAGCAAAAAGCTAAGGACAAACTGAGACAATAATACCATCCCACAAAACTAACTATAATTATCACTTTTGCAATCTTGTACATACAAACCATGCAAATGAACAATACGCCACATTCAAAATCACATTTAAGACAAGATCAAACATTTCTCTACAAGTTTCAAATGTTAACAATAAATAAAAATTAAACAATGAAATTAATGATTAAATAAGGAGATACAGGTTTAAAAATAATAAATTAGAATTTAAGTAAAATAACAACAAACAAATAAACATTATTACTTCAGCCTTCATTGATCTTTTATCAGTTAGTTCTACATCCATATTAAACTCTACAACCATAATTAAAATTAATTTCTAAAAATTAATAAGTTGAACATTAACATTACATAATTATGTTTGATAAAAATGATATAGTGACATAAAAGCAGAACAGGGTTATTTAAAATTATATAAAAATCCGATATTGTTTATGAAATGACGAGAGCAAATTTACTTTAACATTTACATTTCAAATTAAATTAACTTTGACAAATCAATATGATTTCTAGTGACAATCAAAATGAAACTCTTGAAGGTTCCGTAGTATCTATTGTTGGAAACATTTTGATTCAATTTAAAGGATTTCATCAGAATTACAAATAGAATATTAATAAATACAATTTCTGTTTCATTTTGTCTGTCAGCTATTATTTGAATTTACAACCCCATGCATAATACAGCAGTAAAATACATATTCTGCTTCATAACAAATAAATAATACAATGAAAACATGCATAGAATAACATACAATAATAAAAACTTACTTAAATAAAAATTGAATATCTTATAAAGATAACTATTTAATAATTAAGATCAGTCTATTCCAACAATTAATTTTCATTAAGTAAGGGGATACAGAAAGGATTTTTAAATATAAATAATATGATCAAAATTAAGAAGTTAAAATATATATTTTAAATGTTCACAATCTAATTCAATTTTTATAGTTATAATGTTTTGATATTAATTAAACAAAAACATACTTGCATTCATCTCAAATATATCCAAAATTTACCAAAATAACACCTTTAACATTTGATACATTTTTATGACATTTAAGTAATGTATATCACAGCAAACATAAGTATGGTTTACAGAAAAATAGGAAAATTCACATCGAAACTTATACAAAATAAGTAATGTATAAAAATGAAACTTTTGCAGGTTTTTATTTTCAGAAGTAAATCAATTAACAATTAATTTGTTTCATTTCATGAAATCTCTTCAGGAACATTTAAGAATAAATGCCCAATATAAATAAATACAAGGTATTTATATTTATATATTTCATTATTCCATTCTCGGGAAATAAGTTTTATTTATAACCCAGTTAGTAAAATTTGAATTTTATTAACTGGGTTATAATACACTTAGTTAAGACTAAGATTTAATCTAATAAGTAGTATACAAATTCTACCGGAAGCGACAATGAGCTAAAAATCTGCTTTATCATCACAAGCTACATTTAAAAACATCTGGTTACAATGTCTTAACTCAGAGGTAAAACATTCTACATAATAAATAGCTACATGTAGCAACATTTGGTTACAATGTGTTTTACAACTTGTTGCCGTATATCGCAAAAGAGTCAATCATGTTTGTTTCTAACAGTGGATTAACAGGATTCCCACGACACATGAGAAATTATAGTAACATGATAATGAAAGAACCAACTAATTAATTAATAATTTATTTATTTTTACAATTAATTTTTACTTTTTTAGTCATTTTTTCGGATTTGAAATATAAGATTCCTTTTAATTTTTCATGAATATATATTTCAGGAAGAAGTTCACAAATTTAGTGTAATAACTCTCACATTGAAGCCAAATATCATTGATCAAAGGATTAAAACTATGTGGCTTGTTTTTCCTAATTAATGCACTGTAGCCTAAAGTCACTAAATGCAGCTTATTGTAGGTTTGATATTTTACAATGCATTATCACTTCCAGTGGACGGTCCTTCTAACCAAAATTAAGATCATTTAAAAAATAAATAAACAAAGAAAGAAATTACGTATATAGACTTATTAAAAATATTAATATCAACTACAGCTTATACTGTAGTCTAAGAGTTTTCAAAGCAAATATTAAAAAATTATAATTTTATATTTAAAACAATTTGGATGGATGAGTAAAAAACTCAATAAACAAAACAAAGCCTATCTAAATTTTCACATTAATCACTAATATAATAAAAACCTGACGATTATTATATAAACCCCTAATATATAATACTTTCTTAAGATAAATATTATTAAATTTAATTAATTGCACTCACTCACAGAATGTTACAAGATACTGGAAAAAATGAGAATATATATATGGCCGTGATACCAATATTTTTGCCTCTAAAAGAGCATTGTTCTGGTTCAAACTTTTAGAGATCGATGAAGATAGCATCATTTTAACTTCCAACTATCGAGAAAATAATGACTTAAACAATCATATAATACTTGATGTTTACTCCAAACTAAGCACAAGGAGTTATAAAAATAAATATTAAACCAGAAATCATAGGGAAAAACTGATACCATTGGCCAAACTTAAATTTACAATATAAAATATACTTAAAATTATAATACAATTATACATAACCCTCATTTTAATGCACCCATTCATATTTATGCACATAAATGTGCCTGTGTAGATAAACACATATACAAATATATTTGCATGTATAAAAAAACAGAATATTTCATAAAATTCAATGAATTATAGCAACTATATACAATTGGCAATAGAATCGATCAACAGTAGAAAAACTATCATCTCAAAGCAACACTTTGTTTTGCTAATAACGATTCCATTAAGCAATAACTTTCTCATCAGTCAGATGAAGTTCACAAGATGCATGCAGAGAGTCTGCTTCAAACTGCCAAGATAAAATAGGTACAGATGAGGTCAGGATGTTAACTGCAGACATGATTTACAGTTGAGAAATTCTTTTAAGATCCTGTCACAAAAAAATATAAATACATACATAATAGGAGCATTAATTTTAATATGTTCTATGGCCAAAAAAAAGTTTAAACAATAATAGATTTAAAAATAAATCGTGGGTAATAAATAGTCAGGATGCAGTCATGTGAGCTCTGACTACTTATCGCCCATGAAATGTAGAACAGTCGACTAGCTTCCTTCAATAAAAATAAATCGATAATAGAATCCTCTAGCAGTAATAATCAATTTATTTCAAATTTTCTAGAACTTAATCGCTTCAGATGAAATCAATATTTAATAGAATTCCTTGGTGTTTCAGTAGTTAAAAAAACATTTTTAAACAGTTTTATTGAATTATGTTTACACGGTGCCCATTTTTGTTTCAGTTTTTTAAGTTATTTTTAAATAATAGGTTGGTGTTTTTTTTCCAAATTACTCAACACTGGATTGTCCAAGGCCTTTGAAACCAATTTGTGTTTAATATATTTTGGCCAACAAATCTAATTCCTTTTTTCCATTCTATGATATCAAACTCCAGAATAAATATGAACTTTTGGATTCAATTCTATTCAAGTTTGATAAGAGGGAAAATTAGATAAGTATAAGATGAAGTTATTAGTACAAATAGATTCATAATGAAAAACAGTTGGAATAGGAAAAATAATAAGCAATATCATTTTTTTATTCCGACTCTCTTTTCATTCTGAAACCATTTATATCAATAACTAAATTTACAGAAAAAAAGCAGTGCCTTACAGTTTTTTTTTCCCCTCATATTATTCAAATTAAATTTTTTTTCATAACTAAGAGTTAAAATTTATATTGGATTTTGATATGATATAAATAAGATTTGTAATTCATATTTTTGCCTAGTATCACGAGAGAAATATTGCAGCTGGAAAAATTTAAAAAACATTTGGAGGGGTAATTACTGATCACTGATATTGTATTGTATATATTGTAATGTCAACATTACATGGCATTTAAACAGTGGCGCAAAAGTGAGGGGAGAAAGTGTGTGCGGATGGTGGGGGAAGCAAGCCTCATGTAACTCAGACTGCGACGGGCCGCCAGGAGAGAAGGTGATAGCGGCCAAGAGAGAAGGTTATGAGCCGCCAAGAGAAAATGTGACAAGCTGTCAAGAGAGAATGTACTAGCCAGCAAGTTGAGAAAATAGAAGGAGTCCTAGCCGGTTCGAGTGTTGATAGAGGCCACTAGTGAAGATTATTTTATGTTGGAAGAAAAACAACATAGCAGAAAATAATTAAGTGATACAGAAAACAGGACATTCGTAAGAAGAGATTATTTCGCTGACAGGCGTTAACATTTGGGTGAGTGCTAACAATGCCATTTATGTGACAGAGTGATAGAACCAAAAGTTTAGACCGGGACAAATTATTTTATAAAACTATTTTAAATTATATATTAGTGTACATTATAGTTATTTAATGTTGAATGAGTGTTCAGTTGTCAGAACCCAACCTGAGATTCATGTTAAATATGTTAAAATAAATAATATATTGAAAAAGGAACTCGTTGTTTGATTTATGTTGACAAAGTGAACGTTACAACATATATATATATATATATATGGATTTATGTGTATACATATATATATATATATATATATATATATATATATATATATATATATATATATATATATAAAAGTGTACTCATATATCCATAAGAAAAAAAAAAAAACCTAGTGTGTCTACTCACACAACTTTTCAACTGAATTTTAGATAATTTATACAACTTTAAATATGTTCATTAAAAAAAAAAAAAAAAAAAAATGAGAATTACTTTTCCTGAAAACTTATCAGAGAAATGATGAACTTAGATGAACTAAAACAATGTTAATGGGTACATGAATCATCATTAAAATCAGCATATAAAATTCAATAAACTGTAACTCGGCTAAAACTGATCTGATTTAGACGATTTTTTTTTTTTTTTTTAGTTTTGTTGGAAAATTTAAAACCTTTCAAAAAATAAGTTAGTAAAAATGTGTTTTTTGGACTCACAGGACTCTGAAATGTAAAGATCCGTTGAAAACTGTACATCAGAAATCTGACCCGATTGCAATACTTTCCTTACCTAGTAGCAGTAGGAAAGAAAAAAAAACTGAGGCTGACATTTTGTTCCTACTTTAAGAAAGCAGGTGTCTACAACTTTTTAGAATGGCCAACATTTGCAAAACAGATATAATAAAAATTTAAAAAAATTATTTTTCAAATACCAAAAAATCAAGGAATGGGCATACAAAGTATCAATTCTTTCAGAAGTGGTCAAGTGAATAATGCTAAAACATCTTTTAACTTAAGTTACGTTTAGAAAGTTTATTTAACCAATAATAACAGTTTGGTCCGACCAGATGGCAACATCTATCGGTCGGTACCATTAATAATAAAGTTAGTGGTTATATCAAAATGCAGTAAACCCTCATTACAACAAACTCAAATGGAACAGAAATACAATGGTTTGTTAAAACAAAGTTTTAAATATCTCAATAAAAACAACAATAAGTAGATGCACCGTGTAGATAATTTTTTTAAAAATAAAAACCCAGTATGTACAATACTCTATTTATTACAACTTTCACCAGTCAATTATATTATTATTTTGTATCATGATCAATTACATTGACTATTGAATTGTATATTTCTCCGCGATGCTCTTTTGTTAACATGATTAAACATCTTGTGGGATTAGTAATTTAATTATCAAGGGATATCGCATTCTGTTATTTGGACATATTTAAACAAATACTAAAAACGTTGACACTGAACATTTCTTTAACTTGAGTAATACGAAACTGACCTGATAGTTACTGATTATTAACATTGCAAACAAATAAAGACTCTCCTAGAAACAGGATTTCTAGAATTTTGGCTAGAGCGGAAAATATTCTCATAAAAAGCACAATCAAGAGAGTTAACATAAATATAAGAGAGATAAATAACTACACATTAAGTTCAAGGGACCTGATAAAATTGTGATCTACAGGTCTTGCAAATTCTGACTGTTCGATGAGGAATGGAAGATTATTTATACATATACGTTTCTAGTTTATAATAACACAATTACTTCTCACTATGGGTCAAAAAGTAGTTGAAAGTTCATTTATTAATGGAATTAGTTCGTTAAAAGGAAGATGCAATAGGAAAATCAATGCATTTTTCTAGGGGATTCAATTTCAGTTCTCTTTAATGAGGAATTTGCTATATCCAAGTTTGTAGTGAAGAGGGTTTACAGTATTAATTTTCATTTTATCAATTGACTTTATACAAGCAATAAAAAAAGTGTTACTTACAATAGATCAATGCCTCTGTTGCTGTTGTTGTTGCTGTTGTTGATGCTGCTGTTGTTGCTGTTGCTGTTGTTGAGCGACTGCTGCTTTCTGCTGGGCCTTTGCGAACTCAGGATAATCAATATAACCGTCATTGTTGGCGTCGTCGAGGGCAAGGATGGGGTCAATGAGTGAGACCAACTCCTCATCCTTGAACAGTTTGTCACCAGATGGGTTGCCATGATTTGCTTGACCCTCTGTAGTGACCATACCAACATACAGACAATACCAACATAGCAACAAGCAAACATGCACATATAACAAATGATGCTTTTGAAAGCAAAATAAGACATAAAAATGTAACACTGCAAGAAACTTACACAATGAGAAAGAACATGCGCAACAAATATCAAAGATTAAACAAATATATAAAAAATACTATATAAAATGAATGAAATATTCAAACAGGATTGGATTGAAAAAAAATAAAGAAATAAATAAAAAGAAAGTAACATATAGCAAACTTATTGCAGATTTAAAAAAGGACTACGGAATATTTTCTATTTTCTTGATCATTATGAAATTTGATTTTTAAGAAAACCTCCCAGGCAGAGTTGAGAAAAAAAGTCAACCTAAAATCAATTAAAACCGACCTTGTATCTGTTGACTAAACAGGAAAGACCAATGGGCTTGTATCCCAATACTTTATTGTTCTATGATACTGTTCAAAATTCAACATTAAATATTAACATTAAAATTTGTAGGATATACCATAACAATACAATAGTTTCGAGTAAAAGTTGAATTTAAACCATCCCTATGTATTACATATACCCATTTAATTACTTATTGTAACTTCTTAAGTAATCAATAGTCACTTGAAATATTAATAATTACATTATTTTCAATTGTATATAATAAAATATGAAATTTAAAAATAAATTAAATTTAAACAAAAAATATTTATCTAGCTGATATTAACAGTTAAGCCTAGATAGAAAATAGCAAACATATTTCACTCACCATGCCAATGGATGAGCGATTTGATCAGTTCACATCCATCCAGTTTGTTGTTGTTATCTGCATCATGCATTTTGAAATAATGGAATTGCAATTCTTGCTCTGTCATCTTGCTAGTGTCCATTGGGACAGTGAGATGATCTTCAATATGTCTGAAAGAAATTATTCACAATAATATTACAAGGATATACACTAAATACCCAATTACTGTAATAGATAACAAAAACTACCATTACAATAATCATTAAAAAAAAATTAAAAAAATTGTCGTCACACAAAACTGAAATAACAAATTTAAATATATTAATATCAGGTATTAATAAACAGTAAGTAGTTTACTGACAATTATAAATAAAAACATTTTTATAATATAATCTTGTTTAATAACGAGTACTAAAATAGTAAAAATAATGTAAAACAAGAGGAAATATTTTTAAATTTAAAATAAAGAAACCTGTTGATTGCTTCAATTACTTTCATCAAATGTAAATTTTAGGGCTAGAACTATGAAGTTTGTCACTTATAAATATGGATCAATTTCAATGACAGAGATCTGGGAGAAAAGCACAGTTTCATAACCACTTTATATAAAAAAATCATTATTTAATTTTTTTTTTTTAATAAAAAAAAGTGTATATAGGTAATTATGTATATTTTAATACATCCCGAGTCATGGAAAAACAACAAATAAAAGCATTGCAACAGTTAGTTGTAATAATTTTGAGGAAAACATGGTTACTTTTAGGTGATAGAATAAAAAAATCACATAATTTTTTTATAAAACTTGGGAAGAATCTAAATTTTGATTGCCTAATAAATCTGACCTTAATTACTATGGAGTTAAAGCTTATTAAACGGGTATTTGTAGTATAGTTGAATAATGATAAAAAAAAGCGAATAATTTATGATTTTTTCACAAACAGAACTTAGTTCAGTTTAGTCGCTCAAAAGTACTCTTTAAATAAAGGAGATGGTCCGGGGTGGTGGTCATAAAAAGGCTAAATAGTGGCAAAACTATTTCCTTAAAAGCCAACGTTTTGACCCAAATTTGCAGGTCTTCTTCAGGGAGGTGTGTTCAGCTAGGAGTTTCACTTAGAACTTAGAAACTCCTAGCTTAACACACCTCCCTGAAGAAGACCTGCAAAGTCGGGTCGAAACGTTGGATTTTAAGAAAATATTTTTGCCACTATTTAGCCTTTTCATGACCGCCACCCCGGACCATCTCCTTCCTTTATAATGCAACGGTCAACTATTAAATATTCAATAATCTTTAAACGCTTTTAACAATGACAAATTCTATTTTCTTTTGAAGTAAATTTTGTTTAGTTTACAGCGAAGCAATTGTTAATTATTTAAGTTAAATATTTCTTTAGTTTTCGCTTTCTACTTAAAAAAAACATGACTTACTTAAAACAGGCACTTAACTTGGATTTCCTACTTTTTTTCCTAAAAATTGGCCCATTTTTTATATGAAGTTTTTTGTAGCCCACGATGTCTGCTATCACTCCTATAAAAATTTCCCTTAATTTATGGAACACCCTGTATATTTTTTTTAGGTTGAAAATAAATTTCCAGAATTAGTACTGGTACTGGTGGGGAGATCTAGTCTAAAGTGGTAAGTGGGCCTCTGGTTCTTTTTCCCAACTCCTGACAGCTACATTAAGTTTGCCCCCATATACTTACCAGAGAGAAAGAGTCACGATTAATCCTCCAGACTACCAAGAATACCCCAACATGCTTTTCCATCACATCCTCTCTGATATGATCTGAGGATATATAATATACCATTGGAAAGCAAAAGATTAATATCTAATATAGCCGAAGATAATGGAGGATTTAAAGCTAATAATTGTTGTATTTAATAAATAAAATATTTAATTTTCTTTCTGTCATATATTTCTTGGAACAGGGATTGAAGTGCAGGGACTGGGAATATTGTATAATCCTCCCGATTTATAAAAAAGGATGCACGACAGACTGCAAGAATTATAGGCCCATTAGTTAGCTGTCAATAGTCTATAAACTCCACATGTCTATTCTAGAAAGGAGGCTTCGGTGGATTGTGGAAGGGCAGTAGGAAGCGGAAGAGGCTGGTTTTCGTTCAGAACGACAGAAGTAGTCAAGAAGACCAAAATGCATTTATATAAGTCTGTTTACCTACATACACTCATCTACCGTGGAGAAAGCTGGACAGGCACTCTAGTCGCATAACGGTAGCAGAAATGAGGTTCCTTCGCAGATCTGTTGGGAGAACTAGAAGGGATCCCATTGGGAACGAAAGCATTAGAGAGCAACTAGGAGTTACCGAACTTAAAATCACTCTAGAAAGACGGCAACTCCAGTGGTTTGGACATATCTGCCGCATGAACGAGGACATGAATCAATAAAAGCATTAGAGACTCGACCCAGAAGGAGATCACACAGACGCCCCAGAATTACATACCAAGCGTATATCCAAAGAATTGGGATTAAAAGAGGGAAAACCCTCAATGAGATGAAGCAGCTAAACAGGGACCGGGAAGAGTGGTTATGCAGGATTCAAGATCCTCGAAGCTAGCTAATGACATAAGAGGAAGACAAATAAGAAGAAGTATTTAATTTTATATTTTAAGAAGTTAGTCCAGAAAAACGATGCTACCGCATCTTACATGGAAATTCAATTTAGTTTCTATGTAAACATTTAATTTATATTCAATAATATAAAAGTAATCACTATCAACTGCAAAAATTATTAATTTTTTGGCTCGCTCTTTTACAAAATGTATCTTCACTCTCATAAAATAAAAATATATAGTGCACAGAATTATATATTTATCCTAAAGTATAATATAAAGTAAATCCTCAAAGTTTATTAATTTATATAAAATTAATTTCTACTGAAAGGGCGGTAATTGAAAGTAATATTTTTTTTTTTTTTTAAAGATTTTATAGTATTGACTTTAGGTGTATAAAACATAACTTGAAATGACAATGTTATAGTTGTATAAAAAAGTTCCGTGTCCTGCTTTTATAGATTACACCATCCTAAGGCTTACATAAATTTCAGATCGCAGGATAACTAGACATGCTGTAACAGCGAATACTCAGATTATCGAAACTGCACTGCATTATTAAATACTACATCTATATCTCAAACTATTTTCTCTATAACTTGAAGTATATTATCATCTAGGAGTTAAAGATAGAAGTTCATAGCCTCAAGCACATGATTAGTAAAATTAAAAAAAATCCTTTATGACATCGAAAGTCAGATACTTTAGTTAAGATAAAAAAAAAAATTTAGATTATTAAAAATCTTTATCATTAACTTTAAACATTTCATAACTATTTCATTTTATTTAATCAAAAAAACAAAACGAACAAAATTAAATTATATTAAATTTAAATTATAAGCCTGTTTTATTAAGATATTTGATATTCTCCAAAGAGATCTATAACTCACTTCTTTTCTTGGGCAATGTTGGCAACATTGAGGACTTGGGGAGGACCATCATGGTGATGACCCTGCCCATGAACCTGCTGTTGCATTACTGGTTGTTGTTGCATGGGCATTCCCTGTTGCTGAACGGGCATTCCTTGTTGCTGAACAGGCATCTGAAAACAAAAATGTCTAATAAATAAGTGAGTTCTAATGAAAAAAGTAATAAATAAATGAATAAGGTTCAATGAATAAATTGGGAACTTGCATGGAAAAAAAATCGTGTAAATGAAGGTAATAAAAAAAAATTCATGTTTAACTAAAAACTTGAAATAACACTTGAGAGGTGTGGTCTGAGGTCACTATAGCATTGTGTGTCTAACTTCTTAAAATATAAAATTAAATACTTCTTCTTCTTTGTCTGACAAACACGATGCTCTCCTACCTCTCTCTGCTCTACTTTAAAAACATGCATTTATAAAAGCAAATAAAATAAATATTTCTATTCACAGATGACAGGGTGAGATAAATAATGAAAAAATGGTGCAGAAAAATTCATATAAGTAAAATATAAAGGAAGGATCCTCTATGAACAACACCAATAGAGAAGAAAATAATACAGTATTTCTTGGAAAATAATTAAATAATAATCAAAAACGGGTTTTTACTTCACGCTTAGAATAAATCCCTTAGATTGGAAATACAACTATAACAATCAGAGATTGAAATGCTTATGGAATATTTTAAAAATTTCTATTTTAACAGTTTTGTAAAAACGTTTCAAAATAAAAGTTCATAACTTTTTGTAATCAAGTTCTAGAGTTAGAAATATATTTATTTATGTTCTAAAACAATAGTTATGTCAAGTGAAAAACCCCGTCTGTCTGGGTTTCACTTACTGAGGTGACCTTTTTTGTTTTTTTAATTGAATAACTTTATTGGAAAACCATAAGGTACATAATCTTATTATTATTATTTTTTTTTAATCAGATGAGAATGAATATTATTTTTTAAAAAATAACATTTTTATTTTTTATTTTTATGGTCAAAAATATAAACAATCAAACCTAACTTAATAAGACAACATAAGCCATTTAATTTGATTTTTTTTTTTAGGAATAATAATTTAATTGAAAAAAAAATTAAATAATACCTTTTTTATTTAGGCAAGAACATAGTTACAAAAAGTGATTCTTTTTTCATTATTGTAAAAATGTAACCGCCTTACATAGGTGTCCTATAAAAGTTTTTTTTATTTTTAGTTTCTGGAGGCGTCAAAACTATATTGGCCATAGAGCTCAAATGGTCTAGGCCACTGCTTGCTTGCTCTTATTTTCTAAAATTTCAAATATTTTTTCTTTATTAATCTGAAACTGGTTATTTTAGTATATATATATTCTTTCTTTTTAATTTTTATCCATATCGAACTTCACCTCAATGAAAAAAAGATATATACTTAAAAAGAAACAGTATAATGGAACCTTTTCATTATTACATACATGAAAAAAATCAGAAGATATATATTAATTACTAGTTCAACAACAATGAATTTCAAGTAATAATAGTACATACATGCTGCACTGGGATCTGCTGTTGTTGTTGGACTGGGATCTGTTGTTGTACAGGCATTCCCTGTTGGACTGGCATATGTTGCTGTACAGGTATATGGTGCTGTTGGATAGGCACCTGCTGCTGTAAATAATTATTAAAAACGTTTATTATGACAATACCTACATACAAATATATGCTGTTTACAGATTGAATTAGATTGCATAAGTATCAAACTCAGTTATACACTAATAAAAGTAGAAAGTATAGGTTGTTAGATTAATGAAATAAGATTATTATTTTATCATTCCGGGACTGTTGTCCCTATAGAACAAATTAAACATATAGAATAAATGAGGCGTTTAGTTTCAAAACTGTATTCATCCATTTTCAAACATTTTTTCAGGATTGGTCCAGAAAGGTTTCATTAAAAAAAAATCCATTTAACAATTTTTTTTAATGTTATTATTTTTGTTATTTTGGTAACATATCACTTTAAACAAAAATTAGGGACAACTTTTTGTGATCACTTTTCTTAAATCTCATTTAATATAAAAAATATGTTGGATGTACTTAAACTTGATCAGAAAATATTGATTTTTGGTTTGTTTTTGTCTGAAGAAAAAAAAAAAGATTGAAAATCACCTTAATTAATTTTAACAAGATTTACACATAATTCTTCACATAAAGTTCTTTTACATGTGTTTCATTAGAATAGGTGCTTCAAGAGAAGAGATTTGAAAGAGGAAACTGATGGTACATATTGGATATCGGGAGGGATAGAATTCCAGCGGGAGACAGCTCGAATACAAAGAATGTCAAACCCAGCAGTTCGGTGAGGAGGAAGATAGAAATCAGACATATGGGATCTAGTGGGACAGGATAGAATGGATGTTATAAATTGCAGGCTTTGAAAGATGTAGGAGGGTTGAAAGATAATATATGAATTGTTAAATGCAAAAATTATGTAATTAAAAAATTGAAGCTTTGAGATATTTAACGCTTTAGGGAAAGTTCTATAAAACAAGTACAGAATAATAATAGACATTGGTCACAAGATACATAGGTATTAACTGCTTATTTTCTCTGTTAAAAACAATTAGTCTCAAGCATATCTAATCATGTTAACCATGACGTTACACTTAATAATTAATCAATTATTTACGATGAAAATGAAACACCATTTTACATGCTAATTATAACAGCTAACATGCTTATTATTTCTACTTTGCCAAAATAATTAGGTTCATATATATATATATATATATATATATATATATATATATATATATCAATACTGCATGCGCGGGATGAATAATAAATATATATATATATATATATATATATATATATATATATATATATATATATATATATATATATATCAATACTGCATGTGCGGGATGAATAATAAATATATTAAAACAAGAAAATAAATAGGCTCAGATCATTATGGGTATTGAAGTAAAAATAATTAACACATGTATTACATCTGACTAAAAGTCAAAATAGATTTCTGAATGGCCAAAGGTGATAACATCTTTTGAATTAAGGATATCAGAATGACATTAAGCAAGAAAGTTGAATTGGTGAAGGCATTATGGCAATTGGTAATTATGATGGCATTATAAGATAGAATGAAGTCCAAGTGACAGAACAAAATGCAACTGCACTCAGGATTTACTATGTTCTATAATGACATGAATAAGAACCAAAACAATTACAGAACTTTTATTAAGAGATAATTACTTGATAACCTTCAATATTCAAGGGAAACTGTATAAAGATCGATTTAATTAGCCGTCAGTCAATGATTGAAAATGGCAATGATATTTAAGTACATTACATTATCATAAATAAAATCACTAATAAAGAGATAAGAACCAATGCTACCAACATATTCAGAAGATTATTAATCATACAAAAGTAAAGAATAGTAACTGATTCACACACAGTAACGTGGAGGCAAGAGATGGAAAACACTAAAGATTTATCATGATTCAGATGCCTTCTATTTTAAAAGATGTTCAGCCACAGTTTTTCTCAAGCACAATAAGAATTAAATATGTCTTAATTTTTTAGTATATGATTAGTCTTCCATAGGTGGAGTTAGCCGTCAAAGTTAAATAAATGTTGTAGGGCTATAATACAATAATAAATATAAGTCAAGATCTTTCAGAAAAGAAAGAATACCAGAATTATTTATGTTGCAAGCAAACATGATGTTTATATATCGAAACAATTAATAAAAGTCAAAATAATTTACGTACCTGTGGCTGGTAATGGCTGGGATGTACGCCAGGAGGAACGTTCTGGTGTCCAACACTCTGAGCAATGAATATTGCAATACTTAACCAGAACTGATGGATGAGGTGCTTCATCTGAAAATGGAGAGTTCCAAATAAATACATATATATCATATTATGAGTAAACGTGATATGAAGTGTTTATTTAGTATAACATAAATCTATTTACAGTAGGCAATGAAAAGCTATCATACCTCTATTTCTATCATACCTCAATCAGACTATTTAAACCACATAATTTCAGTCTCTGAGCTCTATATAAAAATTTGGGGCAGTGCGCGCATCACACAACTTTCACTTAGCATCCTACTTTGAGTAAAAATAGATATTTCTGCACATAGAAACATGTACAAAGGTATAGATGGTACAACATATTATTTAAAACAATTAATTACCATAAGTTTTTCCCACCCATCAAATCAATTAAGTTTATACTTTCTTTGTAACAAATAATTTCCTTCTTAGACTGTATATTATAGTGGTTTATTTAATTATAATACATAATTATGTGACACAAATTTGTTTTCGTCCAAAAAAAAATTAAAAATCCATCGACAATAGTAATATATAAATAAATAAGAATTACGTAATGTAGTAAAACCTAATCTGTATCACTTTATGAATTGTTTTAACATTTATTTTTTTCCTAGTAAAATTTTTCTAAAACAGATTTACTAAGTTTTTGTTGCCAACTTTCTACATGCAGTTAAGTTTTTACAAGAACAGAAATACAATATACAAAATGGTTATAAATAAACAATAAAGTTATATATGGAGATATGAAATTGATTATTGGTGTAGAAACAACTACAAAACTATTTTCATAGAGATAATGCTTTTCATTACCTATTCGATAAGCGAATATCACTCTTGAGAAACTGATTTTTTTTTTCGACATCAAAACTTAACATTTAGTTTTCTTTTCAAAAATTGAAGAATCACCAACCAAAACTTTGTATCCAGCAAAAAAATGTTAACAACCAGTAATTATCAGCATTCTTTGATTTTTTTTATGTCTACAAAATAAAACTTGATCTTTATATTCCATTCGGGTGTAGTAGTTAAACAATATAGTGTTAATGTTTTGATGTATTTTTTATTTAAACAAAGAAATATTGGAATCTTAGAACAAGATAAGTCATCTGATAAGTTAAAATTGAAAATTTTAATTTGTAGGAGAGTTCTGATCACTCATTAATTGTGAATCATAACATTCAAATCATTGAAATTTATGTTACAGACAAGTATTCTCTAAAAAACCATCCTAAAAAATAAATTAACTAATGAATTACAATTGATTCTTCAAATGTAAGAGGTGTGTTCCAAAACAAACCATCTTAAACTAATTAAAAGTGAACTAGCAGTTCACTTAATAATTCAATAATTTAAGTTCAGTTAATAATTCAATCAAAAATATATAACCATATGGATATAACTCCTGTACTTCTTAAGTTAATAATCAAGAACAATTTCTAAAAATATATCAATAAACAAGTAACAAAAATAAAAAATCATCATAGGATAGAACATTTAACGTAAAATTTATGCGCTTATAACAAGACTAACTGAAGCGACAATATAGTATAATAGTTTCTATATACGTTTAGAGTAGTTAATTTGTACCAATATTTCATGAATCAAATGAAATCACTAAATAAGTTTTTAAGGATATCTCACATTCATTCTTGAGTGTTTTCAAATTATAACTAACCTATATAAAAAACATATAAATAACATTCATCACAATCATTGGAACTGATTAAGAAAAAAATTAAAATGACCAAGTTTTCAATTCAAAAAATGTTACAGCTGCCACCTCACCTTTTACACCCAAATATTGGTAGACAGGGTAAAGAAAAAAAATTATAAAGCAGTACTATTAAAAAAACTTATTTGTAAAAAAATTAATAAGCTTTTTTTGTTTATTTTAACCAAAATATATTTTTGGTAGAACTATCCTTAAATCAGACGCTTAGTTTTAAATAAATATGTCTACAATAATTAACTATTTAACCATTTTTAAAGCAATAATCATTATACATAAAAAAGAAGATATATTAAAAGGTTTTACCCTAATATAACATTACTCACTCTGTTTTCCAATTATAGAGCGATGTTTTAAAAAATGATAAGAAATTCCAACTGTCAATAATTCACATCACTCTATCTCTCAATAACTTCAAAATACACGTGTCCAATGATCAATCGTCAAGGAAAGTTCAATTACAAAGAGGTTAATTTAAGGAAAATGGATTAAAGAAGAAAAATACTCGCAAAAGAGAAAAAAACTGATACTCAGCAATGATTTCCCGAGTTCATAAACTCAGCGCAGAGCTTATCGATGGTATGGATGGATCTATAAACTGCGAGAAACAGTACCATCGATGAACTCAGCCTTGAGTTTAAAGAAGTCCCCTTTATTTCATTAGTAAAACTTTGGGTAAATTCCTAAATTCTGAGCTCATTCCATCGATGGAATACAATAATGAAGGACAGTGATTAATACTGAGATTAGGAACGACCTGATGGATTCCCAGGGGGAGGTTAAAACCCCCTGCTAGATTACGAACACTTGAAAAATAAAACAGAAAATACCTGTGCATAAGTTGCTGAATTTCATTACAGAAATAAATATAAATAAAAAATTAACTGGATATAAATAAGTAAATTGAGATATAACAACACTGAAGTTGTGATGTATTATAGTTTAGTTATAATAATATAGGTTTCATCCAGCGGGTCCATCACTCCCAAAAGCCGATGATTCCGCTGAGCAATCGATGAATAAAGGAAAGCACAGTCATATAGTTTTAATCTTGTTATCATCCCTTCCCATATAACTAAGACATTTGAATATTCCTTTATTGCTCTGTCTTTGACCACTGCCTTCTGGAATTACTCGAAAATCGATATGTCATTTGACCATGTCGCTGGCCCGGTACTCTACGAGCGTTATATCTCCGGTTCCTGAGGGGTACTAATTCTAATTTTTGAGGTACAAATTAGGTACTAAATATTGGCATAGGTTTTCACCTCGAAATTCCATAGGTGCCGGGCCAGCGACATTGGACCTTATATCTCCGTTTCCTGAGGGGTACTAATTATAATTTTTTGGTGTACAAATTAGTACAAATTATGTACTAAATATTGGCATAAGTTTCAACTCGAAAATCCATTGGTGTCGGCCAGGGAGATGGAACTTCCGGTCCCGGCACTCTTTCGAGCTTCATATCTCCGGTTCCTGAGGGGTACAAATTCTAATTTTTTGTGTACAAATTAGTACAAATTAGGTATTAAATATTGGCATAGGTTTCAACTCGGAATTCCACAGGTGCCGTGCCACCATGTCCCTGGCCCGGCACTTTTACGAGCTTTATATCTCAGGTTCCTGAGGGGTACAAATTATAATTTTTGAGGTACATATTAGTACAAATTAGGTATTAAATATTGGCATAGGTTTCAACTCGAAATTCCGTAGGTGCCGGGCCAGCGACATGAACCTACCGATTAGTACAAGAAATTTACCAGGAATTTAGGGCCACGTAAACTATACAAAATGACATCAACAAGACCTTCGTGTAAACAAACTACAAATGGCGATAAAAAATTAAAACCTATAAGGAGTTTTTGTTTAGTTATTTCTTATGTAGGCATTAAATCAGAAAAAAACATTCATACGGCTTTCCAGAGCAATAATTCAGCTTTTCAACGGATATAGTAACATCGAATTTGGAGAGTATCCTGAAGAATTTTGAATGATCGAAAGGGTGTTACGTTCCACCAAGACAACGCTAGATCCCACACCACATTGGTCACTCGCAATAAATTATTGATTACTGGATGGGGCCTTTTGCCCCACCCTCCCTATTCACCAGACCTAGCTCCAAATGACTATTACTTATTCAGGTTTCGGCAGAATTCTGTGAATGGAAAGAAATTCCAAAAGGAAGAGGACATCAAAAATCACTTAGATCAGTATTTTTATTTTTGTAATACATTGAGTTTTATTTCATCCTGAAAAACTGAAAGGACTTATTTGCCACTCCAATAGTTTTAAGATATTTCACCGATGTTTTATTATTATTTCAGAACTGTGAATCAACACGACCAATAAATGTTCGATAGTATTTAAATCTGGACTCTGGAGAGAATTTCCACAATTCGGAATATTAAACAAAATCCATTCCCGTATTCAGAGAGATAACATAGCTCTGTTATGGGTAAAAAATTTAAATATACCTTCTGTAACCATTGTTGCCGTACTAACCTTAAGAGCTACTAAGACTTATTTTTAATAAATCAATCCGTGTATGAAAACTTTTGTTAGTCACTACAGTCTGTATACAAATTATAATTTCGCCACTCATATGGAATTAGAACCATTCAGTGACCGATTTAAGGTATATGATTATCATCAAAAGATAAAATCCTTAAAATTAAATATTATTATCTTGTAATTCTAACGCGTTTCAGGTTATTTTACTTTAAACGTTGTTTGGGAAAGGACCGTAACATAACTATTAACAAATACTTCCAGAAAGTAAATAATAAATATGGACGTAGTTCTTACATGTTATTTATTATATGTAATGCTAGAAAATATAACAGTATTATTCTATTGTAAAAATTAATAAAAGAATGAAACATAATGTTCTTTTGAGCTGAGGCCACAACAACCCTCTTCCAAACCAAAGCTGTGTCCATCCTCGCAAAAAGAGTTGGGGCTAGTTTACCTTCTTCTGACGTTATGTAAAAACCCCAAACTACCTTGTCTATTACTAAAGGACTACCCTTATCGCCCAGACTATTTGCAGTAGCTGATCCGCAAAACTGTTGGCTTTCGTTAATTCCATCTGCAGCAAAGAAAAAATTAATCACTTAAAATAATAAAGGTGAAATGCACAGAAGATTAACAATGATCTCATTAAAAATAAGTAAATGTAAAAAAAGTCTGACTCGATAGAAGATGATGCTTTAAAACGCACGGTTAAATCGTCAATAATACGACCTCGCTATATTGTATTTTTCTTTTCAAGGTGTGCCGTTTTCTTCCAAAGAATACAATGCTATATTTTCATCATGCTAGAACCATCAACTAGTTTATAAACTCTTAAAAATATGCAACAATTCAGTATAAAACAGATTTGAAATATAAAAAATCTGGTGTGTCCACTCACACGACTTTCCTACCTATTTCAGAAAAGTTTTTATATCTTAACATATGTGCATGAAGAAACAAAAAAAGAATTGAACTAGACACATTTTCCTGAAAATTGATCAAACATAAGATTTGATTATGATTTATTTGACAAACTAAAGCAATGTAAACTGGCTTAAGGTAGATCAGTGTAAAAATTTCAATACTTCCTAATATTGATGATCAAAAACTTTTTGCCATAGCTTAGTATTGTCAAACAATAATTTCTGTTAAAAATAGAGGAAATAGTGAAGATTGTGTGATGCGGGCAACAGATTTTCTTACTTTCACTTAGTCATCTTTATTCTTTCATTCACCCCTTTCTGACACCAGGATATGAAACCGTAATCTTACATTGGAAATTGAATATATGTAACTTCGTTAATAACTGAAGTTGGACTGAGTCCAAAATGAACGATTTTTATATGGCTTCGTAAGAAATTTCATTTCCTTTCAAACGACAGGCTAAACGACTCAAGGGGTTCTGAAACGTATAGATCCGTCGAAAACCGCATGTCGGAAATTTGACCCGATTGCAATACTTTCCTTACGTAGTATAGGCAGGAAAGTAATAAGTTAAAAAAAATGTGTAAAAAATAGAATAAGCTGTATCATCGCTAATACTGATTCGATTTCGATGATTTTTTATTATGTTTTGTTGGTGATTTAATTATCTTTCAAAAGTTTTATTATAAATTTTACCGTATAATATATACTTAGGGGATAACTTTTTTTCCTGATTTTTTTCGGGAATTCAGTCTATATACGAAAATTGAAAGAACAATGATTAGAACATTATAGGAAAGTGTCATCAAAATCGTATAGATCCGTCGAAAACCACATGTCGGAAATTTTACCCGATTGCAATACTTTCCTTACCTAGTATAGGTAGTAAAAATCTGGTGCGCTTATCATACAACATTCACTTTCTGCTCTACTTTGAATAGAAATAATTTTTTGCCAATGTTGGACTATTATAAAATTTTTGAAGGGCACTTTTAACGGAAATAAAACATACAGCTAGGAACTCATTAATACTATTAAAATAACACAAACCACATTTATTATATCGACAGTAGACAATAAATCCTCGTAACTCTAATTGTTTTTGTGAACTACTTAACTCTAGTTGCTGAGTTATATATGCCAAGTGAGATTTGAAAGTACATATTTATATTTAACAAATAAATGATTATAGATTGTACTACTATTAGTTATTAAACTCTTTATTTTTCTATTATAAAGTTTATTAAAATGGAGTTCCGAAATTCTCATTGCTTACTATTGATAGTTCGAAAAGTTATCAAACTAACTGTGAGTGGAATAATGATGTGATTTCACAAAAGGGAAAATTATTCGAATAATTTACTAATTTAATTTTCTAAAATGTTACATGATGGACTTTCAGAATAAACCAATGATAGATATAGTCCGTGGTACAGACCCCTTTTATCGAATTATTAACATGCGCCTGAAACTTCGTAAATAGCTTCCATTTAATTGTAACCTACAAATATTTGATTTACGAAAATTCTTGGAATTGGGGCGTTTTCAATCTGAAGGTCGGGAAACTTTGTCTATTTAATTAGATCCTAAAAACTCATAAATACTCATTTACTTTCCTCTTGGATCGTAATTTGATAATTTGATAATTTGATCACAATATGGATGAAAAAGTTGGCCTGCAAAAATATTGTACGTTCGGCCTATATAATCTCGTTATTTTGACAATTTGTGGGTGCAGGTCACGCCATACAGCTCAATATATTTGAAGGCCACCTTTTTTTCTCGACTTTTTCTTCATGTTATGTTACGATTTAAGTAAAAATCAAATGGGTATTTAGGAGTTTTTAGTGCCTAATTCAGTAGACAATGTTTGCCGACCTCCAGATTGAAAAATCCACAATTCCGAGAATTTTCGTAAATAGAATATTTTTAGATTAAGATGAGATGAACCTATTTACGAAGTTTCAGGCGGGTGTTAATAATTCGATAAAAAGGGGCCTGTACCACGGACTAATGCCTAATTATTTACATATAATATCGGATCTATATTGATTAAACAACAGTTATTAACAAAGGGTTATATAATAAAATAAGGTTATTAACATATAAACGAAATATTTTTATATTTCTGAATTTGTTTTGTATCGTTTTTATCGAAATATATATTGTATAATTGTAATTGTATTGTATTGGAATATTATAGTATTAATATTGTATGTAATGAGTGTTATGGAAAATAATTTGTATATATAAAGTATGTGATAAAGTATAATTAAGTGCTATTTCCAAAAAAAAAAGGATTGATAAGTATGCTGTGTATCGAGCAACCCAATTCAGTAGGGCAGCACTGCCTTAAATAAAGTATTACTCTCTCTCTCTTCTTCCACACAGTAAAATGAAATAGTATTTTTAATAATGTCATTGCCTTGAATCTGTGGTTTTTAAATATTTTTTTCAAACTTAAAAAAATTTTAAAGTTTACATTGAGTAAGAAAATTTAATTTAATTTCCTTGGAAATATGTGATTTATGATTGGAGATATGTGGTTAGTTTTCAGAAATTATTATTTTTATTTTTTCCGCCATTCTCCGTTACCTTCCTTCTACATCTTTATTTATTAGATATTATTTTTTTCTAAAATTATTCGCTTTCCAACGATATATTATACATATACTGTGGATTGATGGTTGGCTGTAGTGAATAATTGAAGAGAATATTTAAAATAAATAATTATTTTTATTTTTATAAAAATAATATAAATATAATTATTTATTTTTACTAGTTTTTATTTTGACTGATCACCCCAACCACCCTTTTCTTCTATTGTATATATATCTTCTGACTATTATTTCCGGAGATTCATTTTCGACCCATATAAGCATTTTTTTTTTTCTCCCCTTTATTCAATTATCAAATTCTTTCAAAAGATATATTTAGCATTTTTTTGTAACTTTTAATAATGAGAGATAATTGATTATTTAATATAAGTCAAATTACTTTTGGAGATACTTTAGAGGAAGATATTTTGAACATAGGACATTTAAGCGCTGTTAAGCGACATCAATAGGGGAGAGACCTAAATGATATTAAAGATTACTTACTTATAAATTGATACACGAATTTAATCAAAATATTTATAGCCATTTTTGAGAAAATTGTAAAAATGTGTAAAATCGATTATATAAAGTGGCACTTCCGGTTAGCCGATTTTAATGAAAAAGTTGCTATAACATCCCAGGTATATACTTGACTTAAATATGTATTTTCATTTTCGAACGACTTTTCTTTTTTTGAATTAGACTGATAACATACACACACAGACCATTTTGTGGGACATGATTATTTGAACTAAGGGAATCTCAAAACTTGTATTTCTGATGAAAACTCAGATCCGACAATTTTCACTATCGCAATACTTATTACATTTATAGGTAAGTGAAAATAAAAATCGTGGTGATATTAGTGATACGTACTAGTTTTGTTACCATCACGGCAAACATCGGCGTTTGAAAGCCGTACTTGTACCATCAATAATTGTTTGTTTTCTTTATTTTCACTCATATCCCAACCGTAAACATAAGCACGCTTTCTTTCTTTGATCAATCTTTGGAGTTCATTGGCAGAGTCCTTTAAGCGTCCCTTAGGAACTTTTGCTACTTTCACTTTAGTGCCAAACTTGAAAGTATCATGAAGGAAGATGATCGCGTAGCTGTCTGAAGAGGAACTAGTGTTATACTCTTTGTGGTAACAGAACTGACTGACAGCCATCCGACGCCCGGTATCTTTCCTGTCACTAGCAGCCAGTACCAAAAGGTTGTTCGGATCACGCTCTGTTGGTTCTTCCGATCGTGAGGCTGAAACAGTTGTATCATAGACATATATTATTGACAACTAAATTATTACTGTTTCATTTATGAATTCCCTCTTCGGGAACATCGTTTCTTATTACAAGATTGAAGCCAACAAAAAAAAAATCTGGTGCGCGCAACACACAACTTTCACTTACCGATCTACTATGAATAGAAATTATTTTCTGGCAATGCTGGGCCATAATAAATTTTTTTAAAGTGCATTTTAAACGGAGCTAAAACTTAAAGCTTACAGATAACAATTCATTAAAACCATTATAATTAAAAAAATGTCTATTTAATATATCGACAACAGGCAATAAAAATCTAGTCACTCCATCTGCTTTTATAAACAACACAACTTTCTTTGCTTTTATAAACTTCAGAATGACTAACTCCAATTTCAATATTTTTAAGTGATATCATTTTAGTAATATTTTTAGTTGAAAGAGTTATCTATGCAGAATATGAGTAAGTTGATTCCGCAGGTTATGATTGCAATGTTGAAATATAGAACTAAAAATAAAGGTATAAATTTAGGTACTTATTTCTTATGAAAAATGTTCATAGGAAAGATACTTTATTAAATATCTGTAGAAAAAAAGTTTTTTTAGTCTCAACAATTAAAATAGTATATTTTAAATTTATCCAAATTTTCGCCTCTTCAGGGAAAAAAACTAGAGACCATATCTTTCCTCCTAATTGTCCGATTTTAAAGATTTTTTTTAGGAAATTCCATAAACTTAAAAACCATATATAATATCACCAAAAAAGTGTATACTTTTTGAGTTATTCGGAATTTAATTTTACCATCGCTCGTAACTTTTTTTCCAGCTTCTTTTCGTTGAAGTATGTTATATAGATAAATTTAAAGAGTGTCGAGAAAATGACTTTAGCGAAGTTTCATTGAAATCGGTACATCCGTTTAGGCGCTACAGTCTATAGCAACGTAGGTTTTTCTGCTTTTTTTTTTTTTTCTCCTCTATTAACTTATCAAATTCTTTCAAAAGTTATATTTAGCATTTTTTCATTACTTTGAATAATGTGAAATGATTAACTTTTTAAAATAAACCATATTTAAGGTACTTTAGAGGAAGACGTATATGAACATTGGGCATTTAAGCACTGTAAAGTAACATCAATGAAGAAAAGACCTAATTGATATTAAAGACCACTTAATTATACAATGATACACCGAGTTTAATCAAAATCGTTAGAGCCGTTTTTGAGAAAATTGTGAAAATGTGTTTCAGCGTTGATATAAAGTGGCACTTCCGGTCAGCCGATTTTAAGGAAAAAGTTGCCGTCACATCTAAGGCATATACCTATCTTAAATACGTGATATCAGTTTCATAGGACTTTTCGTTTTTGAGCTAGACTGCTAACATACAAACACACAGACACACGGACCATTTGTCGGGACTTGGTCATTTCGACTCAGGGTACCTCAAAACGTATAAATCCGTCGAAAACTCAGATTCAAAAATTTTCTCGATCGCAATACTTACACTTACTATATATTACATATATACCTAAGTGAAAGTAAAAAGATATACAAATACATTAAAACCATGACGGTAATAATAAAATAATATAACACAACTCATAAAGCAGTGTCCTATTTAAATATTTATACAATGTTATTATTTATTAAGTTCTTTCCATTTAAAATGTTTATTAATGCCTAAACGTGTCTTCTCTTTCCTAAGGTGGTGTTTCTAAATTCTGATAAATTTAAGGAGACACCTATGAAATCTACTGTGTTTTCTGGTTCATTGAAATGCACAATGAGCAGAAATATTCAATACTCTAAGGCTCTTTATTTAAATTCGAAGTTTCTTTATTGAAATAGAGAGATTGAGAGCTGTTCAACTTGTTGTTGAAGACGGCAAGGAAAAATGTTTTCTGGTATAGAACGTTGGCTGAAATTTGTTCGCTAGTTCACACGAATGTGCATGATTTCTTTAAAACTCTGGAAGTTCGACAAAGAAAGATGGAAGAAGGTTCCATTCCTTGAGAGCTTCTCAAATCATTTCCATTAAAGATGTGTTCACATGTGTAGATCGGCACCATAATTCAAAACGTTTCGCAGTGTACTATCTGTACAATATTGGGGGGGGGGGCCCGGTACATGCCATATGCCCGGGAGCCCTTTTCTTGTGAAATATAAAAAGAAACAAATGTTTTGTGAAGGAATACTTGTGAATAAGTAATATGACTTACGAGCAGTTTGATGAGAGGGCCGGTCTCGCGCCTTCTCTCTCTCTCTCTCTGCCGTTAGTCTAGGGTCCTGGAAATAGCCGAAGGGCTGCAACTCTCGGTCTGGTTATGATGTAGGTCCTAAGCCGTGTTGTTACTGACTTCGCTCGCTAGTATCTGACTTAAGGGTCGCAGATAACGCCGTCTGAGAGAGGGGGTAGTGCAGGATGAGACCGGGGGGGTCTCCGTGTTATTTATACAATGAAATAATATATGATGCTCACATAATATTGGCAGTAAAAATTGTTGATGTAAATCCAAATATAAACATGGAAATTAACATCTCGAAAACAAAATTCATGAGGATCGGGAGAAGAAGGGACCGAGGAGACCGGATCCTTCGGCTGGGTGGAATCCGCCTGGAAGAAGTTAAGGATTTTAAATACCTGGGCGCTCACCTTAACGAGTTCGGATGGGTGGATGGAGAAATTAAAGACAGAATTAAGGTGGCAGGAAGATGGTTTTACTCCCTCAAGCCAGGCTTCTTGGACAAAAAGGAAGTCTCAAAGTCCACCAAGAAAATTGTCTTTAAGAATACTTTCCTCCCTATATTGACGTATGCAATCCAAGCGAGTCTTGGACCCTCACTGCCAAGCACAAAAGCCAAATCCAAGCTATGGAAATGCGCTATCTAAGGAAAATAGAGGGGAAAACAAGAAGAGATCGTGTTAGGAATGTGACCATACGTGGTTATCTAGACCTGAGGCCTGCAGAGGAGATAATCCAAGAAAACCAACTTAGGCGGTTTGGACATATCTCGCGAATGGCTGATAACAGAATTGCCAGGGCTACCTACGAGGTCAAAGTGGAGGGAAGGAGGCCAAAGGGAAGACCAAGAAAAAGATGGGAAGAAGGAGTTAAAGAAGCCTTTGACAGGAGAGGAATGGACTGGAGTAGGAGAAGACAGCTGGCACAGGATAGAGATTCGTGGATCAGGCTCTATAAGAAGGAACCTCACACTGCTCAGCGGTAACAGAGGACTGGATTAAGTAAGTAAGTAAGTAAATCCAACACTATCCATATCAATATTGAATTTTGGAATGTCTATCATCAGGTACTCATCAGATTTGAGGAAAAATCCTTCAGAGCGTTTGAGGTGAATCGATATCAGACTATTAGGCGGACGTGAAATGGCAGATTCAAGAAGACATTTGGTTCCTGCTGGTAATCAAACTGAAGAGTTTTCCCAAGAAAATCATACACAACATCTTCCGCTTCAGGAAGCTCATCTTTTAGTAGATGGGAAAGAGTCCGAAACATCAATAGTTGAACTCGCGGTTGAGAATTAACCTTCTTCGAAGAGACGTCTATTAAAGTTCAGCCTATAGGAAGTAGGGGTATGCATATATCATCGCGTTATTTAAAGTGCTACCTTTAAGTGGAGGTTAGAATAATGTTATATACTATTTTTTTGTAAATCAATTCCATTGCAATTCAATCAAATCCTCATATTTTTAAATTACTTAATAACTGAGTCAGAGATTAAAGAAATCATTTAAAAATATTACACGTTCAATCTGTTCTCGTCTGTCGTGCCATAATTGAAATAAATTCTTTGTTCAAAAAAGTATTTCAACTCATTATTATAGGATTAGGATTAATCCGCTGCCAATGGGAGGCTCCTCTACAACATTGGTCCATTGCTCAGCGACTGTCCAATGTGCCCGATGCCCTTTTTCAGTCGATCTTTGATTATTCGGCTGAGGTTGATGAATGTGCCGAGAGATTGGGGGTTGATCGGGGTATTCGGAATATGAGAGCTCTACGGCAGTCGCTTCGAGAAAATTCGTTTGAGGAATGGACCAATTGCAGGTGGCAGGGCATTGGAGTTCGCCATTTTAAAGAGACCCCGAAAGCCAACAAATACATGTATGATAAGCAAGTACTTTCTGGGTCTGAATGGTCAAATGCCCTGAAACTGAATATTAATTATGCACCCCTGCGTGGAGTCCCAGGTGTCAGCGGACAGGTAAGAGAAGTTGTGTCCCTCTGTCGCAAATGCGACAGAGAGCCAGAAACACCAGCACATGTGCTTGGAAAATGCCCCAACAACTCCCTCCTTATAACGCGCCGTCACCACAGAGTCAAACATGAACTGATGAGGCTCCTTATAGAGAGAGATTACGCCTGTTTCGAGGAAGTATATTGTATAGATACGGATGGATCCACCCGATATGCCGACATTGTGGCATTCCCTAAGACGGGAAAGTCGGCGATGATTTTGGATCCGACCGTGAGATATGAGACCAACGACCTCGATCAGGCAGGAAAAGTGGAAAGGGAGAAAAAACAGACATATGAGAAATGCATCCCTTTCCTTAGTGAAAAGTTCCGCGAGAGTTTCGGGCCGAGAGAGTTCCACGTGAGAGGCCTTTGGTTCGGAGCTCGCGGAACGATACCAGACTCAACAAGGAGCTTCATGGAGGGCCTTGGTGTCGACATAAAGGACGTGGCAAGGTTGGCAGAGAACATAATCCTTGACTCCCTGGGAATTATCCATCACCATGTGCATGGATAGAGAGTTTTTCATGGGGGAGGCATGCGTGTTTTGCGGCATTTTTACATTATTTATTGACCACGTCCACTGCACTTTATGTATTTGTATGCATGTTATGAATTAGGTTAGGAAAAGAGAGGAGAAAAATGTATAGAGTGAGAGAAGGAACAGAAAGGGATGTATAGTGCTAATAAGTGAATTAAAGAAATAGTAAAAATAAAATAAATAAATAAATAAAATAAAAAAAAAATAAAAAATAAATAAAAATATAGGAAAAAAATTGTGATAAAAAAAAAATATATATATATAGATAAAAAAAAAAAAAAAATGTATATTATGCTCATATATGTTGTTAATACTATATAATTGTATATTAGTTTTGGAAAATTGTCTGTAGCGATTAATAAGTATGCTGTGTTTAAAGCAACCCAATGTAATTGGGCAGCACCCTTTTATGATAATAAAGTGATTCTCTCTCTCACCAAGTAAATCATTATTTTCATATTATAAAAAGTTTACTACAGCCGAAAACTCATAAATAAGTTCTTTTTTAACGAATCTCATTTGATGTATACGTAATGCTTTTGAAAAAAAAAAACTCGATAAATTTTGTCTCCTAATGTTAAGGAATTATTTGCTTTTATAGTAAAATTGCAATAAAAATCCATCAATCAACTCACTTTTTAGAAAGAAGCAAGAAGCTACAGTCAATACATGACGTTCATTAACTATAGTTCCAGTGCAAATGTGTTGCCAGGTTTCGCAAATAATCGAATTTCTAGCGCAATTTTCACTAGGCATTTTGGACTGAATTGATACAATGAAAGGAACATCTTCTATTTTTGTTTCGATGCCTGACGAAATTCTAGCCTTTTTATTTTCCCTCCACGCTCCTGCTAACGTAAACCACGCCAATACATAAAACATCATTTAAGAATTAGTGCTCTCTACAGTGACTTTACTTCACATTTATTACATATGACCTATTAGTTTGTTGAAATTGTATTAATATATCGATGGCAAATAATGAAAATCTCGTAATTTTATTAGTTTATTAAAGATAACTCTGCGATTAAAGAGATAATTGAAAGTACTAAGATATCTGTAATGCATAAATAATTAAGGCTTGTACTATTTAGTAAAAACTATTGGAATTCAGTTTTCTTTTTCTAAAATTTTTTAAACTCATTTATTTTTCTTATAAAAGTAAGCAAAATGGAGTTAGGAGTTTATTGGTACCTTTCGTCGGTATATGGAGTAAATGCACCAGTAACTGGCATTCTTAAGGATATTTCTTTGCACTTTTATTAATAAATATTTAAATATTGATATTATTGTATTTTTCTTGAATTCATCTTATAGAGCTACATCACATCTTACTGACATAAGACATATTTCAAATCCATGAAACATCTGTCTAAATTTTAAAAATTGTGTTTTTGGAGAATAGTTTTGATGTATCAATAGCTGACAGGGATGAGCAGAAGAATGTAATTATTCAAAATAAATTATCGAATGAAGTTAGTCGACTGTTCTACATATCATGGGTGATAAATATTCAGGAACAAGTCATTATAATGTTTTTATTAGTGCCGACGTTTCAACCCATACAAGTGGTTCATCATCAAGGCGTGTTTCGAGCACTGAAAGTATCAAGTATTCTATCTACTAAGATATGAATACCTTCCGTGTTCCAAATACGCCCTGATGAAGACTCACATGTTTGGGTTGAAACGTCGGCACTAATAAAAACTTTATAATGACTTCGTCTTGAATATTTATCACCCATGATATAAAAAATAAAGTGCTGAAATTTTGTTTTCTTTATTTTTAAATAAAAATTATCTTTAACTTATAAAACTAAAACTAACTTCATTTCGTTTCCCGACTTAAACTTCTCGATAAATGCTGATCACTGTCATGAACTTGTTATTGACAATAGGAAAACCTATTTTTGCTTTGTATTTACTCTATATCATTAGCAATTTTAAAGAAGATATTGTTGAATGGTCTAATTTTTAACAGCTGTTCTATTAAGTATATCTCTTTGAATTTAAGAGAGTGCAGGTCTGTCAGCTACTGACAAAAGGATCTATTAGATGGCTCCAGTAGCTAACATCCATTTAATTTCCAATTCCTTTATCAAGATATATTAAAACAGATAAAACATAATTTAAAAACACCCCAAGAAACAATAAAACAAAAAAAAAATGGAATAAATCATTGTAAAGATAAAAAGGAAAACCTAAGGTATGGTGTCTTTACTGATAGAAGGTTGTTCCTGGGACCCTAAATGGCCAATGACCTTCTTAATTTACCACACTTTTTTTCAGTTACGGTTTCCAGCTAAACTAAAGCAAATCCAGCAAATATACAAGGAGAAAATATGGAAACCAAAAATACATGAAATAGAGGTCTTGGCGGTCCTGAAATCTTATTATTCCCATTTTTCAAGGAGGATGTCAAGAATTGGTACGCGGTCAGCTTTTGGTGCTTTTACTCTATGCCAATTCTAAATTAACCGTCGTAAGTGTTTCTCGTTATGTGATTTCTCAAACAAAAGCGGTTATTGCTTAAAATTTGGGTGTTGTACAGTGAGACATTAAATAATGTACTAGTTTATTTATTTGTGTATTATTATCATTATTTCGAGACGTAAAGAGGTTTTGACTTCTACCTATGGATGCTCTATAACATTCGATTTTCTTAAATAATATCCATTCTGTTTAGAAGAATTCTTCGTTCTCTACTAGAGACAAGCTGTTTTTAGACAAATATGAGGATCTAATAAATAGATAATATAGTACATATTTATAAATCATTTGAACAAGATCTGGATAACTGGCCTCGGATATTTTTCCGCTCATATTAGAGAATATTTTCTAGCATCTCAATAGTTCGATTCAGCGTCCGTCATCGTAGTCCAATGCTTTGAATATTTGAAATTTGTTCATTATATTAAATGACTACATTGCCTGGTCGCCGTTGGCAATTGGCAAGACACCGGCCAATTAGAAAAAATAAATTAAAAAACTGTACCAAAACAAGAGCCTTTGATTCAATACTTTGTGAGGAAGTACTGTTTCTTGGTCAACGGTTGTGCAAGGAGGTGTTTTGACCAAGATCACGCTCAACCTCCAAACTCTCCCATTGATTAATTAGGGGTGTCTCCTGGTCCACTTGAACACCTTCAGTAGTGGAGATGTCACTGTTGATGACCCACATTCTTGAAACGTCAGCAACAACAAAAATCTTAAAATGACTGCTTCCTGATTATTTATCAACTATGAATGTAGGACAGTCGACTAACTTCCTTCATAATAATAATAAAAGGTTTAGCGAACCCGGAGGTTCGATGCCGACACCACCAATCTCTTATTACATATCTCTCTCCACCGTTTAAGTTCACCATACACCACAAACAGTCATGGATCTCTCTAAAGTAAGACGCTCATTATCCGGAGGTAAACTAGTCCAATATTCGGGTCTCCGGGTGGAGACTACTTTAGGGGATTCATGGCGGAAGTTGAAAAATAGGGATTTGAGTATTGGTACGTGGAACTTCCTTCAACCTATATTAAACAGTATTATTATTATTATTTTTTTTAACTTGATTCTTCAACTCACACCTGTCAGAAGTTCCGAGTTCCGACAATCAGCGAGTGTGATATCAAGATGTAGAGATTGGTCTTGGAATAGGCGTGAAGGAGAGGAGTACCCAGCGGCGTCCTTCCTGTCTTGAGCTTAATATTTATAGTTAGTGGAGGAGAACTCTCATTCAGCTTCTTTTAAGCCTCCTTCGGGTGCTACCGGGTATGTTAGTTGTGGTCATGCCTCGAATCAATGAG